GCTATCTTAGCTACGATCAAGTCAACCACCATTGCTCAGCAGCGCCCATCACTTACTGCTTACATAAACCCACACGCTTCCGATCCTACGAAGTAGTCTTGCCTCTTGGGATCAAGGATCGTCACAGCTAGATAATATAGGATATAAGAGTAATCTTAAATATATCTTAATTAATAGACTTTAGTCTATATTCCTCTTATTTAACTATAAAGAGCACTTTATTAAAGTTAATAATAAAAATCTTAATAGTATTCTTCTTATCTTAATTAGAAAGAAGGTTATAAGTTTAATAGAAGAAAGCTAGAAAGATATTATAATTAAAATTTAGTTTATTAAGAAACTTATTAATAAATAAAGAATTAGTAATTTTATATTTACTATTTAACTTTTAAATATTATCTTAGATTTTTTATAATTAGATAATATAGTTTATAACTATCTTATAATCTATAAGAGTAAGATTATTAAATTTTATTATTAGCTTCTAAAAAATAGTACTATTCTTTAGCTTATATTACTCTTAAAGAATACTTATAATATTATTAATATTCTTAAGTTTATTAATATTATACTATATATTAATATCTAAATAACTTTTAATAAAGATATAGACCTACTCTTAGTAATCCTTTTAAATCTCTTTTAACTAGATATATTTCTTATTTATCTAAACTAATAGTTAGTTATCTAGCTAGGATTAATAAAGAAGCTTACTATAGTCTTAGATCTTTAGAAAGTTAGTGATTTTATACTTCTACTAGATCTACTAACTAGAGTTCTTTAGTTTATAGATAGAGTTTAGAGAGTTAAGAGTTAACTTTAATATCCTCTTAGTTATTATTATCTTTTAAGAAACTAGATATAATATTTAATTTAGAAGATACTTCTATTATATCTTCTATAATAAAGAATAATAAGTTAGAGATTAAAATAAGTAGAGATTATATTATCAGTCTCTAAATATTAAGAAAGCTAGTAATAGATAGAGAGTTAGCTATACTATAGCTAGATATAATAGATAAGTTAGAAGAAGACTTAGATAGTAGGATATAGGTAGAGTCTTTATCTATAATAGTAAGAGTTAAGTAGGTAGCTAAGTATTTTAGTATATAGGTAAGTTATAGAAAGTATTCTTTATTAAGAAAATAAAAGAAGATTAGCTTTTTAAGTAATTAAGATTAAAGATTATATTATATTATATATTTATAGACATTATTTTAGTAGATTTTTAGTATATATTATATATTAAAATTAAATAGTTAGTATTTTAAAAGATAAATTTTAAAAGGCTAGAAATTAAAATTAAATAGTTAGATATATAGCTATATATTTTTCTAGTATAAAAATACTATTTTATAATAGAAAAACACTATTTCTAATATTATTTTTTTAAAGATTAGGTAGTAAGAGATATAACTTAGCTATAGGCAGTATGATTTAAAGTTTATATAGGTACTAATAGTAGTAGAAAGAATAGTATATAGGTTATAATAACAACATCAGGCTTATAACCTGTCAGAAATAGTGGTATGGTTGCTTGATTGGAATAATCTAGGAGAGAGTTGGGAAGGCCTGGGCCTTCCCGGACTAAGTACAGCGATCCCAGCCTCCTGGATATTCGGCTTCGGGCTCGGCTTGAGGTCGGACTTCAACACACAATACCCATGTTCCAGAGACACCGTGACAGTACCCAATGATAAGGACACAATTGTTATCGTCTGTACTGACTGATCAGCTGATGAATAGAGCAACGCATAGAGGCATACATACGGATTGATCAAGCACGGTCCCCCGACCGCAAAGGCCCTCGAGCCCGACAGCTGCCGACTTGACATCTCAGCAAGGCCCTGTGCCAGTAATTCCGGAGCTGCTTGGTTACTTACCCGTCTCCGATGTGGGTCCAAGGCCCGGAATCGGTCCCGGACTTTTGAACCTCTCGACCATGGTTGAGGCCCGGAATCGGTCCCGGACTTTTTGACCTCTCGACCATGGTTCGGCTGGACTCTGCAAAGTCAGACTGTGTGTGTTTGATGATTGGATATGGCAGCAATGTACTGGATTCCTTACCCTGTGGCCGGCCGATGAGTCAACTCGTCCGGACGTCCGTACGCGCAAGTTTGCGAGCCCGGACGCGCAAGCTATCTAGTTCAATCGTCAGCCATAAAAAGAAAGCAAGGTTCCGTGCCCTTGGAGAACGCCGCACCTACTCAACAACAACAGACGCAACCAAATTGTCGCTGATGAGTCACAGGTTAGCCGTGTTTCAGACAACAGCAGCGATGGGGGGATGCCTTACCAATGAACGGTCCCTCGGCGATGAGCAATCCGCCCTGCAAGCCCTGATATGCTATGCTGTCAGCAGGTCATGCCACTGCGCACCGGAGTGTGGCACCTACACGACAATATACTTCGAGGCCACTGCCGAGAGGTCGTCTTGAATGCGTACAAAATGGTCTGTCCTCCCGCTGCTAGCTGTCACGGTAAGTATGCTTCTTCGATCAGAGAGGAGTCGGTACGTATCACCAACCTCTCTCGAGTCCGTCTCTCACACTCATCCACATCAAGACTCTCGAGCACATTCTCTATCAAACAACCCGACCTGTAAAATCGTCAGCCACGGATCGCCTGCACCAACATATACACATACACACACACCTGTGCCCGCACACACTCACATAATACCAACGCACACGCCCAAGGCTACTAGTTAGAATAAAGATGTTAGAGCATCTTATTAGATATATTTAAATTTAGCAGGGAAAGTTTACCTGAAGAGATGCCATCCTTCCTCATTCCCACGGTATCCAACAAGGAGAATGGGCGACTCTTTGGCAAAGTCAAGGACCGAGTAGAAAACATTAGCATAAAGTAGTCAAGAAGGACTATATCAGTTACTCACGTTCACCTTTTCCAAGCCCGATCTGGGCAAACTACGCGGGGCTGCTAGGGGAATCGACAACATCAACAACCACAGCCTTCTGGGCTTTGGATACAGCCTACTGGAGACTGTCGACATTACAGAGCCGCTTGAGAGCCTGGTTGTCCTTGAAGAGATGCAACCCGACGACCCAAACCTCGACCACCTCTTCAGCATCAAGAAATGCCAGCCGTGGCTGGAATACCTGAGGAAGACGGTCAAGCGTCTTCAGGGAAGGAAGGAGGAATAGGACTGGTGCTGTGCCGTATGCTTTTCCAGATTAGTAATGACATCAAATCCAGTGGCTAGAGAGGCTATACTGTACGTGGTTTCGCTGTATTGATAGTTGTCCCGGCGGGGTTGCGAATTGAATGGAGTTGACGGAAGCCACTTGAATGACTTGCACGTGAGGTCCCAATTGATCGATCAATCTACACTTTAAGAGTCAGTGATCGATCAGCCCGATCGATACATTCGTCGGCCAACGAGCGGGGAGAGTTCGGAGAGCAGGCTCGGATGGCAACACAGAACTTACCCGACACTGTAGAATCACACCATGGTTATAAACCCTCTGAGAGGGGACGATGTTCTTCGGCCTGACGCTGCATAATCTTGCTCCGCGCCCACTCGAAGGAGGGGATGCCGAAATGGCGAATCGCCCAGTCCGTGGCTAAGGCCGCGTCGCGAGTGAGCCATGCCTTGAGGTTGCTGTTCATTGTCTCGCGGATCAGCTGGGCCCGCGCGTTCTCCAGGCGCGGGCAGTAGAGAAACATGTGCGTAACGGTCTGGAGGCCTTTGCCGCACGGGCACGATGGCGACGTGATCTGAAAAGCATTGCAGCTGTTAGCTTGGCTGAGGCACACGCACGCCAGGGGTAGTGTGGTCCAGGGACAGACATTGTCAGGATCGGCCTTGATGCTGAAGAGGTATGCCGCCAGGCCGATGCAGCCGGTCCTGCACTGAAGCAGCATCGTGCTCTGCGCCCGTGAGAGCCCCTTGTAGAGCTTGTAGCTCTGAGGGCCCCACTTCTCCTCCAGAACCAGCGGGCGCTCCCTGGGGACGGGCTGGCTGCGCTTGTCGCGCTGGTGGTGAGGCTTCCAGCCGTCGCGGTACTCGTCCCACCCGTCGGAGGCGGCGCCCTGGCTCATCTTCTCGGCCAGCCGGCCAATGAGGCGGTGTCTCTGCCTTGGGGTCCAGCTCTGGTCGTCCTCGCCCTCCAGATGGGCCGTTCCCTGGTCCCGTGCTTCTCGAGACAGGCGCTCCGCCTTGTCGAAGAGTATCGCGTAGGGGTTCCTGTCGATGTACGAGTCGCCCACCTGGCGGAACGGGATGCCGGGGATAGGCGTCCGCATGGTATCCCGTAGCTTCTGGTAGAATGGCGTCTCGGCCGATCGAGCCCGGTGCGCCAACGCCATCCGCTCAAGGAACGCGCAGATGGGCTCGATGTTCAACTCTTTGCGGACCACGTCGCTGGACGTTGTGCGGAGGGCGCCGGACATCTGCGCGAGGCACCCGCTCTGGATCGATTCGAGTTTCCTCTGGTCCGCCTTGGTCAGCTGGTGGCGCAGGCCGGTACCGCGGATGAACCAGGCCCCGCAAGCATAGGATATGATGGGCCGGATATTGGAGAGGTATATCCTGCGCATGTTGTCAAGGCTTGCCCCCCACGACGGCCCGGCTATGCGTCGGTAGTACGCCAGGCTACGCGCCACCTTGGAGTCAATCTGGGCATCGCGTTTAGTGTCTGGGGGCCCTAGCCTTGCTGGAGAAGAGCCTCACGCGGAGACAAAAGCTTACCTCGCCAATATGATTTTTCCAACTGAGCTTATGGTCCACGGTGACCCCAAGAATTTTGAGTTCGGTCTTCAGAACAGTCCTTACGTCGCTCGGTAGGCCCTCGATTTTAGGGACCAATTGACAGACTTCATCTTCTGCATCTGGGCCTCGGAAGTGCATCACGGCGTATTTTGCAGGTGAGAAGAGCGTGTCGGTTTTCTTGGCCCACCCCATCAAGGCCTTGTGCATGATCTCGAGAGCATCGCAATTCCTCTGGTAGGAGGGAGAGGAAACCACGAGATAGTGGTCATCAACATAACCGAAGCTGAAAGCCTCGGCGTTCAAGCGAAAGGCATTGCGGTCCTTCAGCCCTTGGAGGATGTCGGAAGAGAACAGGAGAAAGAGAATGGGCGACAGAGGGCTGCCTTGCGGGATCCCGACGTTCACATGGAACACCTTGGACTTTTCCCCGTTTATCTCGAACAGAATGCGCCGGTCTTGAAGAAACTGCCAGATAAAGTGGATGATCCATTCCGGGAACGGAACCACATCTCTCTCAGCACGCCGATGAGACGTGCATGCTGGGCTCTGTCGTAGGCAGACTTGATGTCGACGCTCAAGACGCTGGATGAACCATTTGTGCAGGTGTGAGTGGGCGTATTAGTCGCGCAGGGAGATTATCGCCGAAACGAAGGGCGTCACAGGTGTCACCCACACTTGTGCTGCAGTTGGGCTTGTCTGTACCGTGGGGACACTGCTGTAGACATTGCTTGCGGGGCATGGATTGACCTGTTTATTGGGGATGTCCTACAACCTAGTTACCTGGGCACTGTCATCCTTTCACAACCCGTCTTTATTTCATGTCATCCAGTTCGCACTGGATCCAGCCATGGCGCGGAGGATATGCTCTATTCTTTGACCCCGTGCGGGAGACAGGAAAAGTGCGGGAGGCTCTCAGAGGTTATTCATCCTTTTGTACGCTGGCGTGGCGGGCATGCTGGACTGGTGTTGCTGGACCAAGTGAGCCAACCACTGCAGGGGTTTGTGGGTTTGGCCAGTCTCGTCGTCACCACGTAAACCAAGCCTTCAAAATATCATCAACTCGCTTCTGATTGCAACTTACGTAGGAGATGACTCTCCACCGCTATGGCAAGAGCTCGGCAGATCATACTATTACCGAAACCTGAGGACAGACATCGCCCCAAGTCCCAGCTGGCCGTGCGTCTTGGTGAAGTTACTGTATTACTATCTTGAATCAGCGACTTGCCTACCCGCCCAACCAACCAACTTCAAGACTTGTGTCTAGCAGACTGCTAGCCCCAACCAGGAGGTCTAGAAAATGGACACGAGAGAGTATGGGTTCAGTGGTGTCAGTCCGTGACAAGTCATGATGCCGGTTGCTGTGGCGAGGCTCGCGAGTAGATCAACAGACACCACCACTCAGCTCCACCCGCAAGGCTCTATGTGGAGCAGCATAGTCGTTGGATTAAAGTTGCAGTAGCTCGAGAGGTTAGAGTGATCTGCCCGTGGTCTAAATTGTAGAGTCACAGCGGGCACGTTAAATCAATCAACCAGTAAGGGATCTTCGTGGCTCAGAATAGTCAACCAAGGAATGTTTCGACGAAGAAAAGCCGATAGTGATGTGATTTCGTTTCAATACAATGGGGGCTACCAAGCTACAAGTACCATCAGTATAGATCGTTGACCATCCCTCCCAAGAGCAATTTGAATTTGGTGCTGAACATCATAATCATCTCGAGCTTAGACGCGAAGAACAGCATCGATCCCGTTTACACATTATCAAGTCCGTGTCGAATAAAGAAGTCAAATGCAACTAACTACAAAGCATCCAAACAAGCCCACCGCGGACACAAGGACGGACAACGAAGCAACAGGGCAGAACACGCTCCGACCGACCCAAATGACTCGCCATCTCACAACGAAAGCAGAATACAAAGCAAAAAATCATTTCACTTGTGGTGGAAAGAGAAAAGAAAAAAGAAAAAAAAGAAGAAATCCAATCGCCTCGTCGTTTCTTCCTCTGCCCGCCGCAGAACATCAATTCACCACGACGCGGCGTATCGGCGGCGCCCTCGTGTACTGCCCGTACTGGCCCCCGCCGTACATGTAATACTCGGCCATGCCCTCCCGGCCCTCGCCCCCGCCGCTCGAGTCCCCGCCGCCGTCGTCGTCGCTGCCGCTGCTGGTGTCGCCGTCCCACCGCCGCCGCCGGCACCGCCCGACGCAGTACCACGCCGCGACGGCGAGCACCACGAACCCCAGTATCGAGCCCAGCAGCGCCCCGATCTGCGCGCCGCTCAGGCTGCCCCCGCCCCCGGCGGCTCCCCCGTCGGGCCCCGCCGCCCCCGAGACCGACCCGCCGCCCGTCGTCGTCCCCGTCGTCGTCTCGGGACCCCGGGAGGCGGTGGTGGCGGTGGTGGGCTCCGGGGGCTTGGTGGGCAGGACGCTGGGGTTGCCCGGGCCGAGGGTGACGATGGCGGTGAAGGTCGTGTAGGGCTTGGAGATGACCTGCGTGAGGACGACGGGGTCGCCCTCCGCTGGCGCTGCCGCCGCCGCCGCCGCTGCTGCTCTGGGCTCCTCCAGGCGGGGCGGGTGCGGCACGCCCATGGCATTGGGCTGGGCGGCGCACGAGCTGGTTGGGCGCTTTTTTCTTGCTCCTCTTTTCTGCTTGGACCGCGCCACGGGGATGTGTGTGTGTGTGTGTGTGTGGTGGAGAACAGCAAGTTTGCACTGGTAGGTGGATTTGGGATGGACAAGGCCCGGGGGGACGGGGAAACCGCAAGTGGGAAAGGATGGTGAAGGAAAATGGAAAGAGAAAAACAAAAAGTCAGATCAGAGATCGGGAGGGGAGGGCCGTTCGCGATCATGCTGGAATTAAAAAGTGATCATCACACTCGCGCGCCAGCGCAGGCGACCATTTCCTGCTGACGGGTGCAGCAGTTCGAGAGTCGAACCATCAGGCCGATGCCAACATTGTGGCAGACGCAGGCCAACACGCACGTATCGCAAAGCATGCGGATATTTCCTGTTCTGCTTGGGGAGAGGGAGGGCAACTAGCTGGGCGTACCGCAGCAATCTTTCCAGCAGTGTCAGCGTCAGCAAAGGTCTTGGGGACCGGATTCCGCACCGGCCGGGTTGCCCTCCAGGTCTCCCGCACGAGCGCTCTCTGCAGAACCCTAACCCACTCGGCGGGCGCTACGTCTGACCTGCAGCGTATATTGCGTGCATGCCGCTCAGAAGCCAAACTCCTGTCGGGACGAGCCACGCGCAGGCCGTGGGCGGGCGACGGCGACTTGGGGCGAGAGAACGTGGGAAGGGGCAAATGCAGCACCACGTACGTCCGCCTCGGGGTTGGTCCCCCATCTGACAACCGCTGACCGAAGAGGGAACTCGTCCAACGCATCGGCGCAGGGCCAAGAAACGACCCTTCCATGCAGATGGGGAGAAGGGGGGTGGACCCCCCTCGGCCGAGACACAGCATGTGGGCGAGGCAAGGCTCACGCAAGCGGCCGAATCAGCGGTGCGCCAGCGTGTGGGATTCTCTCATTCGCCGGGCTGTTTGGACCGTGCATCAGCGGGCCGCGACCTGTGGTGCGTACGAAGTATGAGGCCAATCGAGGTGGAGGGCCAAGGGTGACAAGAGCAGGGCAGGGGAGGGGGCCACCCAAGATGGCCGGCATGCGATGCGGGATACCCAAGTACAAGTACAAGCATACCCTGCTGGGGTCGGCCAATGGATGAGGCGTTCCGTGGGGGGGCGTTTTCCCTCGGGACTGGATTTGACAGCGGAGCGGAGGATCAGCAAGCTCTGAGCCGGGACAATGCAGGCAGATCTGTTGCCGGGGAGGTTGACAACATTGGTGATTGGTGCAAGGAAGACAGAAATAATGAAGTAAGGAAGGAGATAAAAGAAACAACAGGAATGACAAGCAAGAACACAACATACCTACCCAGGTAGCTAGGTAGAGCGAACGGATTTCCAGCCCACGGCCATTCACATGGCAATGCGCAGTGCGCAAACAACGAGCCGAGATCCCCGGCGCGCGCAACAAGTTAAGAGCAACGGCTCAGCGTTTCTGTCTTTTTCCCTTCTTTTTTTTTTTCTTTTTTTTCTTTTCGTCTGCGGCTCTCGATCCGAAGCTTGTGCCCGCGCTCGATCCCTGCTCCCGGGGAAGCTCCCCGTCCGCTCCCCCGGTCCACTTGATCGCCCGAGCCGTCACTTTTTGACAGGATTGGATCCCCCAAACCCCCGTCCTGGTTCCAGTTTCGGTGTTGGTGTTTCACAGTTGCTTCTTCTCTGCAGGCTCTTCTCTCGGACAGACAAGAATCATCTTGGCGAGCTGGCAAGGCACATTCGGGCTGCCTGCAACTTGCCGGATTGGTCCTGCCGCATGGGTCCAGAGCGACGTTTTCTTCTTCCAACATTCTTGAAACTCTTTTCGACGTGCATGATGGGGCGATGATCTTCCCGACCAACACAAGGATACTCCAAAAGACCGTGCGTTGGGATTGGATGTTGGGTGCATGAGCCCCCTCTGGAGTGGATCAGTGACGGAGAGGTCGGAGTGTGGGACGGGCAGCACGGGAGAGTGGCCAACGAAACCACAAAACAGACCATGAAGCCGCTGGCGCGAGCGAGAGGTGAGTCGGAACCGGCCTGGCATTTGCTACAGCATCGCGAGCCACGAGACAACAAACGCCGATTAAAGCGAGCATCACAAAGCACCAAGATTCTGTCGGCCTCAACTGTTCCCACAGGCCACGGCCTTCTCGGCAGTACTCGCCCTCCGTCACCAGGGGCAGACAGGGATGCTTGTTGCCCGCGCAAATGTGACCTATTGAGCCCCTGCAGTGATGGGCGGAGGGCCGTGGGGGGAGCCTACGACGCAAGCACGCAGGGGTCAAGACGTCCAACGTCAGTGTATTTATGACCGAGGTTGCCCCCATCTCTCCTCAAAGGTTCTGCTGCTCGTCTTTCCATGGTCTGCATTTGGGAACTCGCCTTACCCGAGAAACACATACTCCCCCTGTGAAAATGCCTCACGCAGATGGCCCCAAGCTGCTGCTCACAGGAGCCACAGGCTACGTGGGCGGCACGGTGCTGCACCACCTCATAAACTCGCCCAACCCAGGCCTCAAAGACGTGACCATCTCGCTGCTCGTGCGGGGAGAGGACCGCGCCCAGATGCTCGAGGAGACATATGGCAAGCGGGTCGAGTGCATCCTCTTCAACGACCTCGACGACACAGACCTGGTCCGGTCCGTGGCCAGCCAGCACGACATCATCGTCAACGCCGCCTCGGGCTTCCACCCGTCCAGCGCTGAGGCCATGGTGCGCGGCCTCGCGGAGCGCAAGAAGGCCAAGGAGGAAGCAGTAGCAGCGGCGGCGGCGGCGGCGGCAGGCGGCGGCCAGGCCTCGGCGACGGTGTGGATGATCCACACGAGCGGCTGCTCCAACATCTCGGACAGCCCCATCACGGGCGAGCCGTTCCCGGACCGCGAGTGGCGCGACGCCGAGGCCGGCGCGGTCTACGAGTTCGAGCGCGCCGAGAACGCGCGCGCGTGGGCGCCGCAGCGCGCCGCCGAGCTCGCCGTCCTGGCCGCGGGCGAGGAGCTCGGCGTCGGCGCCACGAGCCTCCAGGCGCCGCTGCTCTTCGGCGGCGGCGAGGGCCTCTTCCGCCGCGCCGGCGTCCTCGTGCCGCTCATGACGGCCTACGTCCTCCGCCGCGGCCACGGCTTCTGCCTCGGCGGCGCCGCGGCCACGGCCGTCATCGACTGGGTGCACGTCTTTGACCTCGCCGACCTGTACGTGCGCTGCGTCGTCGAGGTGCTCGAGCGCGGCGGCGCGGGCCTGCCCTCGGGCCGCCGGGGCATCGTGTTCCCCACGGCCGGGCGCACGCTGATCCGCGACCTGGCCCGGCGGTGCGTCGAGGCGGCCCGCGCGGCCGGGCTGCTGGAGGAGGAGGGCGAGGAGGAGGAAGCAGCTGTGCGCACGGTAGACCTGGCCGAGGCCGCGACGACGTGCGGCGGCGACACGGCGGCGGCCGAGAGGAGGTGGGCGGGCCACAGGAAGACGGTGGGCACGGTGGCGCGGGAGCGCCTGGGCTGGAGGCCGGTCATGGGCGACAAGGCCTGGCGGGCCGACTTTGAGGACGAGCTGCAGGCCGCGCTGGCGGGTAGGCGGGGCGTCGCCATCGACGACAGCCGCGCCCCTGCGCGCGGAGGCCGGTCGGCCATTCGCGTCTCCAACACCATCACGGTGGAGTAGCAGTTCGCGGTGGTCGGGCCAGGAAGTACGGCTCTCGAGTGCAGATATCAAGAGAGAAGACCATATTGTTGAAAAAAGAATACTAGAAATAAAAGGATATATTCGCGCATCTCAGCAGCCCCGGAAAACGGCCTGCCAATCGTATCAAACGCCGATTATTCTCCCCATTTGCACTATTCTTGCCTCGCTCTCCAGCACATCGATGGCTTCAGCCAACGTTGGCCGAGGCGGCCAGCCCAAGGTTTCAGTGTCAGCATTCGTCGCCAATCCCCGCTCCTATCGCAGCTGAGCATTAAAATAGCTTTCCGCAACACGCAATGCATGTTTGTTATCAACCTCCTTCACAACAGCCAGTGTCTCGTCTAAGGCAACTTCCTGCTCACCGAGCCGTCCTGATTGACAGGCCGGGTAGAACTCCTCGCCAACTCGCACAAGTCGCTGCTGATATGACGCGGTATTCTAATCGGGTACGCCTCTGGCACAGGTGAGAACGAGCTCCCTGATCGTCTCAGCCGGGATGTTGACGAATTCAGGGAACTCCCAGCCGATGGAGGAGTCATAATTCTCATCCAAACCATTGAGTGTGTGGCTCCAGCCCTCGCAAGTGCACCATAGGAGCTTTCCCAACGCAAACACCATCGCTGCTCCTCTCCATTTCGCAGTCATGATGTTCCATTCTTCAAAATAGTCATCCCTTTTGGTCTAGGCGGGCGCGCTATCTGGATCCAACTATGGGAGATGACTGCGCAAAAGGTCTCTATAGCGTGTCTTCGCGTGTTCAGGAAACCAAGCAGACTTGCAAAACCACCTGAAGCACTCTAAATAGGAGACTTGAGGAGCCGTAAACGTTGGCCAGTTACCTGACTGTTGGAAGTCGATGAGCGCTAAGTTGTCATTGTCATCGCAGACGACTTCATCTGGTTTGAGCTAGGAATGAATGATCCATGTTGCGAAGCTCGATGCGTTGACCAAGGGTACACTTGACATAATATTCCATGACAAAGCCTAAGACCTTTTCTTCGCCTATTCTCGTCGTGCTTCCAACTACCAGAAAATTCAGTCGAGGGAGAGCGTTTGGGTGTTTTTCCATGGAGAATAGAGGCTGAAGCTATTGATAAAGACATTTGACTTCTGTTGTTCTTGTCTTGAACGCCCAAACTTTCCTCTGAGTTCGGTCAGGAATCCTAATCAGAGAGGCCGTGTCGTGGAGCTATTCCACCAGTTCCACTTCCTCGAATTGCACAATGTGTATGCATTCACGTACTATCTGTGTAGCAGTATGTGGGATTATGCAATCCAGAGTATGAGAATATTGTTTTATCGGCTAAGTAGAGGACTAATTATTCATATTTTGTACAAAGTCTGTTCCTTCCTACACCTGACTTCACTATCACGTTTGCGCATCGAACAAGTCGTTATCCGAATCCTACTCCATGTCATAGACTGGACATAACTCACTTTTTCCCTCGCTTCTTCCTCTTTTGAGTGACATGATCAAGTCCGAGAAGGCCTCGTTGAGCTCATCATAGACCACAAGCCGATCCCAAACACATGCAAAGGTGTCTTGCCATCCTCATTTTCCCGACACAGTCCAACGTTTCCTCCCACAGCATCGCTAGGTCCTCCTGCCCACATCATAGCAAAAGAATCATCATCATCTCGACACTTCCGCATGCCCCGAGCTGGTGCAGTACCGTCTATCTGGCAACGCTGACCGTGTTGTACCTGGCGCCATGGCTCACTGGTGAAACCCTTTCCTCAAAATTCAATCCGCATCACAGATGGCACTATCTCTCACATCAGAAAGCCGATGAGCCTGTCCTGTTGAAACTTTTTCGATTCCAGCCCTGAAGAAGTGGCTGTTTCCTGTAGGATACCACGCACCACACATGCAAGTCATGCACACGTCCATATTCCTCGTGGCGCCCTTTGTCATCGGCATCCTCATATAAATGGCATGTCTTGAAGCAAAGTTCAGAACTGGGACTAACTAAAACACGTATCTCACCTACTTACTTTGTCTTCATGCATCCTTTCCCTGCAGCAGCGACATAGACAAGAGAACAAGATGAAGTATTGAGATTGGAATGTTGGTATTCTTCAACTGACGATGGACACGAGTATCAAATAAGTATACGTCAATTCATCCCTTACGTTTACATCTTTTCTCTCCAACATGATACATGTTGAGTGATCGATTTGAAGGTACGCAAGAGTCGAGGCTTCTCGAAGGGTAAAGGATAAGTTCAATGGAGTCCAATATTTCTAAGAGAAGCAGGAACAAAAGAGGCTGATTAGACCAATCACATGCGCGCAAAAGGCATTCTCGCCGTCCATCAGAAAATAGGACTTGGTCTGTCTGGCTACAGACTCATCAGCATATATACCTAAATCGTAGGAAGCATGGCTTAGTGGATTAAGGCAGTTGAAAGGCCGAGCTCCTGACGAGAACCGTCGCGCAGGTATCGCAACAGCACACTCTGTGATGAGGAGTAAGTCTAGACATAGACAATAAGAACAGGTAGCTCTGCCATTGTTCATCCAACTTGAGAAGCAAAAGCCTCGTAAGATTCTATATTCCGAATGCTCTGCAATGTATACTTTAACAGACCGGATCAAACAGCAATTATGACTCCTCCAAACGCCCAGCCGTACAGCGAGCCAATGTCTGCATAGCATCAGCTCTGCCCGCCCACATGACATCAACACACGCCCTCAAATCGACAACCTCAGGCGCCGCCCCCGCCCTCGGCAGCGGCAGCGTGCTTGCCCCCCTCAAAGACCCGGACGCACAGCACCGCCGCCCCGGCCGCCACGCTGCCGAGAATGACCATCTGCGCGCCCTCCCACGAGGCCCTGCCGACCCGCGCCCAGGGCACGCCTCCGCCGCCGCCCTCGCCGCGGCAGGCCCGCAGCTCCTGCCGCTGTCCGTCGCCGCCGCCGCCGCCGCCGCCGCCCATCGCAAAGTCCTTGCTGAAGCCAAAGACGAACAGCGCCGCGACGCACACGACGAAGCTCCACAGCAGGCCGTCGCTGACGCGCGCGACGAAGAAGTAGGGGAACAGCGGCAGCAGGCCGCCGAGCAGGTAGCCGAGGGAGACGGACAGGCCGACGACGACGGGGGAGCAGGCCCGCTCGTCGTCCTCCTCGTCGTCGTCTCCGTCGTCCTCGTGGCCGCTACTGGCTCGAGAGACGATGGTCTCACGAACCACCGGCCGCTTCTCGACGTGCGCCAGCACCCGGTCGTGCAGGTCCGCCGGCAGCCGCAGCGGCGCGAGGTACTCGTCGACGAGGGCGTCGGCGCGGAGCGCAGCGCCCTTCTCGGCATCGGCGGCCATCTCCATCTCGCCGGATGCCGATGCAGCAGCAGCAGCCGCTGCGGCGGCCTTGGAGGCGGCGGCGGCGGCGAACTCGCCCCGGGCGGACAGGTAGCCGCCGATGCCCATGCTGATGCTGCCAGCGCAGATCTCGGCCATGCCGGCGTAGATGACCGTCTCGGTCTCGCCGAGCGAGGACAGGCCCGCCGTCAGGGCGAACGGCACGGTGAGCCCGTCGGCGAAGCCGAGCGTGAAGTCGGCCAGGAAGCGTGCCGTCGTGGGCAGGGCGAAGAGGGAGCCGCCGGCCTTGCGGCCTGCGCTGGCCGTGGCGGCCCGCTGGGCCGGGAAGAGCTGGTCGTTGCCAATCTCGTCCATGTCGTTGCTCGGGTCGCGCGAGTCGCGCGGGCTGGGCAGGTCGCCGCCGGCGATCGGGGAGTAGAGCGGCAGGGAGGCGGAGGCGTCCCTGTCGGCGGAGGGGTGGTGGCTGCGGCGAGAGAGGCCGATGGTGGTGAGGAACTTGTCGGCCATGGTTGATTGAGGGTGAAAGAAGATGCAGATGGTGCCGGTGCAGCTGCAGCAGGGCAAGGAGCACGCACAATGGGCGCGCAGCACAGGCAAATGGCACCGAGACGGACTGAGGTCCCGAAGTCGAAGAAAGTCAGGGTCAGCAGAGATCAACAGCCATCGACGACACCGTTATGCCAAGAAAACCCGGGAAGGCGGGCGCCTTAAAAGGGCCTCAAGGCCAAGGAGGGGCCAGTCCGTTGTCTCCTTCCCATCTCGACCAAAGCTGTGGGCACAGTCTCCGCACATCAGGATAACGAACCTATGCATGGGTACGAAGTAGGTACAGTACGGAAGTACGTACAGCTGATGCAGCTCAGCGGCGCACGCGTGCTCGCTGGCCCATTGGAGGAGGGACTGAGCGGGGGTCAGATGGAGAGAGAGAGAGAGCAATGGCAGAAACCCATGGGAATGTGGCCTCGAGGCGGGCCGTGATTGGCCAGAGAGTGCCAGAAGAGGCACATGTGCCCAGGATCGACGAGGTGTCAAGATCCGCAAGACGCACCGGAACAGAGCCAAGATGTGGGAAGAGGTGGGCAGCAAGTGCGTAGCTCCGGGAGGGCCCCCTGGAAGCTTCGCCCAGATAGCGTCCTGTGAGGCGGGGGCAGAGGGTAATCACAGGGCGCGGGATTGGCTGGACCCGCTGCAGGCCAGTGAGCTAGCACGCCGGGGGACTAGCACTCGCCCGCTAAAGGGCCGCTAAGACCAGGGGCGCCGCAGCGGGCCACAAAACGCCAATGCTTGGCTTTGAAGCCGCCCACGTGCGCTGCCAAAGTGCGGAACCCAGAGCAAAATCGCTCTGATGAACGGCCGTGCAGATCTGCGCTGCATCCGGTAGCTTCGTAATTCAGATGGGTCGCCTTTCTAGAAGCTGAAGAAGCGAGAAACCACGCAAACCCGGCGCATCTACAAGTAGGTAAGCCGAGGTCATGCATGCATGCATGGGCACCACAGGAAATGCGTCTGCATGGGTGCGTGGGTGCGTTTGCGTGCAGTGCGCACCAGGGCATTTCTGGCTGGCTCAGCCAGCCGAGTCTTCCGTCCTCCAATTGCAGTCGCGGTATTGGTGAACGGGTCGCTCTCTTTCGCATACCTAGGTACGCGAGGGCCAAGAGCACGAATCCCAAGCTGCTAAGTACTCATTCCCTCTCCGGGACCACTCCTCCAGCTTCTGGCCGCTATGGTCTATCTTGCTCAAGATGTGACAACGGGGTGAAGACATATCGCTATTGCCAAACATGTCTTTCACAAAAGACGTTTGCCATCATCGACTGTGGTCATTCATTCTCCACTCGCCGTCCACGCAAAGGAGCCAGGACAGCCAAGCCCTTGCACCATTCCTGACGTTGACACGCTGTGCTGTGGAGACGGCTTGGCATCGGCATCTCTAATTTGACGACAGGTTCTTAGTTGTCTACCTAGACGGTGTGATCGAAAGACTACATGACTTGACCTTACCCCTTGTTGTAATTGCAGATGACATCCATTCAAGCAATTCCCTCCTCCCCTCTCCACATCTGGACATTCAACACGCCAATCATCACCTCAACGTCTCGTTCCACAGCTGCCAGTGTTGGTTCTCCCACGCCGGCATGCACTTGATCCGCTCCGGCGGCTCGTGCTGCCACTCAATCGTATCGTCGACCTGCCCGTCCTGCCCGACCCACTGCGACGTGTACCCCTTGGCATCCTTGATCTGCTTGCCCGTCGCGTCCGAGTACCCCAGGCTCACCGCCGGAACCACAGCGATCCTGCCGTAGCCGTTGAACCACAGGTCCTTGCAGAACAGCTGCGGCTCGCCCTGGCCGCACTCGCCCTCCCGCGGCCCGCGGAACGCCACTTTCTTCTCGACGATGGGCGCGGCAGTGAACGCCGCAGCGCCGTTCCAGCAGGAGAAGGCCTGAAACGGCCGGTGGGACGAGTACCGCGACTGCGCCTCGGGGTCGTTCCAGAACAGATTCCACGCAGAGTCCCAACTGCCGTCGGCGGGTACCTCGAAGAAAGAGTCCCCGTTCATGCCTCGAGCGACCCAGACATCGTAGAACGTCGGGTCCCGCCCGACATATGTCCAGTCAAAGGCACAGGTCATGTCGGCGTCGAGGTGTCGTCGCTGGTGCAGCAGCTCCAAGATGTCTTCGGGGCAGATGGCGACATCGTTGATGAACACCACCGTGGTGTCGGCGGAGAAGGACTTGGGGTGGAGAAGCATCGGCTGCAGAGCCATGTTCCTCAGCGTAGCCAGCTTAGCGATGCGGTCGCCGTGCGTGGGATCAATGTCGGTCGACTGGAAGTAGTAAGTAGTCGGCAAAATATCCAGTTCGGTCTTGAGTGCCTGCAAGACCTCGCCCGTCCCATCAGGTGAGTGTCCTTCGACGATAGACAGAGCGCAGCGCTCCGGACCGAGAAACCGAATAACTTCGACGACGCTTCCGATGAGGCGAGGGAGGATGTTGAGACAATCTCTGAGATCTAGTGCAAAGAAGTACGGTATCTCTGGGTCTCTGATCGGGACCGAAGGCTTGAGGTGATTGTAGCGAGAAATGCTGAGCTGAGGACACTCCATCCTTGGTAGCTCTTTGTCGCCAGGCTCCATGATGGCTTTGACGTAGGCCTCGAGGCTGCCCTGCGACAGGGCACCTATGTACTAGATCAGCATGGAGCTGGGGGAGTCCAAGGTCGTTGTCGAGTAGCACCATACCATTGTTAGAGCCCGCAGGCGTCTCATTGCTATTGCCTGAGAGAAGCGAAGGCCGTGGGAGCTGAGCAAGCTGGCGACGGCTGAAATACAAGGTGAGCGCAACAAGTGCCAGACAGGCCAGCTGCGTGGCGAAGGAGATCCGCTTGCGTTTCATAGTCCTTGCAGTCTGTGCATGTCCGCGATCCAAATTCTCAGCCTTGAGCAGCGGCTGTATCGGCGGGCATTCGTATGAGTGAACGAATGTGAGGGTGGTGAGTGATGCGCGGGTGATGGTGGGAGTTGGCTCGGATTTGAATTGGAGAGGGGAGTCTGAGAGAGACCTGAGGGAGGGAGGGATTCTAGTTTGAGAAGCTGTGATGGCTGTTGCTCTGTGCAGCGTTTTTCGTCGTTGGCAGGAGCGTCCTGACCCGACAGCCTGGATCAACTGGTGTTGGAGAGATTTGCCAGTAAAAAAACCAATCAGAAACAGTTCATCCGTAAGGATCGGGCTTTTAATGAAAGACGAAGGAGTGTCAAAACCATTACATGACCACGGGGGTTTCGACGGGGAGGGTGTTCTCCATGGGGATCCTACCAAGCCTCGCACCACCAATCTGGACCTCATCTGCCGGGTTGGCACGTTGCACGGCATCTGGGGTTTTGCAACGGGCTGCATCGGCGATCGTGCGTGTTCCAGAGGCCGCGGAGCGACGGAAATTCCCTCCCAACCGGCGTCGACTACCTTGGGTGCCTGTGTGTGTGTGCCCCGCGAACTTAGCAACAGAGAATACCAAACCATACTCCGGCTCGTCGCACGAGCTCGTCGAAATGCACTCGATCCAAACCGGGTGACATTCATGTGAGACATTACTGTTTCGGGGGTTTGGAATTTACGCTGTGGCAGTGTGAAATGTCTATGATATATATGATATGGTAGGAATTATGTTCCTCCCAACTTACTGGTAAAGAAGGTCGCTGGTAGTACACCAATAAATCAGAGGAGAGAGAGTCAAAGCAAAACAAGTGACCGATCACACAAACGGCCTGACTTGTTCCTCCGTCCAATCCCAGAACTTGGCGTTGCCATCCGTCCCGCCCTCGGCCTCGCTCTTGATCGCGTCCATCAAGTCCTTCCGGATAGGCTGGATCCTACCAAACGGAATCACTGGGATTATAGAAAAGAAGAGACAAAGTCAGCAAAAAAAGTGCCCAACCGTTAACCAGAGACTCGAAGGGGGGAAAACGGGGAAGTCGACTCACCCCAGTCCAGGCCACCAGTCCTCCCCATCGTCACCTCGGGCGACAGCCCCGCAAACAGCTCCGTGTACGCCCCGTTGACGCAGGGGTACGTGATCATCCTGGCCAGGAGCCGGAACAGGCCCCGCTGCTCGCGGTACAGCTCCGACGCGAGGTTGCCTGGGTTCAGCGCCACGCTGACGATGCCCTCCCGCCTGCCGACGCGCTTCGCGTACTCGGCCGCGTGCGCCCAGTTGCCCACCTTGCTGAGGCCGTACCGGTCGAGCGGCGCCCGCTCCGTCGCGCTGCAGTCCGGGTCGTCCATCGGCATCCCGACCGACCTGGCGGCGAACATCTCGGCCGCCTGCGACGCGACCCACACCACGCGCACCGCGGCCCCCGCCGTCCCCCGCTCCTCCTCCCCCTCCTCCTCCTCCTCCTCCTCCTGCTCCGCGCGCGCCGTGGCCGCCAGCGTCGGCGTGAGCAGCTTCGTGAGCAGGAAGGTGCCCAGGACGTTGACGCCGAGGTGCATCTCGTGGCCCTGCGCCGTCCTGTCCGCGCCGGCGTACATGACGCCCGCGTTGTTGAAGAGCACGTGCAGCCTGCTCTCGCGGCCCGTGAACTCCTCCACCGTCGCCTTGATGGTGGCCAGGTCGGCGAGGTCGAGGCGCAGGAAGCGCAGGGCGCCCTTGGACCGCGGCGCCGACCGCTCGATGTCCTCGATGGCGCTGAGGGCCTTGGCCTCTGAGCGCGCGGCGATGTAGACGCGGCCGTTCCGGGAGTAGAGCAGCCGCGCTAGTTCCTTGCCGACGCCCGTGTTGGAGCCGGTGACGATGTATACCTACGGGGGTTTCCCTGATTAGTATCTAGGAGGCTTATGGCTGATGGAAATTTCTTCGAGTTTGGATGCGAATTTCTACCTTTCCTTGCAGATCCGGGATACTCTTCTCTGTGAATGCCGGCTTGGGCGGGAACAATTGAGTGAGCATGCTCGAATTAACAATGCCCATTTTGTCCAGTGACTATGCGTCTGTATTGATCAGATGGAGTCTGAGAATGATAGAGCGAGGCTTGTAAGAAAGGTGTAGTGTATGTGTTTCGGAAGTGAAGTGGGAATGAAGAGGTCTCGGACTCGTTTCCTGTGAGCTGTGAGCTCCTTTTATACACTTATTCTGGCCATAACACCCTGTCCCCTTGATCGACTTCTTTCCACACATTATCCTAATAGCGGCCATGGAGGGATCCGATACTTGCAAACCTGCATAAACCGTTGTCAAGACCTCAGACTCTCATTGGTTGCCTCGGAAAGCCTGTGACGGGATTGGTCGCCTCGCCCCACAGCCGACCTTGACGACGACTTGACACCGCCAGGCGAGGGCGAACCGCATTCCAGCCGTGAGCTCCGAGAGAGCGTGTATGCGTAATGTTAAAACCGTTATTTCCTGGTTTTCCGTGGTCGTAGTCTCTTGGTCTGAATGTTGTTGACTTCTAATCTGCCCGAGGATCTTGACACGTATGCGGAATGGAAGTCCAGGCTGCTCTTTATTCCCTGAACACGACCTTCCCGAGACAAAGACAACCCGTTCTCCTCCCTCTCCCCCGAGACTACTACTTCCCTCAATTATATCTTCTTTCAGCCTCAAGACGTCCCAAATATGCAGTAGAGTGATCGAAGGCGGATGATTGGTTTCAACGCCTTGGTGATAGCCAGACCGTGACTATCCATAAGCGACATTCTGTAACCGGAATATACCTACGTCTCCGTCCGACTTCGACCTCTACTCCAGTCTTAAGCACGCAGGATGCTACATCCTAGGTTCCTCTACATGCATATGCTGCTGGTACCGGCACATGTGGTGTAGCGGGAGCGACGACAGAATAAGACCGGTCTGTAGGCAGTAAAAGTTCAATTCAAGAGACCCTGCACTGTCCATAAGTATGCGAAACAAGCATAAACCAACAGCCTCCTAAAACATGGCGCTATCTCCGCCCGACCAAAGTACAGTATCTCCCATCCCCCAAGAGAACGTCCATCCTAGATATCCTCACCTGATCATATAGAATACAGCTCCGGCCAGGCTATTCCCCACCTCTCCGCAAAGTATCCCAGCATCATCCCCTTCATGCCCTGGTCCCGACGACAGGGCAGACAGCCCCCTCCTTGGCATGGCTGACGTCGGGGTGCCCCGAGACCTTGCCCTTGTGGTGGCCGACGCGGGCCTTGGTGACGGGGCACTCGGCCTCGTCGCCCTTGCCCTCGGTGCTCGGGTGGTCGGGAGGGAGGACGGTGGTGGCGGTGCCGACGACGGGGCAGATCTCGTCGTCCATCTGGCGGCTCTTGGGCTCGCCGACGGCCTTGCGCAGCGCCGGGCAGGCCTGGGCGTCCGGCGCCGTGCCGCCCGAGGTGGTGGCGGCGAGCGGGTGGGGCACCTGCGGGTGCTTGTGCAGGTTGTGGTGGTGGTCGGTCGAGGCGCCGACGACGGGGCAGGTCTGGCCCGACTTGGAGAGGTCGACGTCCGGGTGGTCGGGCGGCAGGACCGAGTTGGTCGTGCCGACGACGGGGCAGACCTGGGACTTGGAGTCGGTGGAGGCCATGTCTTTCTCGCGATGTGTGTTCTGCTTGTGTTTGTTCGAGGGTCGGCGTTTCGGGTTGAGCTGGGATGGAGGTGTCGATGGATGGATGGATGGATGGATGGAAAGGAAGCAAGAGTGTAGACAGGACAAGATGGAAGAAGCGGTCTGGGTTGGAAGAGGATGTCGTCCGACTAAAGGTGGAGGAGGAGGGGAGCAGCTAGCTCAAAGCAACAAAGCATGACACACAGGGACTGGAATGGTGGGGAGGAGACAGAACCTTGGCTGGCCGCCGAGTCGAGTGTTGGAGGTCAGGCCCGTCAGCCCAGAGGAAGCTGTTTAGGCGGGCGGTCAGGTGGTGTGCGCCCTGAAACCCGCTTGTGCCACTGTCCTCGATACGCCATTCGAGGTTATTGTCTAGCGTCCCTGGATAGGCAGATCGCAGCCCTGGAGCGCCTGGGAGACCAAACACTGCCCGCAAGAATCGGCTGAGCAGTGGCCTGGAACAGCTGTCAGACCCCGCCAATAGCGTGCTGTCGAGACCATTCCGGCGAAGCATGAGCCCCACCACCCTGCAGATCTGGGGCATTCATGACGTCGCGCCGCCTCATGCCGGGCGCAGATCCACCGCCAGGGCCCAATCAGCGTCTATTCATCTCCAAACAATGTGCTCATGATTGGCCGCAGTGATTACCTGGCAGAGAGCGGCCCACTGGAGGAAAGTACCTGCAGCAGGGCTGCAAGAATAGTTGACGGATTGGAACCTACATGCCTAACAAAATAAGTAGGGATCTAAGTGGCTTAAAGAATAGTTGACGGATCCCCAAAAAAGGATACTGAGTGCCTAACATCATTATCATCAGTAGCAATATCACCCTTACTCTTTTTAGAGCATAAAACTGTCTATTAATCCCCTATTGAGAAATTTAGAGGATTAATTATGTTAAATGACTATACGGTCTCTGACTACTATAATAGGATTTATGTATCTCTGTTAGCAGGCTGTTAACTATTCTTGCAGTCACTTGGACGGGCAATGCCATCTCTGGCTCGTCCCAACGTCACCCGTTCCCGTCAACCAATATAACCTCTGTCTGTCCGCTTGGGTTGCTGCGAATAACATACAGCATGGAATGGTGATTCGAACTCTGTAGGCTCAAATCGATATCTCGCGTCTCGTCGCCCTCTTCTTGTTGCGCCCGTCACCCAAGGGCCGAAGCTCACGAATCGGCGGGCTGCTCGTATCGACGCCGACCAGGTCTACACGGAGGCCTGCATGCAGTGGTCGGTCTCCCAGAGCGGCCTTGGCGTCGCTCATGGCCTGAGGGACAAAACGACACGATACCAAGTCCACTCAGGGGGGTGTACTGACTTACTCCCAGCAATGCCTTGGCCCTATTAGCATAGGAAGAATAATATTTGTGGCTTCAGTCAGAATCAATAGTGAAAATAAGCCCCCATTGCTTTAGAGCCAGGAACGGTTTACATTGCTACCAACACTAATAATTGTCTAGTCCATCATGTCGATGTATGCTTCAACACCTTATCGATAAGCAAGTGCTTTTTCCACCAGAGCTCACCCGGTCATTTCGTATTGCTGTGTATGTTCTGTCTGTTTACAGTTTTAGACGCGCAAGTTAGACAGTGATGACACTTTGCGCTCCTCTTCACATTATTGCAGAGCTCATCCATATATGTGAAGACATCTGGAAAAGAAGTTTATCCGCATCAACAATACACGTCGGTCACTTGACCTGCCATGAAGTCTCATGCTTCCCAGGGCTATGCCCCTGCGTTTTAGATGGTGGAGTAAATTGAAGAATCCCGGCACAAACTTTGAAGCCATGCACTATTGGTTTTCACGGTTAGCTTTCCACCCCAGTTTCCCTAGTCCTTGAGCCTAAGAGCCTCTACGGCTTTGCATCTAGTCATTAATGTACACTATTTTTCACATCACCTAGCCTGAGTACAGAAAACTACCCAAACACAACACACGTGTAGCAATTCTACCTATGGGCCGTGGACTTGACACTCGATAGGAAATATCCCTTGCGGGACGCGCGGTCCCCCTTGAAGTCGACTTCTGCGTGGCAGGGCCGACACTGGGAGTTATCCAATCAGTCAAGGATCTACATCTCTTGCTCGACTTTGTGTGGTCCGCTCGCACTTCAACCGTTGCTCTCCCCACTCCAAGGATTTTCGCCTGCATGGCCAGCCCTGTCAGTCGCTCATTACCTTATTTCCCGTAGTTAGTTCCCCACACCTAGGGCGTAGCGTATCGAAACAGTGAACCCCTGCTTTATGCCGTCATCGGAGGCTCGTCGAGTTACCTTGCTGTTTAAACTTGTCTCTAAACACACAGAAGAGCGAAATCACGAGTCAGAAGTAGGAGCGTTAGGAGAAGAACTGTTTATAAACAATAATTGGCGAGGCTTTTGCGAAGACACGCCCGGGCCCAGGCAATGCCTTCTCGCCTCTTGACGAAAGAGTGACTATCTGTATCGAGACAATGGTGACCCTTCTCAATTCCTCAATTCCCATCTGAGTGACCAGAAACCGTAAGCCCTCTCCAAAGACCGGGCAACCGCTCACTTTGATAATCTGAATCAGGTTGGGAAACCAGGCAACCCGTAAGTTAGATCCAGACGCAGCCAGTGCCGGCCTGGCCGCAGACCATCTGTACGGGGAATTCTCATCAGTAAAGTGTTTTATTGAGATAGTCGCTGTGAAGAGCAACAACTTACGGCGTTGGGGGCCTCGCCAGGGCACGTCCAGAGATCGCAGGTCTCCTTCTGGCCGGGGCAGCGGCAGTTGGTCTGGCCGACGACCTTGCCGCCGTTGCAAGCGGGGAGGATGCGGCTGCAGTCGGCGCGGGGCTGGAATTCGTTGGGCATGGCCAGGACGCCAGTGGCGAGGAGGGCAAGAGCGGGGATGGCGAAGAACTGCATTTTGAAAAGAGTTTGGTGGTTGGGGTGTGTCTGGTGGTTTGGAAGGCTGGTGATTGTGTTTGGTATTGTTGTGATGGTGATGCTGGAGCTGATGTCTGAGTGAAAAAGATGGCATCTGGGGAGGTTCGTCCTGGCCCTTTTATACTGAAGCCTCTCACCAAATTTCTTCCTCTGCCTAACAATCATGCCCCCCTTTCGAGATCAACGACGATTGTCGACACGGTTGGCCGACTCGGCCATAGCTTCTGAAGTTCTCAGCCTGTTGTTTGGAAACACACATCACGACCCACTGTACAGCCCTCTGGAGAAACAGGGAGCCCCAATCCTTCGCATCAATGACTTCTTCACGTCCGAGGAGGTTTTACTGGGCCTGCTGATGGTGATCGTCATCGGGCTGAAAGATCATCATCATCATATTAGCGCACGACGTCGTTGATATGCCGGCACTACGATCGCTTCGGGATCAGATGCCGGTCAGACGGCCCGCTTAAAGGACCCAGAGCCCCAGACATCCTTGACACCCCAGTCCCGCAACGGGTCGCCTAGGACCAAATAGGACACAGTTAAACCCGAAGTTAAGGTAAGCTGACATCAGCTCCTCTGTCTCCCCCGCGTCGCGTTTTACCGTTGCCTCCACCCCGAAGCAATCTCTCCCTATTAGTTTGTTACACGCGCGACTACGGGCGTCGTTTGCGAGTGGTGCCTTCCCTGCCAGCTATGACGATCGCCGAGCTTTGCTGGGAGGCTATGAGCCAATCCCGGGGAAGGCTTGGCGGTAGCCCTTGAGGATCTTCATCTCGAGACTCAACAACTCATCGTCAGCGGCTGACGAGACGCGGCACTGCAGGAAAAAGAATGGAGAGAATCCTTCGTTCCCTCCCGCCCTGCTAGGCAATTGAAAGTATCTCGAACGGACCTCACATACGTGGCTACCCGCCAGTCTGTCTTACCAAGACTCGGGCATGTGAGCGTTGCACCGTGTCTCGTCAGGAATTGCAAAGAGCATCAGGGCTTGCGAACCATGTTGGCTTACAGATGATGCAACACCGCGTCAGAGGCTTTCCACAATTGCTTTCTCGTGCCGCCTTGTCTTTATGAAGTAAGACATAAGCTGCGACATTGGCCCTTGGCACTTCCTCGCATCAAGAGTGAATGAGCACGAGCCCATCGTCCAAGCTCGAGGCTGGATACTGTCAATTGAACGTACGACTCTATGTGACCAACTTCTATGGTCAATGTGAGGCCCACTTAAAGAGCGGTGAAGACAACTCTACATCCACAAGGCAACACACAGTGAAGCGCTGACTACTGCCACGCTGTGGAGAAACGAGGCTGGGCGCGTGCATGTGTGGAGACTCGAGTCCACTCAGACACAGAGTGGATTACAACATTATGTTATCCAATGATACCACCTTTGGCAACCAGGCGCCAGAGAGACGATGGGCGAGCAGGCGAGCTCGTCTCATTGGCCTCCTTTCTACTCCTGCACGTCCAAGATCGTCGAATGCCTGTTGTGCCACGTCACTTCTCCATCGGGGCTGTAAAGCAAGTGGCACCGTGTCCGAATGTGAGCCAACCGGATTGCACGGATGCTTGTCCAACACCGACTGTCTACGGATTCGGACTTCAGGCAGACCGAGGCCGGATACGAGGATGGATTTCTTTTGCGTGTTGATGAAGTTGTGGCAAGGTCTATCTTAGCGCGTTCCAATTGTTAAACGAGTGTATGTATTTTGAAGTTAAAAGAATGTGTATATCCCAAGAAAGCAACGTAGTGTCCTCGAGGCATAGTATCTCGAGCTCTCCCCAGCATACCTCAAAAAATTAACGAGCGTGCTTCGTAACGATGCGTGTGTTTAATAGTGACATTCTCCATTGGGAATCTGAGACTGCAGATCATCTTCTGATTCATCTTGATCAACAGCCTGATCGAGACTGCCAATCAACATCTTCCAGACACTGTCGCTGAAGGAGCAGTGATCCACAATATCCCTATTTTAAGTCAGTCATAGTAATTGCGCAGATACCATCGGGGTCATCCACATACCAGACACATGTTTTGCCATTTGCCAAGCGCCAGCCGTCTCTTCCCATCCTGTCGAGTCTGCGAAGCCGTTCGATCCCGGCATTGTCATTCCCAAATCTGATAAGCTGCACGCCGAGGAAGCCATGCTGCTTTTGGTGCTTCTGCAGTCGGTGAACCAAATCTCCAATAAGTCGATCCATCCCACACAGGTCCTCGGGATTTGGTCCCCAATTCCCGTTTGTCAAGATGTATAGGTTGACAGGTTTGTTCGGCGAAATGTTGTCCTTGACGATTCGAGACAAGATCTGCGCCAGGGGGAATTGCATCGTGCCGGCTCTTGTCATTGGTTTCCGTCGCACTAGCCTCACCAGTTTGCTCGACTTCGTGAAGCGCAGTGGAGAGGCTGTTGGGTTCGAGATGAAGGATAATTTGACGCCATTCCAATTGAGGCCTTTTGTCAGGTAGGAGAGTGCTTGAAGAGTTGCGCAGACCTGGTCCCGGTGCGAAGCCATCGACTGAGAGTCGTCGACTATGAAGTACTGTATCTCGGTTAGCAAAAGCCTTACGCCTGCCATACCACCAGGAAAAGGTCGCTTACGTGATCTCGCCCTGTTAGCAATTTGATGGTGTCACTCCCTGGGAGTGCCTGCGGCCGGGATTTGCGCTTCAACCTCTCCCATGGCGTTTGCCTCTTGCCGCCGAGGCGATCCCTCCAGTCATTCACGTCGGCGATAGTCACAATGGGAAGAGTGAATGCTGAACACCCTATCACATGGCCAACAACTTCCGCCTGTTGTTGACCAAGTTGAGGTTGACCAGTATCACGAGGTATTGCCGAATATGACGAGAGTTCCGAGCCTGTACTTGCTGGCCTCTCCATCTCACTGACATCAGGTTCACAGGATAGCTCTCGTAGATCGGACCTAAATCGTCGATAAATACGGAGGGGCAATGACCGATCCTCCTTCTTAAAGGCGAGCATGTCCTGGAGGATGATGTCGCTCACAGCTTTGGTCATGTTATCGCCCGCCGGCGCATGCTGGTCCACCATTCGGTGGAAGGCATCCACCACATTCAATCTAGCGGTACCGGAATGAAAGCTGCCAGCATACCCAGATTGGTACATGTCTGGGTTTATCTTGATTGCTGCTTCGCGTTGGGTGTCGTAGTCCAACAGGCCATCCTTCCCGAGAATGGACCATACGAGAAGCTGACTGAAAGTACACCCGTAGGACCAAACGTCCGCCTCGGGTCCGACCAGAATCTTCTGAGCTGCGAACTCTGGCAGATCTTGGCAGCATTCTGGTGCGCCTGCATTGGATTAGACTTGTTAGTTCACTTTATCACTAGACACTGTGTTCAACTTACTGTACATCTGAGTGCCTCCGGTATCTAACGTCTGAGGATGTTGTCCAGAGGAAGCTTGGCGTCTAGGGCTAAAGCCAAAGTCGGCAAGCTTTAACGTATAATTCTGTATTCCGGGCGTTCTGCCTCTGAATACGAGAATATTGGAAGGTTTAATGTCAAGATGGAGACTATATACTCAACCGTTAGCGTTAATAGCGTAACAAAAAGTGCGAAAGAGGATCAACGTACCATGCAATCCAATTATTGCTATTACTCCCTGTCATACCATGAAGGTTACAGAGGCCAAGCAGAAGTTTGAACATAGAGGAGTATAAAGACAGTCTGTCCTTTTGATGAAGAGTGGGCTCGTTCTCGAACATGTTCAGCAACGTTCCCCCATCAGCGTATTCAAGAATGATGGTGTACTGGTCGAGGTTGCCGTTCTTGGTTTTGAATGAACCTAGGCAGCGAATGAGATGCTGGCTCCCATTTTGGTTCTCGATGGTGTTGAACGTTATCACCTCATTCTCCCACAAGTCTTTGTTGTTTACTCCGTGGTAGGTTTTGAATGCTACTGTGCACTCGTTATTCGATCCCGGTTCCGAACCTCGTTGTGAATACAATACCGCTTTGGAAACAACAGCTCGGTCAACATCTTGTGTTTCGGGAGTCAGACGATCAAGGCTTTTGATAGGCATGATGTGATCGGGGTGAACTTTTCTCATATACATCCTGTCTTCGAATCTCAATGGACAGAATTGCCATTGCGTTTCCATAAAAATCTCCATGAAGCTCTGGTCCACGGGCAGGTCCTGAGGCTTGCTGAGGTGCGGCAGTCGGTGATCGTCAAGGTCCTGACTAATGAAGTCCTTAATGTAACCAGGTTTGTCCATGCAGACAAGAATGGAGAGTGTTTTGGGATAACTCTTTCTGATTTTGTCGTTAGGGACATGGACGGGGTTCAAAAACGTGCCTAGGAGTAGTTGGTTGATCCTCTGATCCGTCCAATAGTCCGTGAGCGTATCAGAAAAGACAAAGCGTTGCGGCTGTCCGCTAGCACGGAGGCCATTCAAAAAGTGTCCCTCGATGTGTTCCTTGAATTCAACGATGGGTCCGGGGTGAGATATTGACATGCTTAGAGGGGAGAGGGTTCGGGCCATAGTCGGATAGACTTGGCCAAACTTTTTTGAGAAATTTTGAAGCTAGGAATTATTGAAAGGTAAAAGAGGGGAAGGAGGGAATAAGAAGTAAACAAGTGGTTGAAGACTGAAAATTTCCAAAACAAGATACTAGACCGAGATGTTGGAATAGGAAAAGGTAAACAGTTCAGACAAGAATCAATTTAATCAAACGAAGTAGGGAACAAGCAAATAAAAGACGACAAAGCCCCAGACGACAATTCAAAATAGCTTTAAAAAGCCAAGGTAGGTGGGCGCCGTGAACTAGGGAAACACAAACAACCCTTATTCCCGAGATTCATGCTGAATTCGCCGGCGGTTTTGCGACCTGGAAGGTATCCCAGATGTTGGTAAGGCTAAGGCGGGTAGGGATATGTTCGTGCAGTACCTCAAGACTCAACGGCACTTTCGGGATCTGCAAGTCGGAAGGTGGGAGTATTTCTGATCATTGTTTAGTGATATTTCCCGCGGCGATCGAATCACACCTATCCGATCAGGATAAACGCTAACCTTGTCATACCTATGGCACTTACAACCCGAAATAGTGACGCAGAAGATAATGTGATCAAAAAGAAAGGGTTGCTTATTGAATTGTCAAGACAAACACGGGCTTTCACAGCAGGCACAGACTGGGAAGAGTGACAACTTATGTATCTTCACTCTGGTCTTTCGGTGGGCATCCTGACCGTCGGTCAGACCGAATGCGCGCCCTCAGTCCGAGTCGGTGTTTAGCCCAGTTGAGGGCGGCTGTGCAGAACTTCAATGATTGACGTGCATAACCCCGCATTAGTACCCCCAAAGGAACTCCTATTCTAACCAGTGAAACAGTAGCTCTATTGCATTACAATATCTGCCTAACCTTTGGAATAGAAAAGTGCAATAGTCGTAAGGTAGATTCAAGCCTGCTGCCTGGGGAAGCCCTGACAAACTATCCCCATTCCAATCACGAGAACACCTGTTTGCAGACAGGCATTGCTTGAGGCACACTGTCTTTTCTTCACAGTTGCGCCATTTGCGACACTCAGCCTGGCAGAGAACCATTGCCTGCAAACCACGCCCCGCCTCCGCCTCCGCCTCCGCCTCGGTACGCTAAACCATATCCGAGGCCACCTGTAGGCGCCTTTTGGCTGAACGCCTCAATTGACGAAAAACCAGGAACCAGATCGCGAAGACAGCGAACATGAGACTAAGGGATATCGCAGCAAACAACGCAAAGGGTCCAGAGAGGAGTATCCACTCGTCCTGAACCGTTTCCGGTTCTCGAAGATGTATTACTCCACTCTGGAAAAACGCCTGGGAACTTGTCAGAGTTGTCTCATACTCGAGCTGGGCTATCAGCAGGCTTACGGCGACGAAGGTCCCCGGGAGGAACAGGAGAGTGACGCAAGTAATCACGTGCATCGACGTGGTCTCCTCCTCCGTCTTGTGAGCAATCATTTCCATCTTTCTGCTAGAATCAAACCCGCTCTGAGCGAAGAGCTGACTGATCTGCACATTGCGATATTGGAGAATGCCGTCAAACTTGATTTGTTAGCCGTAATCCGAAAATATCAGAGGAGATTCAGCCTACCAAGACTTTTGCTTCTTGAGCCATACGCCCCATGCAATGAAGCTGTCTTTGTCTCATTCCAAGATTCCTCGCGATATTACCCATTCTTTGCTGATACTGCGCCATCTCAGATTTGCAGTTGTTCCTAATTGCATCTGGAAGCAACTCAGAGTTGAATGTATCGGTATAGTAGGCCGTGATTGATGTGATAATCTCTCTCGTGAGCTCAATAACAAGAAGCGCTTCGTTGATTCTCTCTCCAATAAGATGTAGGTTTTGCAGTTCAGCGAAGGTGAATGTTTCCAGTACAGATAGGTTAGTCAATATGCCGCGCTCGTCCCTAATATCAGCCTTGCTGCCATTGCAAGGATTCCGTGATTGCTGGAACGAATCCATCTCGTGCATGTTGTCTTCAATGTCCTTTCGAAAGATGGACATTATTTTGTGGAAGAAACTCGTCGACATGCTGTGTTTTGAAATAGTAGGAGTTGCCACAGAGCTCAGCTGACTCAATACGGTTCGTGGTATGGGAGCAACGAAGTTGTGTTCTCTCTCGTGATTCCTGTTGTTCTCCCTGTCAATCTGGGCTGTTTTAGCCTTGATAACAATCTTCCGAAGATCTTCATCCAAGTTGTTGATGTAACCCCGCCAGTGCTCCTGTGTCCAATCAAGAATAACCCATAGGACTTCAAGCGTTGCCGCGAAGGAACCTTCAAGCGTAGAGAGCGGCACAGTTGAAAACTTAGGTCTCTGAATCGCCTGGTATATACGCTCTCTTATCAATTTGTTGGCCTTGATCCCCACCCAGAAGAACCGTCCGGTCTCTACATCGAAAGAGTGGTATATGGCTAGATTTCTTATAGACCAACTCCACCCAGGCTCTGAATTTGCCCGTTCAACTGAGCGGATGTTGAAGCAGTAACGCAGCTCTCGGCCTGAACGCCCAAGGCTAGGAAGAGGATGTAGCTCGCCAGGTCGAGCATAAAGATTATCCTCGTGATGTATTGTCATCAAATTGAAGTCTTTGGGAAGAGTCTGTTCTCCAAAGGAGGTGACGTTCGACGTGAAGGTCGGCGAGATTCGTCGCCTTGTTGCTAACTCTTGGAACATTTCAATCGTGCAGTTGAGAGGCGCTCGGCTGTGAGGCGCTTCAACGAAACTAGAGAGTTTGAGCTTGGGACAAGAGTGTGTAAGATATGGTTCTTACGCAAAGCAGTAGCGAGGATCCTTTGAATTCTTATCAAAATGTGCTTGTAGCTCTGATATACTTTGGGGGCAAGATTCTTCGTGGACTAGTATTAAAGGCTTAGAGGACAATTCTTCCGCAATGTGCAATACCGTATTGATACATACCCGGTTGGCCATCGTAGAGTTCTAACAGATGCAACTGGCCTTGTTTGGCACTCCATAGATTTTCTCGCTGCTTCATCTCGTAGATATCAGCACCAACACTCGGCCCAGATTGACCAGCGTCAAGAAGGCATGCAGGGTAATCGCCAGCATGATCACAGGAAAACCTATAAAGATCTTCCGGGTTGTTGACTAATGTCTCGCTGGTTGACATATTGATAAAGTTGATACGAGCATGATGGCGATTTCGTCGTGGATGATATGCCGTTCTTCCACGTCTTTCTATACTTGGGGGAACGCCCAACTTTGCTATGAGCAGCTTGACACCAATGGCAAAAGCGATTGGTCACGATATCTTGAGCTTGTAACGCCCAATGCTGCTACGAACATAGAATATGGGCACATGCAAGGTACAGGGGCGTAAACACTGATGATCGTTCATATTGCAGTATCGAATCAGCTAATAGAAGAAGGCATCGCATCAATCGAATGACGTCCGTTCAATCTGACCCGGCTCAATGTCGGGCTACTTTGCCCCACGTTGGGCATCAACCGTGCAACCACATCTGGATATGCAGCACAAGTGCTCACTATTTCCCTCAGCACAGAAAGCTCATTCTCAGCCTGACAGCGAAGTCCTCAGCTCGTTGATGCGACTGTGGTCAGCCTGTGTCAGTCGGCGCGTTAGCCTTGAACAGAGTGGTGCTGTGGGCCCTTGAACAACTAACCGTCGTTAGAGCACGAGGCAGATTCACCACGTAGAACCCCTGGGTGGCCTAAGCCATTGTTAGCCACATGTATGCCTTGTTCCCAACCTTGCTCCGGAAGAGGCATAGTACAGTGATATGAAGTAAGGAACTAGGGAATTGATTCTTCAGCCAGTTCTCTAGAACATCTAGGCGCAGACGATATGTAGTGATCGACTCTTGTGGCATTTTTGTGATTTTTGTTCGCGCAGTGTCATCAATACGATGGTTTTGGAACTCAAGTTCACCAAGCACGAAGATCAATACATAGCGGATGGAGGGGAATATTTATGCACCACAGGCGCCTTCAAGAATCGTCTCAGAAGGGACGAATTCCTCAATAATTCTCCGTCAGTCAAGACCGGGTTGGGGAATCGCTTGTTGAGCCTCATCTTGGATGTGGCCACACCCGAACGTTTTGGCTGACAACTCGTGATCAAGACCTCATTTCGATTGCCGCATTAGCCGATTGAATACATGCGCCTTGAGCTCGATACTGGAGCTGTATCTATGAATAAGCACCAATAGACAGGGCTCGATAGCTCAGCCTGATTCCCTTCTGCTTTCACCAGTATGCATTGCAGCCGACGGTGCAACATTACTTTTCATTTTTGGCCATTCACAGCGACAGCGATATGCACGACGGAATGCATGATGTAGCGTCACCTTCCGACCGATTTCATTGTGCAGGTGTGACTGGAACGCATGCAAGGATGGTCATTGAGCAACCTGATTGTGTCAATGGTACCACCTCCACATGGATCGTGGTCCATCGGTGGCCAAATCCTTCGGAGATCTCACGGATGTCAAATGCATTTCGACTGCGAGCTGCACGACGGAGCAACTTGCAATGACTTGAAAGTGTGATTACACATTCGCCAGAAGGCCATCACGCAGGTCAGGCTTGATTGTGATACGGTTAGCGTGTATAGGAATTACCACAATTTGATTAAGCTATATGTCGGGTAGGGCATCATATTCTCGGCTTGCATCCCGACTCTCCTGACGTATCAGATCGTCGAGACGATCAGGCTGAACACCCTCATTCTTCGACCCTTGCACGATTTCATGCCGACCCTGGGGCGGCAGGCTTGCTCAGACTCGCCTTCTTGGGGTTCTTGCTGTCGAACACGTCATCCAGCTCCTCTAGCGTCCAGCCCTTTGTCTCGACGTAGAAGAAGTAGATGAAGATAAACTCGAAGACATCCCAAAACACAAAGAACACGTAGAACCAGTAGCGGATGTCGTGGAGAGCTTTCGGTGCAGCGAAGGTGTTGACAAAGCTAGCGCAGCCGGACGCGATGGCGAAGACCATCATGCCCTTGGCTCTCATATCGTCTAATGGTGGCAAGGAGGTTAGCACTGTCACTGGACGGATTGGAATATGATGTAGGGTGGGAACGAAGAGGTGCATGGGCTGGATGTAACTTACTGGACAGGACCTCGGCGGGGTAAATGGGCTGCATGGGTGTGAAGGAGAAGGCGAAGAATGCACCAAAGATGAAGATGAAGGCAATGCTGGCCGCGCTAGCCTGCGTGCTACCAGTCTGCTCGTACTTGGCTGCAGTGCCGGCAACGATGGCGAGACACACCGACAATCCAGCGCACGATCCCATGAGCATCTTTCGCCGGCCGAACACATCGTGGAAACGAGCGCCGCTTGTAGCGAAGATCCAGCCGACAACGGCGTAGATGGCGTTCATCAACAGAACCAGGTTGGTAGATGTGATGCCCACATTGTTCATCATCATGGGTAGGTAGTAGCTGGCAATGTTGTTCCCGCTGAACTGGCCAAACCAGGCGAATGTGATAACAAGCATCAATCGGTATCGTCGGCCGGAGGAACAGAATAGACCGCGGAGATCAATCGAGTTTCGGAAGGAGATTACGCCGGCAGTTGCGAGAGAGTGCTCAATTTCTTTCATTTCCAAGTCGACAATGGGGTGCTGAGCAAGTGTTAGTGACTTAGTGCGAGGGCTTTGGAGATGCTTCACAAACCTCGGCATCACCATTGGCATGGTACTCCACGATGATGTTTCGAGCCTCCTCATGGCGGCCTTTGCTGACAAGCCTACAACGCTGGTTTAGTATCGTGTTTGGCTGAGAGAATGCTTTAGACTCACCATCGAGGGCTCTCGGGAATGAACAAAACACCGAGACAGACAATACCAGGGCAGAGCATCTGAAGCCAAAGCGGCAGCCGCCATTTGAGGTTGCCTTGAATGTGCAAGTTGGCTCCATAGACGGCAAAGGTGGCAATAATCGACCCCATGTACCAAAGAGTGTTGAAAATGCCGGCGATTGTTCCTCGGTAGAGGGGAGGGGCGATCTCGACGAGGTAGAGTGGTGCGGAGTTGTACGCAATTGTGGCGAAGAAGCTCAGCAGGAACCGACCGCCAATGAAGGTTCCTAGGTTTGGAGCGACGGTAGTGACTACTGTGGCGATGATAACTCCGACGCAGCCGACAAACATCGCAGTTCGACGTCCTCTCCAGTCGGGAATCCAGAGGAACAACGCCGCAACCATTTGGCCGATCTGGAAGATACTAAAGACCAATCCAGTGGAGGTGGCGCCGTCAGGGCCAAGGTTGTAGTACTGCTGGTATTCTGGCAGCGCGTTGATCGATCCCATAAGGGAGCCATCATAACCTACTAGATGTCAGTTTCGAGGCAAAATAATCAACCTCCCCCATTCGAAGACGCGGTATTCCGTACCGTTCATAGTTGAGCAGAAATACACCAAACCGCACATGAGGTACAGCTTCTTATGGCCCGGGCCCCATGGGTCGGGCTTGTGTTCATGGGGGAGCGCGTCAGCGACGATAGGGACCGACGCGTTGACCGCGGCCCCCTGCTCAGTCTTTTCGTTGTGGTGACTTGCTTCGGACATTGTGTTGTCCTTGCTGTTGGGTGTTGACATTTTTGAGTTGGAAGCTTTTAGGATGAGGACTCGGTAGACTGTAATTGACGCGAACAGCCAGCGAGTTGACGTTGTATTATAGACCGCCGCACGCGCAGGTTAAGAAGGCGATCCCGGAGTCTGGGAACAAGTCCAATCATGAGATCACTAGCGTCTTTACCCCTTCCCCAGACTGTCCAGGGTTTCTGGAGCATGCCATGTCTGTCAGTCAAGCTGAAGTGGTCCGAGAGAATGGTTCGGCGTGACAGGTAAGGACTTGTTCTTCAGTGGAGAGGGGCTAGCCAGAGCCTCTTGGCATCAGCCGGGGATTGCCTAATCAGGATCTCCGAGCTCCCGGTCGGGACTCGCTTAGTCCACCAGCCAACTCTGGTCTCGCTCCACCCGCGGTGAACATACGAATCGAGAGACTTCAGGCGGAGTAAACGCCGGGATTCGAATGCATTACGAATTCGTTGAGGCTCTACATGTAGATATCTGATACTTCTCATGTGACCTTGCCTGTTCCAATTTCAAATACAACAGAGAGCTGGTCATGGTCACCTGGGCGTGATTAGACTTTCGTTTCCTTCAACTTCACTCTGACCGTTTGTCAAACTCAACATATCAAGATGGGATCATGCGCAGATGAGAAGCCTGGCAGGTTGGTCGAGGCTCTTAGCTCAGGATGGGAATTCAAGCAGAGCGACAGCGGGGATGACCAATGGCTGCCGGTGGCTCGCGTGCCTAGCGTTGTACATCTTGACCTTCTGGACAATGGCAAGTAAGTGTGAGAGAAGACCGGCCCCTTCTCATCGCGAATCACTGGCTAATGAAGCAAGAATCCCGGATCCCTTTTTGGAGCTCAATGAGCTGGAAACCGACTGGGTTGCTGAAAAGTCATGGACGTATCGCGTCGATTTCTCGACCCCAAAGGCGCCTCGCGGGTGCAAAAGTGTTCTAGTGTTCGAAGGACTGGACACATATGCTGTGAGCATTCCTTCGATTCTTCTTTGAGGAGCAGTCTCAGCGGCTAACGTTACTCCTTGAAGTCCGTGTATCTCAACAATCAGTTGATCTTGACAAGTGAGAACATGTTTTTGAGCCACACTGTAGACGTGACAACCGTCTTGAAACATGATGGCACCAATCACCTCAGCATTGACTTTGATTCGGCTCTTCTCCGTGGCCGGAAGATTCAAAGCCAGCACCCTGAGCACGACTTCATCGCCCATAATGGGGAGTCCAGTCGGCTAGCTGTTAGGAAAGCCCAGTACCATTATGTGAGCAGTCACAAGATACAGGAGCCCAAGCTGTATGAAACTGACAAATTTCTTCCAGGGTTGGGACTGGGGTCCAATACTAATGTGCTGTGGGCCGTGGAAGCCAGTTCGCTTGGAGACATATATGGCCAAGATTGACGATCTTTGGTCGGACATCAAAGTCGATAGTGGACTCGCCTCTGCTTCTGGAAAGGTATTTGCGAGAGTTGACGGGCCCGCAGATCATGTCCAGTTCAAAGTGGCATTTGATGGCCAGATATTGGTTGAAGCGACAGCGGCCGTCGGGGAAGGGGGTGTGGCAAGCGTGGATTTCCATCTTGACAACCCGAAGCTGTGGTATCCTCACAGTTATGGCGCTCAACCTCTTTATGATGTTTCAGCAAGGCCCCTCGATGGCACGACAAATACCGCATTTGATGAGGCTGTGACCAAAAGGGTCGGCTTTCGCAAGGTTGAATTAGTCAGGGATCAAGACAAACACGGGCGGTCCTTCTACTTCAGAGTCAACGGTGTCGACGTTTTCTGCGGCGGATCTTGCTGGATTCCCGCCGATAGCTTCCTGACACGAATTTCTGCAGCCCGGTATCGAGGCTGGCTTCAAATGACGGTTGATGCAGGCCACATCATGACCAGGTGGGTAGCAGTCCCAGGAAAACTAGCCAAGTTGAACGCTAACTCTGGAAATAAAGGGTTTGGGGAGGAGGCATCTACGAAGATGATGCGTTCTATGATATCTGCGATGAGCTGGGCATTCTGGTCTGGCAAGACTTCATGTTCGCCTGTGCTTCATATCCGACATTTCCGTCAATACTGGAGAGTATCCGGGCAGAAGCCAGGTGCAATGTTCAACGACTACGACATCACGCCTCGATAATCATTTACGCGGGCAACAACGAGGACTACCAAGTTCAGGAGCTGCATAAGCTCAAGGTTGACTACGATGATAAGGACCCGGAGTCCTGGCTCAAGTCTGAATTCCCAGCTCGATACATATTCGAGCATCTCCTACCCGGTGTCATGGCAGAGGAGGCGCCTAATGTGCTTTATTGGCCGAGCTCGCCATTCTCTGGAGAAGGAAAACTCTCCTCCGACCCAACCACAGGTGATGTACACGAATGGGATGGTATGTCAAGTTTGTATTCTATACGTATAGTCTCTATAGAACTAACATCAATCTAGTATGGCACGGCAAGCAAGAAAAGTATCAGCTGTACGAGACGATAGGAGGTCGTTTCGTGAGCGAATTTGGCGTTGAGTCTTTGCCCAACATAGAGACCGTCAAATATTTTGCGCCAAATCCGGCCGACCAGCATTCTCACTCTCGCGTGCTCGACTTCCACAACAAGTTTGATGGCCAGGAGCGACGGCTTGCCGGCTATTTCTCGGAGAACTTCAGACCAGTGGGCGACCTAGAGGTAAGAGCTCGTTCCTATCACCGGTCTATTTTACATGCTAACAATGATTGCCCTTTCATAGTCTTACATCCACACCACACAGATTGCTCAGGCCGACGCCATGTCCTACGCTTACTCGGGCTGGCGCAAGCAGTGGGGCCAGGACCGCAGGTGCGGCGGCGCCCTGGTATGGCAGCTCAACGACTGCTGGCCTTGCGCCTCCTGGGCCGTGGTCGACTACTTTCTGCGCAAGAAGCCGGCCTACTACGCCATCGGTCGGGCCCTCGCGCCCGTGGCCGTCGGCGTCCGGCGCGAGATCCACGACTGGTGCGTGCCCCACGATCGCGGCGCGAACAAGGCGCTTAGCTACGACCTCTGGGTCGTCAGCGGCAGAACAGAGGAGGTGCTGGCCGACGTCGAGCTGCGCTTTGTGTCAATCGCTACCGGCAAGGATATCAAGGAGCGGCGGTTCAAGGAGGGCGTCCGCGTAGCGCCGTGTAGCACGACGCCGGTGTTTGAGGGTGTGGTCGAGGCTGGGCTGGAGCCGCATGTCCTCGCGTCGAAGCTTTGGGTCGACGGGGTATGTGTGTCTCGAGATGTCGACTGGCCGCAGCCGCTCAAATATCTATCCTTCGAGGACAGAGGTATCCAAGTCACTTCTCGTGCAGAGAATAGCGAGATTGTGATTAGCGCGGAGAAGCCGGTAAAGGCATTCGTCTTCGAGGAACGCGACGGAGTGAAGCTCAGTGACTCCGCTCTGAGCATCATCCCTGGGGATGAGCAGGTTATCAAGATCACTGGTATGAATGCAGGTGACAAGCCACTCGGTTGGCGGTACCTGGGACAGACCAATTGAGGCCCGAATCGCAAGGCTAGTTGAGGAGAATGGGACGTTTGATATTGTAGAAAACTCAACCCTTAGAGTAAACCAGAGAAACCCAGAATGTAACGCATGAGCAAGAAATTAGAGAACAGTTTCCTATCCTTCGTGAAATATCTTCGGATCATCATCGTCCCTGGGAGCAACAGGCATGAACATGCTCCCGTCCGAAAATTGCGCACCAGCCGTATCATAGAAACCTTGGTCGAACGTGCCGGCAAAATCTAGGCCTCCCATTACATCAGACCAATCATTCGCAAAGAAGGATTGGTCAAAGTTGTTGGGCAACAGGTCTAGAGTAGCAGCAGCAGCCTCCGCTTCCACTGCGGCCTCGCGGCAGCCCCGTTCTGTCCCCCGCAACAGCCGCTCCAGAACACCCTTGGTCTTCTTCCCCACGAGACTCCACATCGCCATGTTCTCGCACAAAGATATCCCCGTCTGAACCTCCGCTCGCCACGTTGCAAATGACGGGTCTTCTGGCGATTCGGTCGCCAATGCCATCAGTGGGATGAGGCATGCTTGGAAGAGGAACCAGACGGCGTTCCATCCGGACATCTTGGTTGGCCGCCATTCGTTCTTGATGCTCTCGATTGATTCCGCCGCCAGTTTCCGGCACTGCGAGACGGCTTTCTGTTCCTCTGCTTCGAGACTGGCGAATGGGATTTGTCTAATCGTCGCATCAAGGACCACCGCTCGATGTAGGAGGATGCGTATGTTCTGATACCGCCAGTTAAATACTGCTCGCACCACCTGCAATGACGAGGGACATGTGTTCGGCGATCGCATGAATGGGGGAAGCTGCTGGTACCAATCTACCAGCATTTTGTCGTAGGCACCGATCTCCTTCCAATCCAGAATTGGAGAGGTCTGGAGCCTCGCCTGGATGTGGCCTACGATGTTGCAAAGCGCGATGTTGTGTATCAACGGAGAGTTGACAGTCGCCTCCAAGGCAGGCGCTTCTCTTCCTGTCTGTTAGATCTGGTTAGCGCTAGTCTTCGCCCTGCTTGCGATCAAGAGCTTACCTGATCATCGACGAGGTTACGAGGAGGCTTGACCTCAAATTTGGCAGCATGGTACGGCCTTCCGAGTGTGGTAGATCCCCACGAGTCTAGCACGTAGTTGCACCACCATGTTCTCCTCCTAATCTCTGTCTCAATCGTTGTTGCATTCATCACATCTCCTGGAAACTCTCTGTGGAGTCCAAGCCCCGACGCTATCCGGTTTGCGGCACCCATGATGGCCGACGCCATATTGGGTCGGTTCCTATAGTGGAGGTACAATCCTCCCATCAGGATGAGTGCCTGCAGCGTCTCCATCTGCCCACTTCCGAAGCTTTCGAGGCCGAGGTGGGCTTGAGCCGCTCGATAGTACATAATATCGTCTTCGGAGTCAGACGTCGACGAGGCAACGCTTCCAAGCGCGAGCACCATGTAGAACAGGGCCATCCACGGAGATCCTCGCCGACTCCGTGTCAGGTATTGAGTCCGGAATGTTGGTTCGTGGACCATTGGTGCGAACACGTGCACATGAGTGAAATAGGCGTCAATAAGTCGTTGGCCTTCGTGATACGAGACCTGGGGCGCCGAATCGATGGGTTGCTGGTGGAAGGTGGGCGACTCCACGGGGCCAGAGTCGGCAAGCTTGGCAGGTCGGGCTTCGTTGTCTTGCAGGATAGATCCAGGAAGAACCTTGACCAGGACTCGAACGACCGCAGCGACGGAGAAGATGCCCAGGAAGGAGGACCGCGAATGGGCCGATAGCGAGAGAGCATTCACGTCATCCGCAGCAGCTTCTTGGAGATTGACATCGCTCTCGTCCCATTCAAACCCTTCTACAGCACCGTTCTCCAGCGTCTGCAGTCGCTGGACAGCTTCGCTGACTGCAGGCGAGGTAGACGGGGTTTGCAGCATCGCCTCCGGGTTCGGGGCCACGTGGGGCGAGCTCTGCGTTGCTCCTTCGGCGTCCGCATTGGCAAGGAGATGGAAGAGGTGGTCGCGGGAGCAGTCCCGGACAGCTGAGATCGGGATCTGGCCGAACAGCTTCTTGAAAATGGCGGCATAGTCTTCCGCATCGCTCGGTGCGGGCGCTCTGGAACTTGCATGTCAGTCCCATGGGACAGTGCATGGCTTGCAATCGCAGGTGGGAAAATTCTTACAGTCTGTCGGTCCGTCGCCGGCGCTCGACATACTGGCATGTCACATGCGCGCTGCGACAGTTGTGGCAGGGCAATTGGCCGTCGCATTTGACTTTGCGACGCTGGCAGTCGGCGCAGGCTCGGGCGACGGCGGGCCGCCTGCGGCCAAGTCGCGTGGCGACCGTCTCTGGGCCCTCGGGCCCTACGAATGTGGTGATCATGGCCGACAGGCCGGCTCGATCATATACTTCTCAGGTCCGGAAGGAAAGAAATGTCATCGTGGGCCAGATCAAGTATGGACACAGGCGTGCCGGAAGCCGATTGTTGGAAGCAAAAGGCTGTCACGGAAACATGCAGCCATTAAATGGCGGATCCCCATAATCACGCATAGCACGCGACGGTTTTCCGTCCAAACAGAGCTCCCTCCAATGCTAACAGATTCAGGGGAGAGACCACGCATATACTGATTAGTGGGTGGCAGGCTCTGTTAGTGCCTCCGCACTCGAGTAACCCCACAGCATCTTTGTGATTGCCTGATGCTCTGAAGTCAATGAAGATCTCGAGAGGGTGACTGACTCCTGGTAGAATGGCGCGGTGCGGTACCTGCAGACACAACTAGGCCCAGCCTGAGGGGAAATGAAGACATAGATGTGACCGAGGAGAGGGGTTAAGGTACGGGATGGCTGATCGCTGCATGCGACTACTGGTCCTCTGAGTAGTTCTAATTCCCCAACTGCAACATTAATGTTCATTCTTTTTGCCCTGATCCTAGTCAATATCTTGGAAGATGGATCAATCAAGACCGTTACTTGCCGCCAAAGTTTCTAGCTAGAGGAAGGAATCTTTTCAAGGAGAACTTCAGCGAGACTTGAGTGAAATCAGGCACCCGCCAGGCCCTGCACAGGATCCCAGACCTCGGCTTGGTAAACCATGCTGGCGGGAAATTGTTCTGGCCAGAAATGTGCTGCGCCGCAAACTAAGTTTGAATCTCGAAAAGCCGATCATGCGCTGCCTTTGCTCGCACGATCCTAAAGATGGACACTTCTATTCAATGCCTCGCTCGTTGGTCTTTATCGCCTGTTGCGGTCATATGCTTCGTATTATCGGAGCTCGGGTCAGCGCTGTAGAAATTTGGCCTCCGTGGGCAAGTTCAACTTGGCCCGTGGAGATTCCCGGGGCTCGGTCGTCAGTGTGGTGCCGGACGGAAACATGCCACTCATGGAGAAGACTGACCGATTTGGTGTAGCTCAGTTCTCCAACTCGGAGATTCGGGGGTTTCCTAAACTGGAAGCTCGACTCTACAAGACGACCCACCCCCTCATTGAGGACAGCCACATGTTTACCTCACTCATATCCGTGGCTCGTGACCCTCGTGATCCTTCGGTTCTCAATCGGGCTTTCTCCCTTTGGACTGCGGGGAAGGGAGTGCCGGACGGGCCGCCGGTGAAGGAGGCGTTGAAGTTTAGCACGAGCATCCCCGGACTCGCCCGTGACTATCACTGACATGTGAGCTCCGAACACTCCTTCTGGCCATGGTTAAAGGCTCATGTCGAGAAGTTGCGTGTATTTATGATCATGTTGGCAGCCACATCCTAGAGATAACTTCCAGGAGAACCTCTATCCCCCGTGCTCAAGTGCCAAATATATCGTATCACAACCCTGTCTGAAATGTCTGTCATCTCACCATCCCGTGCCATCTTGGCTCTTATGCTTGCCGCCGCCGGCTCTGCCGCGTACGTGGAGAAACGCGTTCCCACCTTTTCCGTCAAGTTCTTGGGCAATGTGACTAGCACCAATACCGAGACCATCCGGGATCTTGGCTTTGCCGGCTGCGTTGGAGACGTCTGCATCGGCTCGTACGGCGACACGCTGATCTGCGGCGACGGCTCCGCCAAGGACCGGTACTACCAGACTCCGCCTTGCGTCCTGCTCCACGCCAACTCGGCAGCGTACGCCACCAAGGATCCGACCAAGATCACTGATGTGAAGCTGGATTCCAGGGGCCTGCCGGAGATGTTCTGTGGGTACTTCCCCGGTGAAATCAAGCCGGGTCAGAGCGAGTCACAGTACGGGATGGGTATCACGAATGTGATTGCTATGCCCAACTCGAAAACAAAAGGAATCTTGTACTTTCTGAAGAACTTCAGACCTGATACCGTCCACGATGACATTGTGGGCGGCGGCATTGCCATTGTCGACGTCTCGGGGCCCTACCCGACCTGCCAACGTACCGCAGAGTAAGCTTGGGATCCTCCGTACCTTCACTTCCGCTCAAAGACTGAAATCATTAGCCACTGGTGGGACGCCCACAAGGAACCCAACTGGGGCGACAAGAGCTCCGCTCTGGGTCCGGATGGATACGTCTACGTCTTTGGCGGCGCCAACACAACCCTCTTCTACGACGGCATCTACGTCGCCCGGGTCCCGCACGGGTCCCAGCAGGATTTGAGCAAGTACGAGTACTGGAACGGCAAGGCCTACACCTCAGCACGAATCTACAATCCTAGTCAGAAAGAGGCTGTGCTGCTGTCAGGCTCGACTGGACAGGGCCAGCTCATGTGGAACCCGCACCTTCAGCAGTACCTGTACCTCTACACCTGTGAGTAATCAACACTGCAGCGTGCTTGGGGCCACTGATCTGATACAAAAATAGCGTACGCCTATGTTGTTGGCCGCACGGCTCCCAAGCCAGAAGGTCCCTGGAGTGATCAGTTCACTCTATACAACGCTCCAGGCTTCCCTTTCATCTACAGCCCGACCCAGCAAGCGCAATATGATCTGTCCGGGAAGTCTGTGGTTATTAGCTACACCGCTTACCCCAACATTCTTCAGGCTATCAAAGTGGTATGTGGACCAATAGCTCCCAGCTGCATTCTTCTTTGGGCGCTAACTTCGGTGGTAGACTTTTGCATAAATGACAATAGACATCACCAACTTGGTAATCCCAACTTGGTAATCATTGAATATGGCCATAAAGCCTGAAAGATTTGATTACCTTTTTCTGTCCAAAAGATGGTTGGTGGGAAAATTGCCAAATATGAGTCTAAGGAGAATGTTTGCGTCCTTACCACTGATAAGGATACTGTCGGGAGAACTGAATCAAAATGCTTCATGTTCACCGGGCCCAGACGGACTCTGGTTGTTCTCTTCTACTTCTTGCCTGAGTTTCGAAATCTACGTAACTATTAAACGGATCGAATCACAAGCCAGAGACGCATCGCCACTCTACATCCTTTACGGATAAGCCATTCCATAGATCTGATACTTCGCTGATCTTCGACTCGCTGAATAGTATCACATTGTGTCCATTTTGTAGAATCAAATATGCAAGCAGACTAGTAAAGACACCAACGCAGGCGAGCTGAAATGAATCAGGGCTGCCCTCAAGGCAACTCTGACAATAGCTTGAAGAGCATGCAATATACTCTAATCTACCCCCCGACGGATATTGACTTTCTAGTCTTTTTACTTCCATATCATATGATCAATGTTGACCCAACATGGTTGTTGCGTTCGACCATAGTATCCCTAAACTGATTCGTTGAGCCAGGCAGCAAACCGTCATCATTGGTCAGGTTGCAATCACGTGTCTGAAGCCCAACCAAAGTAGGTTGGGCATCAATTGATCACAAGGCTGTTGGATATGTCATGCCAATGCGTTCCTCTCACGTTCGTCTTTCCTCGTTGTTTAGGATAGCAAAGTCATCACTGCTATTATGTGGCTCATCAACGCCTCCACTCTTGAGCTCGAGGAGTTCATCGGAACCGAGATACCCAAGTATGCCATCCTATCACACACATGGGAGGAGCAAGAGGTGTCCTTCAAGGACATGCGTTCACGCAGGAAACGAGAAGCAAAGAAGGGCTTTGCGAAAATCAAGAAGACCTGCAGACTCGCTTTGAAAGACGGCCTGCAATACGCCTGGGTCGACACCTGCTGCATCGACAAGAGGAGCAGCGCAGAGCTTTCCGAAGCGATCAACTCCATGTTCATGTGGTACCAGGAGTCGGAGATATGCTATGCGTTTCTGTCAGATCTTCAGCCGACGTCGTCGCTAGAAGATGACTTTGCCAGTCGCCGCCGATGGTTCTCCAGAGGGTGGACTTTGCAGGAGCTTATCGCGCCTGCAAAGCTGTACTTTTATGACTCTGGCTGGAAGAACCGCGGTTCCAAGATGCGACTGGCGGAGAAGATAGCAACCATCACAAGGATAGACATATCGGTCCTCGAGCACACAACCGACCTTACTTGCTTGCCAGTGGCAGAGAAGATGAGCTGGGCAGCTCACAGGCGGACAACGCGGCCAGAGGACCTTGCATATTGTCTGCTTGGAATCTTCAACATCAACATGCCCTTGTTATACGGCGAAGGGCCAAGGGCTTTTATTCGGCTGCAAGAGGAGATCATCAAGACCAGCAATGACTTGTCTATTTTCGCATGGACAGCACCGCTACCCGCAGCTCAGGACAATGAGCCCCCGGATGAGATAGTGTGCAGCGGCGTACTTGCGACATCCCCATCTTATTTCGGCCATGGCCCGGAGAGGGCAATACGCGGTCGCTGTCAATACCACCACCAGCCAATCTCTGTTACAAGCATGGGCGTCGCGGTCGACAACAACCACATTTGGATTCGATACGATCCAGTGCAAGCAGAGCTTTACCTTGGAGTGTTTATCGGCTGTTTCGACGAACATGGCAAGCGTCTATTAACCAAGCTCCGGAGATTTCACATCAATCAGTATGTCCGAGCATCTCCGCACCTACTCATTCGCAATTGCGGAACCCCACAACCCATGAAGACGAACCTTCAATGGAAGTGGAGTCAGATGAAGCAAACCCAGTACCTTGCCACACAATTATCTGGATCCAAGGGTACGGAGATTGGTTTATTGACGCTGTCCGACGTGATGAATCGATGGGGGAGTGTTGTTCGATTCCGATACTCGCCTCGCGAGCTAACGATTCTCACAGCAGAACCTTATGGTAGGTGGGACGAGGGAAGTTGTACACTCGTGGATTATTATCCTAATACCTGGGGGCTCCTAAGCTTCGCTCTGAATGCCGATGAAATACTGGGAGAAGAGTACCCGCTGGAAGGTTCGGCACACTTCGCACTCTTTGTACACAGCTGGGAGGAACTGGGAATCCCCAAGGCCCAATTTAGGCTGATTAGTCACCCGGTGTTGACTGCTCTCGCCAGCAGCGGTTTCACAGATAAGAATTCGCCAGACGCGATGCTCCACGAGATGGACAGACAGGGTATACAACCGGACTCGAAGATAGTATTGGAGAGCTTCCGCCCCGGGCGAGTGTCCGTGACGGTACGCATGAAGGTTGTGTCCGATACGGAATTGCGGCGATTACCCTACTGGGAATTTGAGATCACCCGCCGTGTGTTATTGTGAGAATACCTTGGATAGACTGCAACGGAGGACTATTGAGTTTTCTTGTCAAATAGGGTATATGAAATGCATCACATGTTTACTGATAAAGATAGGATTGCTTTTTGATTACGAGAAAGCTCGTCTCAGACCATTCAGACTGTCTAGCGGTAAATCAGAGACCTTGTGGTGCGTCTGATTGACAACGAAAACCTCAAAGTTGTCCCAGGGTTCAAGATGCAGACTTGACAGCCGCAGCGGCAAGGTCAGCAAGAGCCTCACGACGTTTGTACTTTCCATCCTCGATTACACCTGTAATAGATGACAGCATTAGTACTTTGTAAATCCGGACGATGAGGGTAACAGGGGGGAAGGAGACGGTCGAGGCATACCGGCATCGGCATCGCTGGAGAAGAAGCCGGACCACTGGACAAAAGTGTGGTTCTCGTGCTGGCCCGAGGTGATGGGGAAGAGACGAATGGTGCTCAGGGAGGACGAGTAGCTGAGGTTCGGCTCGGCGGTGATGACGGAGTACGTGATGTAGTGGTTGATAGTCTGCAGCGCGGCGCGTTAGTCTCAGCTCATGTGATGCCTGCTGCTGGGCTTGTGATCCCCAATGAGAGAAGAGGAAGAGTGACGTGAGGGGCACTGACCGAGTGCTCTTCCTGCTTGACTTCGAGGACGGTGCCATCCTTGAAGGACCACTTGATAATGTCGGTGTCGGGAGAGGTGCCCTTGACGAACTCGCTCTTGTTGAGCTTGGACCAGAACTTGGAGAAGTCCTCGAGCTTGACGAGGTGCCAGACATGGGCGAGGGGCGCCTCGACGACGATGGACTCGACGACCGAGGTGGCGGTGGGGATACGAGTAGAGGGGTCCATTATGTAAGAGTCCTGTCTCTAGATATGTGGTCTGTCGGCTTTGCTATACTGGTGCTTGGCGAGAGATGGAGCCTGCTGTCAGATTGTTTGTGTTGGGGATGGGATTTGTCGAGGCAGAATGGGATGATTCTAGCTCTAGCTTTCTGCTCGTAGTGGCAAGTGGGGGTGGCCAGGCGGCGATGACGTCGACTTGATGCGCACCTTGTCGAGCTCATTACCCTTTTGGGCGACAAGACGCAGGGTTAGGGTTGACAATGACCTTGAAACCCCTGGCCTCCTCAATCACGAGAAACGATCAATCACTGTGCCATCGTGAGACAAATGCAGTTCTCTCACGTGTAGGTGTCTGTGTGAAATAGTGTTTTGTTTTTGGAGAGCTCTCATCTTACATCTTAGGGGTGGTGGGCTCCAGAGGCATGTGTGATTACTGCAAAAAACCCTTGTCTTTGCAGGAGCAGGAAGTCAAGAGGAAGATTCTACAGAGGACCAGGACTGCCCCAGGGGCTTAGAGAGAGCTTTTGAGTAATCTTGTCTCGCTCTGAGCTCGGCTATTCTGATGCCAGCTTTAGGTGCCGTGTCGATCTGAAGATGTTATTAGCTTTGCTCCTTCAAAGCCCTGGCACACCTCAGAGATGTATTGCTCTGTCAATATGGCTACGTAGACATGATTACCATTTCGGAGCCGTTGAATGGCTCCGCTTGGACAGCCGCTGTTCCTCTCTGATCCCGTTCCCGGGAGAGGCGAGCGCATATGCCCCTCTTTTCCAGCTTGAGCCGCTCCCAGGGGATCATCACTCTTAGCGCATCATGACCTCGACGATTTGTCTCAGGTACGGCCTGCCCGCTCTTCGCAACACACATTCATACCACGTATTTATACGGACTTGGTCGTTCGCAACCACTTACCCCGCCTGCCACAATTTAAGGTCTGTAATCCCACAATGCTGATTGAATGGATCTGAAACGCATTACTACTAGTGGAGCTAAATCCTCATGGGTTGCATTTCCTTACATCAATGACGCGCCCCATCTGTCATTTTTGTGTAAGTCCTGAGCAATACCTAACTTGTTGCTAGGTCCCGGGCGTTTTACTCCGGACCTGTGATCGTCGGACAGTTTATAAGCTCCCATGTTGTGCCGTGCTGCTGCTGTGCTCATGTTTACTTTTCCAGTGCTGTCACCCACGCATTTGTTTCTCAAGCAATTGCTCCTCAGCAGTCCCTCACATTGGTGACAACCTCATATTAGCGTACTCAATGGCATCGAAATTGACTGATACCTTCAAGTCTGCCCAAGCCGCCGTCATGAGCTCCTCCCAAGGCGCCAAGCTCGCTGATCTTCAGCGTGACATGAAGGAGCCCACCGACAAGACGACTCTCACCTCTGACTTTGGTGTCCCACAGACAAACAACGATGACTGGCTCAAGGTGTACAGCGAGGACAAGCAGGGGCCCTTTTTGATGGAAGACAATTTCGGCCGTGAAAAGGTATGCATAATCTATCTTCGCCATGCTAGTCGTCTGTCCTGACCAATATCTCCCCCAAGATTCACCGCTTCGACCATGAGCGCATCCCCGAGCGGGTAGTTCATGCCCGGGGTGCCGGCGCATTCGGTCGATTCACTCTGCACACCAGCATTGAGGACCTCACTTACGCTCCCATCCTCACGGACACATCACGCGAGACCCCTGTCTTTGTGCGTTTCTCCACTGTCCTCGGCTCACGAGGCAGTGCCGACACCGTTCGTGATGTCCGAGGCTTCGCAGTCAAGATGTACACCCAAGAAGGCAACTGGGACATCGTTGGGAACGACATCCCCGTATTTTTCATCCAAGACGCAATTAAATTCCCTGATATGGTGCACGCGGCGAAGCCTGAGCCGCACAATGAGGTGAGACTATGTGCACGCCCTTCTTCCTGATACTGCTATGTATGCTAACTTAAAAGAAAGGTGCCACAAGCACAATCTGCACACAACAACTTCTGGGACTTCCAGTTCCTCCATCCCGAAGCCACCCACATGTTCATGTGGGCCATGTCTGACCGCGGTATCCCGCGCTCTTTCCGCATGATGCAGGGGTTCGGAGTGAACACCTTCACACTGGTCAACTCCAAGAAGGAGCGCTCCTTTGTCAAGTTCCACTTCACCCCAGAGCTCGGCGTGCACTCGCTCGTCTGGGATGAGGCCTTAAAACTTGCAGGCCAGGACCCTGACTTTCACCGCAAGGACCTCGAGGAGGCCATCGAGAACGGAGCCTTCCCAAAGTGGAAGTTCGGAGTGCAAGTCATCCCCGAGGCCAAGGAGCACGACTTTGACTTTGACATACTCGACGCCACCAAGGTGTGGCCCGAGGACCTGGTCCCGGTCAAGTACATCGGCGAGCTCGAGCTCAACCGCATGCCCGACGAGTACTTCCCGCAGACGGAGCAGGTCGCCTTCTGCACCGCCCACGTGCCTCCCGGCATCGGCTTCTCCGACGACCCCCTGCTGCAGGGCCGCAACTTCTCCTACTTCGACACCCAGCTGAGCCGCCTGGGCGTCAACTGGCAGGAGCTGCCCATCAACCGGCCCGTCTGCCCCGTCATGAACTTCAACCGCGACGGCGCCATGCGCCACGCCATCCACAAGGGCACGACCAACTACTGGCCCAACCGCTTCTCCAAGGTCCCGCCCGCGCCCGAGGACAGCAAGACGTCGTACGTCGACTACGAGGAGAAGGTCGCGGGCATCAAGAAGCGCGCCCGCAGCGCCAAGTTCCGGGAGCACGTCGCGCAGGCGCAGCTCTTCTTCAACAGCCTCTCGCCCCAGGAGAGGTCGCACCTGACCAGCGCGCTGGCCTTTGAGCTCGACCACTGCGACGACGAGGTCGTCTACGAGCGCATGGCGCAGCGCCTCGCCGAGATCGACCTGGGCCTCGCGCAGAGCGTCGCCGAGATGGTCGGCGCCACCGTGCCCGACAAGGCCGGGCGGCCGAACCACGGCCGCAGGGCGCCGAACCTGTCGCAGATGGACCTGCTGCCGGCCAAGCCCACCATCGCCACGCGCCGCGTCGCCATCCTGATCGCCGACGGCTTCGACTCAGTCTCGTACACCGCCGTCCGCGGCGCGATCGGCGCGCTGCAGGGGACCCCGATGGTCATCGCGCCGAGGCGTTCGGCCATCAAGCCCGCCGGCGGCGGCGCCAGCGTCAAGCCCGACCACCACCTCGAGGGCTTCCGTAGCACTATGGTGGACGCTATTTTCATCCCCGGTGGCGAGCAGTCCATCAAGGCGCTAAGCAGCAACGGCCGCGCCTTGCACTGGGTGCGCGAGGCCTTTGGGCACCTCAAGGCCATCGGCGCGACGGGTGAGGCGGTCTCGTTTGTGCGTACGGCCGTCTCGCTGCCCGCGGTCGAGGTCTCGAGCTCCGAGGAGGCGGTTGAGTCGTACGGCGTGGTGACACTCGGCAATCCCAACACGGACAGCTTGTCAAAGGTGGTGGATATTGTCAAGAACGGCAAGAAATTTACGGATAAGTTCTTCCACGCGATCGCGATGCATAGGAACTGGGATCGCGAGCTGCAGGGGTTGAGCACGCAGGTTGCTTACTAAACTGCAGTGGTGAGGGAGGAGAAGACATGCGTGCACTTGTGTAATGGAGTTGACCCCGTGGAACGGGTCGGCCTGCTGGTAACGGTTCTAAGACTATTTGCGTCTAGGAGAGCAATTGGCCTTGCAAACTGGACGTAAATCAATCGGAGGATCAATAATCGTCGACCTCATTTCATCTTATCTCCATGAATGAAAATAGTAGTGACTTCACAGTCAGAGGGGACAAGGTCAAGGCTGTCGTTGGACTGGGGCAACCAGGTCACGTATCGTTAGAGCGAGTTGAATGTCTTTGTCACTTGGAAAGATGTATCCAGATGCTCACCAGTAGTGGCAAATGTCGACTTCACATCAAACCGATGTCCAACCCTGGATCGATCGTTGGGTGGTGTCGGACTTCACAACAGGTTCCTATCACCGGAACAAGCGACCAGATCTCCATCCTTCCATCTCTGCTAATCGTGCTTCTTTCAATTCTGCTATAGGAATACCTGATTAGCCGCAATACTGTACTCGGCAGGATCATTCCGTAATGCATGCATGCTTGGTCCGGGGCTATCTACTCCATTCACGCCAGGCGGGTCCGAACTGGGCGACACCAGAAATTGCCCCACAGATAGGCGTTCCGCCGGACTCCGTGCTCTCCGAAAGCCCGTGCTTCATGTACGGAGTACTGACTAAGGTACAACGAGTAATTCATGTGCATTGCTTGCGCCGGAAGCCTTCAAACCCAACAAGGTTGCCGATAGTTCATCGCGGTGGATGCACCAAGATAATCCCGAAGTGATATCGTCGGGAGTCGTGGTTACGCGGCTTTTACAGCTACGGCTGCTCACAAGGCTTACACAAAGATCCCTGACAATTGTACCTAGTCCTTACCCTCTTAGTATCTGCCCTTATCAAAATTGCGTCCGCCAGACAAGAGATAGGCTGGTCTCCCCCCTAGCTCTTGTGCGGAAATGATGCCACTGGGCTGTGAATAGAGTAAACTTACCTTAAGGATGAAGTGTCCAACTTTTCCTCGTACCTGTGGAACTATTCGCGCGGCTGGATACACACATCAATTGCGTGGGCAACATACAACCTCTCTTAGGACTTAGGAACTGGAAAGATAACAGTATCTCATGTCTGTAGAATGAGAATGAGTTTAACTAAGAGACTGACATCTACCTCACATAATCACTAATCTCGAATGTCTCCTATGTAATTCAATTCTTATCTCCTCTCCGCGATGCAAAGGTTGCATCAACATGATCATGCATGTTGTACCTGTCCAAGAAGTCAGCGCTTGAATAATCCACACATGTTCGAAATGCTTGCAACCTACAGATTCATCTCCTCAATTGTGAGCTTGCTCTCCTCGTCTGAGACGTTGTACACCGGGAGTTTCGTATTACTGGAGAACCCTGCATTGTTATAAATTAGCCTTCGGTCTAAACATATGGTGGTGCAGTGTAGAGTTACCGATTCGCTCGTTGATGTTCTCCCTAGCCCTCGCAGATGCAGCTTGGACTTTTGTAGCTCTAGGCTTGCGGACCTGCTCATAGACTTCGAGAGCCTCGCGGATATCGCCCTGGAAGTGCTTTTTACTAAACACAAGTCCGAGGGCAGCCGCATCTTCGATTGCCTGGCATGCGCCCTGGCTTTGGTCTGGCATCATCTGGTCTAGAGTTAGATGCAAACACCAGTCTCTGGGTAGGAAAACGTACAGGATGGGCAGCATCTCCCATTATACATGCCAGGCCTTTCTGCCAGAGTGGGTACGGCTCATGAATCCAGAGGCGCCACGGCCGGACTTCATAGCCAATCTCGAGATGTTTAAAGACTTGCCGGTCCAGATCAGGGTAGGGAGCCAACAGCTCCTCGACAGTGGCCTCTTGGTCCCAAGTCTGTGCGGTCAAATCGCCCGCCTCTCGAGGGAAAAAGCAGTAGTACGATAAGAGCCGCCCACCATTGCACGGCGATAGCACAATCTTGTAATGGGTGTTGTAGCCACCCCAATACTCAATCGCGCTGTTCTTAGAATAGTCGACCAGCCCCAGCTTGACAGCCTTGTCGGTATCAACGTTGGCGTGAAGACATGTGCAAGTAGCGGGCCGCCGGTTGGGCGTGACGCCCAAGGCAACCCGAACAGCTGACCCGATGCCATCAGCCCCGATGATAAGGTCATGAGTTACCTTGTTGCCATTGGTGAAGGTAATCTCTCCAGTTTCAAGGTCAATCTCCTGGGCCTAGGTGGGCTGGTCAGTAATGATACACACACTCCATTTGACCGAAGAGTCATGGCGCGAGTTACCTTATGGTTGACCACAAGCTTCGCTGGTTTCCCTTCACCGCTCTCCGAGAGCGCACTATCCATAAGCATGCGGTGCATATACTGTCGGTGGAACATGTTGTATACCTATTCGTGGGTCAGACAACGTGCCCCTGGAACAACGTTCATACCTTAACAAGAATATCCTACATATCCCCATTTCTCTTTGTAATCTGACAAGTCGTACACGTTTATAGCCTCGCCAGTCTTCCAGTCGCGACTGATCAAGTTCCGAAGGATAACGGGATCGCCGAGCGCGATATTGACACCCCATTCCTCAAGCCAACGGGTTCCGTTCGCGGCACAAGAAATGGAAGCTCCAACCTCGCCAGCAAAGTCTGCGCGCTCATAGATTGTTACTCTGTGGCCCTGGCGGCGCAGGGCTGTGGCAGTAGCTTGGCCTCCTATGCCGCCTCCGATAACAGCCACGTCTAGTTCCCGCCAGCTGGTTTGAGACGGCATGATGCGTTGTGTACTGAGGCTGTGTTCGTAGTATCGAGTATCTGAGACTATACTCTCTCCATGTGCAGCGCAGTCTTTCAAAATATATATCATTCAATATGTAGTGCACATGTGTATTGTTGATTTTGGCGAACGGGTATTCCGAGCTATTCTGGCAGCATCCCGACCCGCCCGCCCCCGGCTCCCCGATACATCCTCGGCCCAGTGACTACCATGGAAATGCCGGATCCAGTCTTGTGGCATTTCCGACCCTAAAGCACTCCATTCCTATTGAGAGACCAATCAGGAATTAGGGAATTATGTCGAACAGACACATGGTACGCTCAATACATCCTCAGGACCTACCGATATTCACAGTGGCTCTTTCTTTACCAACAATCACCCAGCATTAGCCTGCGGCAATTCACCAATACAGATCTTCCCGTAATGCTGAGAATGGGCTCTTGCACACTATTCTAGAAAAGGAATGTCATCATGATGGGAATTCGGGCAGGTTTGTGAAGCAGCTGTGGCTTGACTACCAGCTCTCCAGAGGTCTAGATTCTCAAAACGCTAACTTCTTTCAGGCTTTTGGGGCAGTGGGGCAGGTCACAACACCTTGTTCCAGGGACCGAAATAGGAATCTGAGTCTCGAAGAACAGCATTCTGTTCGCATAGAGGCATACGAGTCATCTTTGCACGAATTTCAACTAGTCCCGGTGTGTTGGATAGGTTTATCATTGGAAGGCTGGTTGCTTCTTTACGTGTTGAACCCACGCGTGACGTGAATATGTGCAACAATCCGGTAGTGCTGGGCAGCCGGATTCCGGGGCCGGGACTCGCCTGTGAGAGATTGGCTCCATTCATTGGCTCCCGCTCTTGATAAATGCTGTCTCTTGTTACTCCGTCAGTTCCTAGTATTTATGGAGGCGTGCACGGACCATCCAGACACATTCTCTTGAAGGCCAGGCGAGTGCTGCAAGATGAACAAGACGTTGAAGGATCGAGATTCCACGGTGATGCTGGAGAAACATGAGATGGCAGGGGACAGTCTACCTGGAACTTGGGGCCAACGTGCCGCTAAGCGTCGTCGTACCGCCTTGGCTTGTTCTGCCTGCCGCTTGCGCAAGTGCCGTGTAAGTCAGGGTCTCACTGGCATCCACTCATCGAGCGCGTTGCCTTTGTTCTCCTTCCCCGTATTACTTATGAGACGGGACTGATGGCTCGGATATTCCTAGTGTGACGGGAAACAGCCGCGGTGCAGTACATGCAGCCGGATGGGGTTCGAATGCATTTACGAGTTTTCTGAAGCATCTGCAAACCTCATCTTACCTAAAGAGTAGGGATACCGGTTCCGTCCCCAAAACTATGTCGGCCTAGTATCCCCAATACTGACCCAGCACTTGTACAGTGCATTTTCTAGCCTCAGGGATAGAATGAGTGTCCTTGAAGCAAAGTTGGCAAGGCACGATACTCGTATTCGCAACATTGAAAAGTGTGAAACGAGGTATCCAGATACGCCCCTCGTTGAGGATGCAGTTGCTCCTGGAGTAGTCATTTTAAGCGTCGAGGATATCCAGGACCTTCCCTCTGATGGCGGCAAGACAGACGGAATGGCAATATCCTTCGTCGATGATCAGGACTGTGGCTTCTTCGGTAAATCGAGCTCTTGCCTTCCCCTAAATCGTGGTGGCGCAACTCATGGGTTCATTAGGTCCATCGTCAAATATCGCCTTCATGAGGCATATAATTCGGGCAATCGCCAAGAGGGAGAGGGTCTACGACCTTCACTCCATTGCACCTGGCGTTGACATTGGCCTTTACGAGCCGGAATTGATCCAAATCCCGCGGCTCATGTCACCAGGCTCACCAGGCAATGTCGATACAATGGAAGACGCCGTGCCAGCTGCCAACCTACTTCCGCCGGAGACCGAGACGCTTAAATGGATTCAGATATACTTTTCTGGAACTGGTCTACTCTTCCCCTTCATACACGAACAGACATTCCTAGAAACCTATGAACGAGTCCGGCAAGGCAACTACAGAAATAACATGCGTAGGACCTGGCTAGGACTTCTCAACATGATTATTGCCATGGCCATGCGGACAGAATCAGCGGCCGAAGAAGACGTCCGAGTCGGTGGTCTTGATGATCCAGAAACCTACTACCGACGGGCACGAGAGATTTGCAAAACACAAATGCTCCGAGGCACAACATTGGAAACTGGTGGGCTTCTGCGAGATCTCGGTTGATATGAGAGGAACTAACATAGTTACCGACAGTTCAGTACTTGCTGCTCACAAGCATGTATCTCCAAGGGACTCAGAAGTCGGTACAGGCTTGGTCCATGCACGGATTAGCTGTGAAGGGTGCATTGTCAATTGGCTTGCACTCGAAAGATGCGATGTCAAAGTTTCCCACAGTGGAGCAGGAGATGAGGAAAAGAGCATGGTTTGGCTGCGTCATACTTGACAGGAGTCTGAGTATGACGTTTGGCAGGCCCAGTGCAATCCCTGATGAGTATGTGAAGCTTGAGCCGGCGAGGACAATTCCACGGTGCGGCGCACTCACAGCGTTACCTCACATTCACGACGAGATAAGCACTGCATTCTATAATGCAACGGCGTAAGCTTCCCCACAAAACTTGTATGCTTTCAAATCCCCTTGCTTACAACCGAATAGTGCCTTGTACAAAATTCTTTGGAAGATCATGGGTACCTTGTATGGTCATAACCTGGGCTGCGACGAACCCTTTCTCGAAACACAGATGGCAACGCACCTTATCCAAATTGAGATCCAGCTTGCGGAATGGCAGAGTGCTCTGCCTCCAGATCTTCAACTTCGCTCCTCGGATTCACTGCCTTTGGGATACGATTTAAAAGATCCCATACTCGAAAAGTTCCACTTGGTCTTGTCCTTGAGGTATCTGAGCACACGTCTACTTCTGTACCGGCCTTGCCTCACCAAATCATTGAAAGACGATAGCTGGAAGTCCCGAGGATCTCCCAATGCTCAGTTCTTTCAGGTAGGCGTCCACACAGCCTTTGAACGGGCTTGTGTGCGCGCCGCCGAAGAGATCATTGACATAGTGCACTCGGTCCTCCACAGACCCGGGCTGGGGAGGAATTTGCTAGGGGCTTGGTGGTTTAACGTCTATTACGGTATGAGCAACCCCTTCATCAATTCCCTTTGCCAACAGTCAAGTCACTCACAGTCCTGAAGTGTTCAATGCAGCCCTCGCCGTTTTCGCGAGTCTTCTCCTCCCTGACGAACATGGACCAGGAGCTATGAGTGAAGTAGAGAGGTTGAATAGAGGCACGCAATACATCGACAAATCTCAACAGGCCCTCACGAAGATCCACGCCTCAAATCCAATCCTGATTCGATGCGTAGACTACTTGAAACAGCTATCAAAATTTACAGTGTCCTGGGGTGAGTACCCTGGTGATCTAGTAGTTATTACTAGACTCATTTCGCAGTATGTGCTGATCCTGACGCTTGTCAGCCGCCTCCATAGAATCAACATCGAGTCAGCCAACACTCTCCGACGAAGTCCAAGCAGCGCAATCCTTGCCGCTGTTTGGATCCGACACTGAAATAAGCGGGGACACTGCTCTGGATTGCTCAGTACAAACACCTCCATTCGCGATCAAGGAGGACGAGTTTGGGCTTGAGCTCGGTCAGTTTCTCACCAGAGATTTAGAGAAGTGGTTTGAGGATAATTCTATTTAATTCAGCACCGCAACACAAAACAACCTTCTTGTCGATGAAAGGGAACCAAAAGCCTCGCGAATAGGTGTTAGATATGGAGGGGAAGGGGTTCAGCCTACCTAGTGCTTTGATTGAATGCAGTTTGACCCATATACACTTGACTTGCCGTTCTTAATTGTGCGACTGCCCTTACAACGGCCCGAAACGCTCCTAGTGATAACGGTAGCGTGCATCATAGTTTTCCTGCAACGTAATCAGGCATTTCCAAAGGTGTGGCTATCATGAACCTGCGAATTCGCATTCTTCCCCCTCCTCGAGATCACCCCGGCCATGTTCCGGCTACAAGTATAGATAGACTCGGTTAGGCGGAGGCAGTAAGACAGGGATCGGAAAGCGGCTGGTTGTGTTGCCACTCTTTAGTGCTCCGAGTCCGGATTCCGCTTCGTCCGCAATCGCCGATGCCGTTTCCCACCTTTGACCGCTCGGATATCATCAAATGTCCTTATGTCGCAGTCGATGTTTTCGAAAGAGTGACAGGCAACTGATGGCGGCAGTGCTAAGACAAACTTCCACGCCAAATCCAATATATACAAGTATGGCAATTATCGCAGTTGCAGGGGGGACCGGAGATCTAGGCAGGACGATTGTGGAGGAGTTGGTACGGAACCCGAACCATCGCATTTACGTGATCACCAGAAAGGCAGGTCAACAGTTTAGACCCAGAAGAATTCAGTCTAGGCGAGTCTGGTGCTGACATTAGACTCGCAGGCGAAAGCGAGCATAGACTCTCTGAGCGCTGATTCCAACTCACTTGCGATTCTTCCAGTCGATTATGCACTAGTGTCTGAAGTTCGAGATGTCCTGCGGCATCACGAGATTGATACAGTCATATCCACTTTGAACCTACAATGGCCAGGGGCAGCAGACTCACAGATCAACCTCATCCGCGCGGCGGCCCAGTCGGGATCCGTTAAGAGATTCTTACCAAGCGAGTTCAATATCGACTATCATTCTCCCGCCGAGTACTAATCTTCCCTACTCCGACCATAGAGATGTGTTTTTATTAACGCCAAATGATATTAGACAGATGCCATACCCATTTCGCCACCTGTTTCTGCAGGCCGAGCAAGAGCTCCGCCGCCATCAGCATTTGACATTTACGCTGGTCCGAAATGGCTTTTTCATGGACTATATGGGGCTGCCTTTCGCGGAGACAAACCTGCACCCTCTCTATGCTCTCCTGGACCTGGATGCTGGCAGAGCGGTCTTGCCAGGAGACGGCACAGACACAGTTGTGTTTACGCATACGCGTGATGTAGCCAAATACGTCAGCAAGCTCCTGGAACTCTCCGACGAGCTGTGGCCGAGCGAGTCTGCCATCGTAGGGCAGAGAATCGTGCTTAAAGACCTGGTCAGATTGGCCGAAGATATTACAGGTATGCGAATCAACCGACGAGTACTACCCGATCTAGCTATCAACACAGTTTCTAGGACGGCAATTCGATATCAGCTTTGATGCTCTTGAGAAGCTCAAGGGCGGCGACACAACTGAGCTTCCTTCAAACAAGCTGTGTTACGGCTACTTCCCAGGAGGCAAGCAAGAACTGAACAGTATTATTTGTACCATGATGATAGGAATGGTATCTGGAGTGTTTGATATCAAGGGAACCAGTCTGGATGAGATGTTCCCCGAGATTGAGCCGCTGCAGATGGAACCATTTCTTCGAGGGTGCTGGGCGAAGAGGTCCTGAAGATCGGGTTTGCGCAAACGACTTACAAATCAAATCCATCCTAGTACATGAAGGGTCAAGCATTAAATGATGATAAATGGGTTCCGAGTAGGTCATGTACATACAGGAGGCACAGTGGTTAGCTGGCACTGAGTTCAAGCTGTAATAAAGATTGAACCAGGCTCTTCTCACCAGAGCCACATATTAATAACAAAGTGCGTATCAGTATTATTGTAGTCAATGAGCAGACACTCATAGAGTGAGGATATTCTTGGCAGTATTTCTCTGAAGGCTGTGTCCGATGGCGGTTGCCCTATGACTACTTCGGGGCCCCAGGTCATTTACAGTACATACTAAGTAGAATTGAGGCTGCCCCCAACAAAGATCGTGTAAGCCTCACGGTAAAAGACATACTCAGTCGTGCAGAATGATCGCGACCGGTCCAGCATAGTTTTTCCTCGCATAGAACACCCAGTTCAGGGTTCCTAAAACCAGAATACCACCGACAACTACGCATGCATAATCTGTGGAACGTCCCTTGTTAGCCACTGCAGCCAACTTTTTAACTCGCGTAGAGCTTTCTATGACCAAGCCATTGGATCGGACGAATGCAACAAAAATGGAAACTTACTCATAGTACTTGAATCCGGATTGGTGGCAGGTGGAAAGAACATCATGGACGTGCTAACGAAAGTGAAAGCAATGGTTCCAATGTTGGCAACCCAGCCCACCCATCCTGGCAGGCGCATGCCCTTTCCCCGAGGCAGTACATCAGGCGAGCGACGGTGCCATAGAAGGAGGGCGGCGGGTACACAGAACGTAATTTGTTGCAAGATTGCAGCGACTCCCACGATAGAGTTGTAGGCTGTAGGGCGTTAGCTGAAGAAATGAAATGTATCATGCAGAGCTTGTAAAATGACTCACCTAGGTTTGAGAAGAGGTACAGGCACCCGATGAGAAATAACAGAAAAAGGTTGAGGAACAAAGCCCAGACAGGGGCGTTCAAGCCGGGGTGGACTCTTGACAAGTGCCTCTTAAATGCAAGAGCACCGTCGCCGGCGAGACTCCAAGTCATCATGGAAGTTACCTGAAGTGTCGCTGTTGTTCCGATTGGCAGTAAACAGATGCAGACCGCAGTAAAGACAATGGGCACCACGCCGGTATTTGAAGCTTGCCTCCAAATTTCAAAGGGCGGGAAGCCGGAGGGTGTGCTGAGCACAGAGCTGTAGTCGCTGACGGAGTAAAGCATTGATAGGACAAAGAGTAGGGCCGTCCCGCTAGCGATAACATATGCTGCGATCACCGCACGGGGTACCACCCTACGAGGATTCTTCACCTCCTCGATGAGATGAACTGACCCATCGATTGGGCAGAATGCTATGGTTGGAGACGCCAAGGCGATCAGAACCTGGACGCCGGTGGGCCACCCAGAGCCTTCAGTGGAGCTTGTCCACACGACTTCGGAAGATTGCCGCGTCTTTTGCATGGCCAGTGTAACCGCGGTGAACACGACAAACGAGGTTATGCTGAGCATAACTACATAGGTACCACCCAGTCAGCGGCATTCTTGCGAACAAACCGTGGTCCCATCTGAAATGGCCACAGATGATCACCGGAGTTTGGAGTAAGCTCCGATAAAGGAATGTAGACTCACATATCCCAGAGTATATGGCGGAGAGGAGCTTCTTTCCGAATAGATTGAGTGAGAAGGCAAAGACAACAGTGGCTTCATAGAAGAGGAAGTTGTGCCAAGCTTGGACTTCATAGTCTGGTTCAGCGTAGTAGATCAGAGACTTGCAAGTTGTGCCGATAGCCCCGCAACTAGCTGCCGCAAGAGTTATCCATGCGAACCAACTGATGAAGCCGGTCATGTAGCTCTGTTTCCAAATATCAATAGTCAGTTACCTTTCCCTCTATGAGAAAGAGGAGTTGTCTCACCATAACTCTGCGGACCCTCGGGGGAGCAAGAATGGAAGCCCAGTGATATTGGCCTCCAGTGGTCGGATACACAGAAATGAGTTCGGCAAGCGTCAAGGAGACACACAGATAGACAGGTATGATGATGATGATGCCCCAGGATGTTGCCATGGGCCCATACGGCAAGGAAATGGTCATGGTTGCGGCAATGACAAGCCAGCAACTTGTCATGTTGTAGCCTGCAGCGAAGAGACCGAGCCAGCCGAGGTCTTTCTTGAAATGAGCTTCGCTGGCTACACTGGCATGGCCGGTTCGCTCCCGCTCCAGCATGATTTCTTCTCTGACAGAGTTCCGGTTATTGTTCGATAGGATACCCGGCTTCGTTGTTACTACTGGAAGGTCAGCATCACCTTCCCGCTCAAGATGGAGACATACAAGACGTACGGCTCTCCGAGTCCATGCCAGTATCCCCCTCCCGCGAATTCAGGCCAGGATTCATGATTGTGCTTTGCGGTATCAAAGAATGATTGATGGAGTTGGACTAAGAGGCCATGGTCGAGAGAACGCGCCGAGATGGATTCCTTGGCTGTAGGCAACATGTCTTCCATTTATCAACGAAGGAGAGCGTCCGCCGGCGAAGCTGGGAAGGGGGTAATCTGGGGGCGCTAACCTCGATGCTTAGCTTGAAGGTTCCAAATTCCGCCGCCAAGTCGCTTAGTCTCCAGGGCTCCGCTGCCGCTGCGGGGGGGATTCAAGATAAGGGAAGGCCGGAACCAGGAATCCAGTACCCGGCAACCCTCTCCCTCCCAGGCTCCCAGGAGTTGGAGCGATCCGGAGCCACGAACTCTAATACAAGCCACCTTTGATAACGAGTTGGTGGTTATTGGCCAGTCAGTTGAGAGTACTTCACAAATGCATGGGGCTTGCAATGCAACACCTCGACGATAGAGCCTGTCAGAGTCTGTTTCCTCGAACGTGATTGGCTTTTTGAAAGCCTGACAGCACGAGGAGGGTATTTTTCTTTGTGCGAACGCTGCACATCTGGGTCTCGACACAGAATACCAATTTGATAAGCATATCCATTGTTACTATATCATTGCCTGCGACGAGACGAACTCGGTGTGTTGATTGCGCCGTTTGAGAGCGAATCATACACATCTTGACCAAAAAAAAAACCCCCCCCCAAAAAACCGTTATAGCCCTATCGCGACTTCTTTCCTGCATAGTACTCGGGATAGGTCTCCTTGTACCCGAGTATCCAGTATCCCCACCAGGCCATGGTGCTGAGATAGACCCTGCTCACCACACGCCCCAGCCACTTGAAAGACATGTTTATGCCTACCGGAGTATCAGATGACTTGAGAAATACGAGGAGCTGGAACTTGCTTGGTGGCTGGCCTGCCTTTCTGCAGTCATCCAGATAGCCAAAAAAGTTCCGGAAGAAGCGCTGTTCGCCCTCGTAGTCCTCGGGGGTCAGGCTGACGTCAATGACCATGGGCTTCGTGGAGGACGCGTTGTTCAGAGTGTGGTATATTTGCTTTGGGATGACGGCCGTCTTCTGAGCTCCAGGCTCGTCGGCCGAGATGACCATCCAGGGCTTGTCTTTGGTGTCTTTGAAGAGATGACACGTGCCCTCTGTGATGAGGAAGTGCTCGGCCTGGTGGATGTGGTAATGGAACGGAGGCACCATGATTGAGCGCGGCTTGTTGGGGTCGAAGGGTGGGTGCATATTCTTCAAGAGGTATTTTGAACCCGACTCTCTGAACTCGAGGAAAGACGCTCCATCTTCGTATATGATGGGGTTGTCGGCGGCCCTATTCGTGCGAGGCGGCAGTGGTGAACGCAGGAATGAGAACATGGCGATCGGACACAAATAGACACTGTCGTGTCGTGGACACCGAGTGATGGCGGGGGTGCAAGGACGTGAATTGAGGCTTGCTTCGCTCGTTCAAGATAAGAGACGCATCAGACAGCTGAAAAATACGCGTGTGAGAAAATGGAGGTCAAGTTAGGCCCAGATGCATTCAACCACGGAATGCATCTAGGCCTAAAGAATATATGAAAGTTATTCACAGGCTCGCCTGGACCCGTTGGTGCCGCATCACCAGTGCGAACAGGAAGATCGAATCAATGTCGGACGGCCTGGAAAGGGGCACACCCGATAACCAGACTCCGGATGGACCGGAATCCGGAATCCGGAATCCTGACTCGCTTCTTGGCCTAGTTTAGCCCCAAGGCTTCCTGGGACCAATCAGACGACTAGTACATGCTCTCACGCGGGCCCAAACGTTACCGCTTTATCTTCTGGCAAGTCGGGATGCCAAAGGTAAAGGGATGAAGGGATGTGCAGACCTGTGCGGTTTGGAGATCTCTCCGTACAGAAAGCATGCTTGGTCCCTACATTCGCAGGCCTGTTCGGTATCTGCCGCACTATCACTTTGCACCTACTGTACCCGCTGTCTTAGCTACTGTCCCCAAGTACTTCCTATCGTAGACATTACCAACCTTCAGCTTAGTGCTTGGTCCAAGACTGACGGGCTTTTGCACTAAGCTTCCCCGCAAACATCTCGACAAATCATAGTCTTCTACCCCACAGATAAGATGGCTGAATAACTGGGTAGGCAGATAGTCGAGGTGCAGGTTCACATCTTGTGTGTTGTGTGTCGAGCGAGCGACGCCGCCCACCCAACCGATTAAATCATATGTGACAGTTGTGCTTCCTCTTTCTCTTCTTCCCTCTTCTTGTATGGCATGTCACTGGCCGCTCTCAAGGACTCTGCCCGCCCTGAATCGTACCACTCTATCACATAACTATAACCACCGTGCATGCGATCTGGCGCAATTGGCGTCATATCACACCCATACCGCCCCAGCGACCGCCTCAGAATCGAACTATGGCATTCCCTGGTCCACCGCCGCGGCAATTGCCCGCCGTACGTCTTCCCGACTGCTCCTCATCCTTCCTCTTTCCCTCCCAGGGCCTAAATGGGAAGAGTCACATCATCTCTTCATTGTCTGGGTGTGCTGACACTATCCCTTTTCGGGGTCTGCTGAAAGTGCGACTTCTGCTACGTGAAGAAGGTCAGCTAGACCTGGGTGGCTTCGCGTTTGCCGCAGTATCACCTTTGGCTAACCTCTGGATTGGCTTATAGACACGATGCGACCGCAATGATCCTTGCTTCAATTGCGTAACTGCCAAGATCGATTGCTTGCGGCGTCGCCAAAGGCAGACGTCCCAGAACCGCAATGCGTATGAGCCAGTCTTCTCTCCCTCTTCTCCTTCCCTATTCCTCCTCTCTTCATAATCGGGAATCAGGTGTTGACGGGAGCACAGCGCTGGTGCTACCAACGATCGTCTCGATGCCGTCTTAGAACGCATGGCCCGACTGGAAGAGTCGCTCGGCCGGTCATCAGATCGCTCTACCACCGAGACCCGGAGGCGATCGCAAGATGCGGCTCCAACGGGCCCCGAAGCACTCACACCATCAGCATCTGAACCGGCGCAGGAGCAAGCGACGTCAGAGTGGATGCCGATATCAGCCTCGCCGGAAGTCTCGCCTCGAGATGTACGGAGGCCGCCCAGCCGGAAGAGACGCGCGCTCTCTCCCTTGTCCAAGGACTCACGGCGACGGGACTCACCCCAACTGATGCCGGATGAAGATGGCCAGTCACCAGAGGACAGAGTATTAGCTGCATTAGATCTTAACCGGTACCTGCGGCCGACCTGCAGACTAAGTCGGAACCGCGAGTTAGATGCCTCACGGCAGGCCATATTGGAATCGGCCATCGGGCTTGCGAAGCAGGCAATGACAGAGCCCAATCTCGAGACTGACTGGGACACCAGGCACAACTTTTACGAAACCACCATGTATCCTAGCGCCGAATTCCTCCACCTCATGTTGTATAGTAAGTCCCAGACGCCCTGGAGGTGTGGCTAGGTTGCTATACCTCCCTCTCTTTACCTCCCTTTGTTGGTATCCCGTTAACACCACGCCAAAGTCAAACAGACTCTTGCCGATCAGGCGACAGCACCAAGCACACCCTACCTTCTCAGTTTTCTTGCCGGCGCAAACAGTGCCTGTTTGGAGAAGATGGCTCTTGCGCTCATCAATTGCACGGTCCACGGCCAGCAACGAATTCAGTACATTATCAGCGTCAATCATGCCGCTTACACTTTCATTACGGCGCTTGACTCGGACTCTAGCCCAGCGATGCGGGCCGAGCTGTTGCGGTCCAAAAAGAAGTATAGGGACAATGTCTTGACAGCTATCAGCTATCTGGACACGGATGTACGACCAGATATATCGCTCTTTTATGCACTCCACTATAGCGTATGTTCCGATTCCTATCATGCCATGCAGCCCCGCATCATCAGTTGAGATGACTCTCGTGCGAATCTTATTCCTGCATGCTGACTTTCCTCTCCTCGCAGGCGCTTCTGATGCAGGACATTGGACGCATGCGGAAGTGCTGGAAGCTTAATACGCTCGCATGCCGGGTAGCTGCATCTCTACGCGGGCTTTCCATGTCAGATCTCGGCTTAACTGAGGCTGGCGAGATCATCGCCTTGCGCTTGGCGTGCATCAAATCCTATATCTTCGACACGTCCCTATCGGCTAACAACTACCAGCCGGCATGCCTCGCCAAGATGGATATCGACCGCTCAGTGCTAGATAGGGAGACACCGGCCGGGGCTATACTAGATGTTCTTTTGTCCTTCTCTGAAGTTCAGGAGGTCATCATCCACGAGACTCGCAAGCTCGCTGCCCCAGGCCAAAGACATCAGATGGACACTACGAGACTGCTAGGTCTACGGAGCCGCATGAGAGAAATACGCAGACAATCCCAAGAGGTTAGTAACAGACAACGCTCTCCCTCTCAAGAGCCTATATGGAAAGATTTCCATCATCTATAGCACCACTGACACCTTCACTCGCAACGTAACAGTATCGAACCCACCCACTCTCCCACCATGACGAATTTCTGCGGTTCGAGTGGCAAACCACTGATTTCACGTATTACTCGATGATGACTACTATCACACGGCTCGGTTCCGCAGGCGAGGATCCGGATGCGCACCAACAATGCCTAGATCACGCTCGCAAATGCCTTTATTCCCTGCGGGCTCTTCTAGAGGCCACCTCGAGAGCGTCGAATCAAGACCGCTATCTCAGCTCCCTTGCATGGTGAGACTACCTGGATATTGAGCTAAGCATCAATTTCACCCGAACAGACGAGACGCTAATGCATGCTCATAGGGTCGTACCTCTATTTCCACTCCGACCATTGTACTTTGTTTTCACCAATATCATCGAGACGTCTGATACTATGGACCTCAAGATCTTACAAGACATTGCCAAGGGGCTTGAAGGGCCATGCAAATCTCTACACTCGATACTGGAAATTCGTCAGCTCTGCACATCTCTCTTAAGCTTGTATGCCGACTTTGCTGAGCAGAGCATGTGTTCTCCTACGACACAGGACACTCTACAACTAGAGGACAGCCATCCTGTGTACTATAATTCTAGGGTCGGCACGTCCATGCAGGACAGCCAAATCAGGGCACCTTTTCCGAGCGGAGCTCTACCTGCAGGGTACCACATGTCTAATAATACCCCCAAAGGGTATCATCGTCAGCTCAATGGTCCTTCTGTGGATCTATCAGCGATTCCCAACAACGACATCGTGCAGATGGGCGGGTGTGTTCCTTCCATGCCAATAGATCGTGCTTTTTTTGATCAGCAGGTAGACTGGGAGCTTTTCTTCACTCATTCTGTCACAGATACATTCTAAGGCACGAATGTGAAATATACTTGGTTCATCTACAATCACTCTTTAAATTGCAGGCCTCCGTGACCGAGATTTCCAGTAGTCCCCCTCCCCTCTCCTTTATTGTTCGCCGAAGTGTATAACAGCCTTGCCCACATTCTTGCCGGCGAAGAGATCAGCAAGGCCGGCGGGGGCTTCTTCAATGGACTTCGTTTCGCTGAACACAGCCTGCATGGTGCCATCACTTATCCATTGGCCTACTTTCTCTTGGTGCACGGCCCGATACTTGTCGCCGAGGCCGTCATCGAAAATGTTCATGCCACGCCAGGTGATCCGCTTGCCAGGCATCTGCCACGTATTCCGGATGCCATATTGCTGACTCGGTAGCGCATTGTACTGCGATGACTGGCCACAGGCGACTGTAATCCCAGTATCAGTTTAGTGAATGTTCATGTTGTGTGAAGGGGGGCAGAGGAGATATTCAACGCATTGAATACAAGATCTATAACGTACCTATTCTCCCCAGGGGTTTCATGGCGTCAATCGCGACGTCTAACAGCTCGCCGCCAACATTATCATAATAGACTTAACAATGTCGTGTTAGTGTAGATACCAAAAGTGATGCAGTAGACGGAGCTTACTGTCTATTCCACCCGGAGCAAGGCGCTCCAAATGAGCTCGCGCGTCTCCATCACGATGATTGAACGCGCCGTCAAATTTGAAAACATCGGTCAGTAGCCTGACCTTCTCGTCGCTGCCTGCGGCCCCAATTACTCTGAGTCCGGCTTGCTTGGCTATCTGGCCCACCAATTGGCCGACGGCGCCGCTGGCACCCGACACAAAAATGGTCTCTCCAGTGCGAGGCTTAGCAACCTCATACAGGCCAGCGTACGCGGCCAGGCCAGGCATGCCAAGCGGTCCGAGGAACAGTTTGAGGTCCACATTGGCTGGGTTTTGCAGAGGGGAAAACTGGAAAGCCTGCTCTCCAGTGACCGAGATGTATTCCTGTATGGGCGCCATTCCGATGACCACTGTATTGGGCGGGAGTGCCGCATTGTCGGACTTGATGATTCTCGCAATGACGGTATTTGGAATGATGCTACCAGCTGGGAGCGGCTCGAAACCCGGACGTGGTTTGTCTGGCGCAACGAGCCGGAGGCGCAAGTAAGGGTCTAAAGATGCATATATCGTCTTGGCGGTGAAGCCGCCAGCTGGTGGTTGGGCCGCGTCGTCGAACTCGGTTGCCTGCACTTGCATGTGCTTACCAGCAACAGGAAGCCCGTCCGGCACCGCGCTGAACACGAGCGCTCTATTCTGGACCATATCGTTTTCCTAGCCGGAGTATCTGAAGACTAAAGAACGGTTTGCAGTCGATGAGTTCATGCCACTGCTTTTTGGTTTGTTTTCCTTTTTGAATTATGTTCAGCCCGGGCAGGCTTATGTCTTGTCTGGGGCTTTGCTAGTGCCGGGAGACTGGGGGCCGGGGTGGGACCGGGTTGCCGGAAAGGTACAAGGATTTCCAGCGGCTAATGTAGTCCTTCGGAGGGCATCCCGGCCCCTGTTTCATTCTTACGTTTGGCGGATCCCTGTTATTCTTTATGCAGTCCTAGTGACTTGCTTCATGTGGCAGAGAAGGCCGACGTCCTTGGATCAACACAAGATACTGAGCCCGGGCCGGTCGTGCTGCAAACACCGTAGTGACCAAATTCACCCGGGTCCTGGTTTTGTTCATGACGGCTGAGTTCTTTCGACTCAAAGTGCCGGTGAGCTATAACAGCAACCCACATCTACCTTTCTACTGTGCTGCCTCGTAGATATCACATGCACAATCTGCTAAAATTCTGTCATTGTTCTTGAATTGAACAGAGAATCTGCGATATCAAGAGATCTTCCATTTGTGCCTATATCTACCTCTCCATGATTGAAGGCACCATCTGTAGGTCTCAGCCTCGGTTTACACTGTGTCTTGTTCGCCTTTATTCAGCAGCCATCCAATTCCCCGCAATGCATCCTTGGGATATTTCTTGCTGGATGGATGGGTCGGGAAATTCGGGACAAACATGTGAGGCAAGCCTGGATAGATGTCCACGCGCGTCGGAGTCTTGTACTCCGTCCGCAGCACACGCTCATAAATCAGAGCCTCATCACGAAGAGGGTCCAAGCCGCAGATTTGAAAGTAGGTTGGCGGGAGACCCGCGTGCGCCTTACCCGGACCACCGGGCCAGTTGAACGGGCTCCATAGGTAGGAGTTTTGAAGGTCATCTGGATCGCAGGCCGCGGTGTACATATCCATAAAGGCCTTGTTGAGCACGGGGGCGTATGCATTCTGTTCTCGACTGCGATACAATGGCTGTTGTTCTGGCCGAACGGCCTCCGGGGCGAGTAGGAGTGGTACATTCAGGTACAAGCCTGTGAGTGGAGGGTACACTTTCTCGTCGCGTGCCAGATGTGACAGCGCAGTGACAATGCTGCCTCCGGCAGACGTTCCACCCAGAACGAACCCTTTCGAGAGGTCTACGCCTAGACGGGCTGCATTTTGTGTGATCTGCATTTTCCGAGTGAGCTTTCATCCCATGTTTCAAAACACTAGAAGTCAAAATGATAGCTGCATACCCATTTCAGAGCATCCCAGCAGTCGTCCGTGGCGGTGGGGAACTTGTGCTCAGGAGCAAGCCTGTAGCTGAGGCACAGAGCAACGCACTGGTATTCCTGGACAGCAGCTACGGCTAGTCCGGCCTCCATCTCTGGTAGTCCATACACAAAGCCTCCGCCGTGAATAAACACAACGAGAGGACGGCCGCCATCCTTGCCGTCTTCGGGCTTGTAGAGCAGTGCACGGCATGATCCGCCATCACGACGGGGTATATCAATATCTGTTGATGTCACTGAGCCATTGCTGCGAGCAACTGCTGCCTCCGCAAAATCTTTGAATACAGGAGCCCAGGCCGCACGGGTAGCAACAACACTTGAGATATCTGGACGCTTCTCTAGCTGAGGCTTGCCAGCACCCTGGGCTATCTGTGCAATCCATTTTGGTTAGTTCCTGTTTCGCCATTCGTCTCCACTTTCGCTGCTTGGGCGGTCATAGCTGCTCACCTCCTCGAGAATTGGGTCCGGCTGGCCAAGCTCCAACCAGGTCGCGGGATCTTGGTAAGCTAATTGAACCATCTCGCCGTCCGCCGTGTATGAGCACGAGTCTTAACATGCATAGCCTGAAGGAAGCTCATTCTCACTGTATTTTAATCAGTCATTTTCACCAGAGATGTTGCGGAGCTCCGTTATCACAACATTGTACGGACTGTCCGGGCTACGGATCCCGCATCCGGGTTCCACCAGGTCCTATCTCCGAATTTCCGACATTCCCAATGGGATTTTGTCCCATGCCGGTGTCGCCCGCGCTCCAACGGACAAGAGTAATGACAGGGTCGATTAGACAATAAACCGTGTACAGCGCCTGTAATGTGACTGAAGAATGGAGAATGGAAATGAAGAAAGAATGGAAATGAGAGCATTCCGTCTCCAGTGCTTCTTCCGCAACATCATATAATTTTACAGTTACCGCAGCAGTTAGCTAAGGCAGTCATAGTCATCACCATCCCTACTCTCAGGCCTGATCATAATGGAGGAGTACCTGACCCCAGCAGCCACCGCTCACCTTAGTCAACACCCAGAAGGACTACCACCGCCTCTACAACACCCCGCTATTGGCCAGATCCAGGGCCGATACAACAAGGGCGTGGTCCAGTATCTCGGTCTGAATTATGCCGTTCTGAGGCATCGATTAGCAGATCCAGAGGTCACTGAGTACTCTGGACTCGCACAGCTTGATGCCACGAAATATGGGTATGACATGGAAAATCTGCCCGCGAGATGCCTCACAAGCTAACAGCGATTCAACCAACATAGTCCGCCAGTAGTAACGCCAGATGGCTCTGCAGACCAAGAGATGGCCTTCATCCAAGAGCATCTGCCAAAGTTTGACGTGCCTCCCATGTCAGATCTACATGGCCTAAATTTAAATGTGACGGTACCCCAGGACTGCAGTAGGAAACTGCCAGTCGTTGTCTATATTCACGGTGGCGGGTTCAACTTTGGCTCCAGTTCGAATCCCCCGTATGACCAGTCCAAAATTGTCGAGCTGTCTGCCATCATGGATCAGCCAATTGTAGCTGTCAACTTAAAGTCAGTCATCCGATCTGCGATCTCACAGGTCGCCAGCATCTGAACTTCCGCACCGGGGATTGATGGAATGCACGCTGGCTTGGTTTCCATCTACTAACGAACACTGGTAGTTATCGTCTCGGTATACCCGGCTTTCTCTTCTCCAAGGAGCTGTTTGCTGCTGGTATCAAGGCAAACCGTGGCCTTCGCGACCAGCGCGCTGCCCTGATATGGGTGAAAAAGTATATCTCGGGATTTGGTGGAGATCCAGAAAACATTACAGTGCTTGGGCAGAGTGCGGGAGCTGGTGAGTCATTGATAACGATGATTCTGACTTCTACGAGTAAATCTAACGTGTTTGAGCTCGTAGCCTCAGTCAACTTTCTCATGCACTCGACGGAGCCTCTTTTCCAACAAGCTATGCTCTTGGGAGGAACCTTTCTGATGATGCGCCCCGCTACCGAGAAAGCTGCTGATAACGCGTATGAGGGTATCATTCGAACCCTTGGCATCTCGGGGCTGTCCCCAAGCGAGCGGCTTGAGGCTCTCCTTAGTATGCCAGAGGAAAAGCTTGTCGAGGAAATCACACCAGAGCTTGTGTCTCTGGGACCTGTTGTAGACCATGATTTCATTCCTATGAGAACCACTTTTAGCAATCTCGGAGATGAAATCGAGTTCCCAATTCCTGGGAAGAAATGGTGCCATCGTCTCTTTTCGGTCGACAGCCAATTTGACGTAAGTGCACGCTTCAGAACTACGGATGTCTTGAGATGGGTTCCGTTATTCGCCGGACTGATTTTCTTGGTACCAGGGCTCCATATTTGGACTCGTTAACCTGAACGCACGGAAGAACGGCATTGCTTCTGCATTCCAAGATTCACTGGAGCGAAGTCTGGGACGAGAGGAGGCAGGCAAGGTGCAAACATTCTATAACATCGCTGCAGACACGTCCGACCCGCAAGCCCTCGATTCCATCATTCAATTTGTCACCGACATCAGTTTCTATGCGCCTGCAGTTCGGATGGCAGAATCATGGCCTGGGCTGTCATACGTAGGCCACTTTAATGAACGCAATCCCTTTGAAGGACCCTACAAGGGGCGCGCTAGCCATATGCTCGACGTAGCCTATATTTGGGGCAACTATAATCGCAAGTACACCAAACAAAATTGGATTACTGCACGCGCCTTCGCCGAGGATTTCGTGTCTTTCGTCACTGGAAGAGATCAACTCCCGGTTTTCAAGAAGAAGGATGAGGGAACGAAAATCTCAAGACCCGTTACTGTATACGGGCCTAGTGAGCAGAATATCTCAAGCAAGGTTGTTGAGCTGGGTTCACTACCTACTGGCAGGAATCATGGAATATTCACCTTAGCAGCCGAGGTCGGCGGTCTGGATGTTCTTCTAGATGCGATGGGTGCATTTCTATCAGGACAATAGTTATCTCGCACCTACACAATGTTTTCTTTCGCTTCGGCTGCAATGTGGACTGCTTGGGGCCGCAATAAACTGAGTAAATACTGGCCTCTCAAGGCCATGATTTGACTTGTTGGGCTAAGGCAGCTGATCAATATCAATGCCAGTAGAGTGCAATTCAGGAGGCTTGTTGTGCATGACATATGAGTACGGCAACTTTGAACGATTCTTACGGCTGGGAGCTGCCGTGCGGCAAGTCCTGCTGATTCTCCGTCAGCGTCACGAGGCGTTCAAAGGAAATTGGATGTCATTCCACTACAATAAATCTAAGTTCAAGACTAAGCAGGTTCTATTCCTGTAGTTTAATCTTTCAAGCGACGCTTGTGTTTAGCTCCAGATTCTTTGAGGTTAGTTTGGCCTTTCGTAATTCCACAAAGTCGTTCCAGTCAACCTTCCGCATTTTCCAAAAAGAATCCCAGATGCGCAAATGGTTATACATCGGTGTCGCACCCGATGGTGTCTAAAAGTTCCTTTAGCCAGAGTGTCTTATCGGAGTCTGTTGCAAGGCCAAATCAGGGTAGGTTTAGACTTACTTTATGGTAGGTTGCGCAGTTGCTTGCCAAAAAGGTTGGAGTGCCTGGTGTAGTTCGGTTGTCCGCCAGCCACTTATTGAAGCTTTTCTGTACCTCAGGGTTGGGATAGAGGGCATACTGTGACGTTTCTACCTGCTTTCTGATATGCTTGAGAATTTTGCAGTGATAGTTGATCTGAAACTCGCAGATAGTTGTGATGTTGGACCAATAGTTGACCGAGTTAGGCCCAAGCGTAAGGAAGAGGTTAGGAAACTCGGTGACAGCGACTCCTATAGAGTGGTTCAGTAAAATTTCCCAAAGTCTTGTCAAGAGAAGAAACATACCCCAGTATGTCTGCGGGTAATCCTTCCATGTTTCCGAGAGCGTCATGCCATTCTTGCCATAGATCCTAAAATGACCGCCTGAATCGTTCATATCAAATCCAGTCGCCCAGATCAACACATCCACCTCTCTCTCGACCTCTTCAATATCGGCTTCCGATGTCTTCTGCTGATAAGCTCCCACAGGCTGGTCGATGAGATCCGTATCAGATAGAGCGTGAGGCAGCCTCGAAACGATGCCGTGTTCAGTAATGCGTAGTGGCTTCTCTGTGACAAGCTCGACATTTGGTTTGTTGTAAAGAGAGTACCAGTCGTCAAGAAACAAGACACGTTTGCAGCCAAATGCCACTGTCGGTCGCAGCTTATCTCTGACGACAGGGTCCTTGACTTCCCTCTCGAGAAAGTTGATGCATGCTTCATGGCAAGCCTGATTCTCTTTTGTCCCGCTCATCCACATGCGTCGGGTTCTGTCAAACTGTATCCCCATATGCCAGTTAGCCACACTTCACGTGCATTCCAGAAAGCATGAGAACATGAAAGACGTACAAATAGGAGCCAGGAGACGTGGTAGAGCCACAGTATAGGATAGAACCAGCGGAACAGGGCCTTCTCCCAGGATGGTATCTCATAGTTGCCGCGTGGTAGAACGTGTCCACAACTGCGTTGGTACATATAGAGCTTCTGTACCTCTGGCTGGATCCGCGGGCCAGCCTGAGCAGCGCTGGGCCCAGTTCCGATCATAGCCACGCGCTTCCCGCGCAGGTCGGCATCGGCCGGCCAATGTGCAGTGTGCCATTGCTCGCCCTTGAAATTCTCGCGGCCAGGTATGTCGGCAAACTTGGCACGGTAGAAGCCTCCTCCATTGTCGAATAGAACGTTGGCAATCCACTTCGACATAGCCCCAGATTTGCGGTCTTCGACTAGGAGCTCCCAGAGGAGGGTATCTTCATTCCACCGTGCCTCGTGTACCACAACGCCGAAAACTGTGTTCTCGCGTAGACGTTTGCTGTCTGCCCAGTTTGCATAATACTGCTGAATCTCACGGCCTTCGGAAAATTTCTTGGACCATCCTACTCGACCAGTCAGGGTCAGGTGTCGAGGCGATATGGATGAGACAGGGAGTCCATCAAACGGCAACGGGTAAAGACATACCAGGGTTGAGATGGGTTTTCATAACGTAGGCGTGGCTCGGAATATCACAGGCTACACCAGGATAGATGTTTGTTTCCCATACTCCGCCAAAGTCATGGTTCTTGTCGAGAATAACAAACTCATCCCTCCTGAGGGTACCAGTGGCTAGGATCCTGTCAGCTAAAGCGACGCCCGTCATGCCCGCGCCGACGATCACGCAAAATATGCGATTCTCCTCCATGATGGTGGCTTGGCTTTGTGTTGTGCCTATTTCCGACTGGCTAGAGCGCATGTTGACAAACAGAAAGACGAAACCCAAGCTATCGACTGTTGAACAGCATCACTCTATTGCATGAACTGGTTGTGGGACAGTCCTACCTGATGTACCAAGTTCTGTTTCTGTTCCAAGACATGCTGGAGCAGTCTTGCTTCCAGCTGTCATGACAAGCCGAGCTTGTTCCACTATCCAGAAATCCAATCTAGCCCCTCATCATACGATGCTCCGCGTGGATTTCAATTCTAAGGCCCTAAGAACCCGGATCAATGGCCTCATGCAGGTCTCTCGGCTCCGCGATAAAGGATCGAATAAGTCCAGGTCCGCTAGCGGCCGACGGGTTCCAACCCAGCCGGACTTCCGGATCCCAGAATCCGGTGTCCGGGACTTCACCGATAACGTTAAGGATTAGCGAGTTTCAGAGGAGAGTGGGGGTTTTTGGCACCAAATCCAATTGGCTGACAAATAACGGAGTACTGTGAACTCACCTCCAGATGGGTGTAAACAGGACGAGTGACATCTGGTCACCAGCCCTCAAGTGTATTTCAGGCAATTCGGAGTCAGGTGATCTGCCCTCAATGTCACTATTTCCGGACAGAAGCACAAGGTCATCAATGATCAGAGTCTCGAGCTGGCCATCTGCGAAACGCAGACCGGTATGGTGTATGTTGTACCTAAGTGAACATAACAATTGCATGCAATTCGAGTGAAGACTCGTTGGAAGGCCCCATTAGCTACTACAACAATGCCAATACAAGTACACTTCCTTTAATGGAGATCATCAAGTAACTCTTCTCATGGTGAAATTTAACATTCATTAATACTTTTTGGAGAATTAAGTGCACCAAGGCATTAAACTTGAAATAAAAATCTAGTGTGAATTTATTTACTCTTGATACATAAAACAGGATTCATTATCAAATGGTTTCTCGACTATACCCGCCTGTCTCTGATCAAGATCTCATAGTTCTCATCTGGGGCACACTATAACAGCAATTTAGTCACTATTGGCCCTCTTAAGAGTGGATTAGGATGGCTTACCAGTGCTTCAAAGTCGAAACTCTTCGCTCGCGATAGTCCTGGCACCATTTTCAGATCGTATCTTGTAAGTAGCTCGGCGAGAATTAATTTGATGTTCAGGTGCCCCAGATACCGTCCTGGACACGCATGACGTCCGTAGCCGAAGGATAAATCGTTCTTGCCTACACTGTAGTACAAGTGCTTGTTCTCTTCGCCGGGTCTCTGCCGCATCCTGTAGAAACGGAGGCCGTCAAACTGATGGGGATTCTCGTAGTGAATGCTATCCACGTGAATCGATGCCGTGTTAACCTCGAGCTTTGTGCCCTTGGGTATAAATGTGCCGTCAGGTAGTGTCAGATCCGCAGTCGCACCCCGCTGGAAGGTGCCTGCGTTTTATGGTGCAACAATTAGTAATGATAGATTTCGTCGGGATGTACCGTTGACTCACTCAGATCCGGGGCCGACAGTCTCTGGCTCTCCTTGATGAAGCTGTCAAGCTTCTTCATAGCACTGATGGAGTCTTTGTTAAAAAGTCCATCGCTAGATCGCGGCACAGACGCCAACTCGTCACGGATCTCCTGGATATAGACTGGGTAGGCAACCAGGTCATAGATGGCCTGGATTATGGACGAGAAAGTAGTCACGGTCCCAACTGCGACCAACGTCATCTGATACAGCAGCTGCGTTTCAAGGTCCGCCGCGTACTGCGCGTTTTTCCCATCGCTGAGGAGGTCAAGGACAGAGGGCGGGTCCTCCAAATCCCCACCCTTTTGCTGTCTCTCCGAGACTGTCTGCTTCACCCTTTTCCTACCAATACGCCACTGCTCAGCGATGGCTGCGCGCTGCGGAATCAACCGGAAAATCAGAGGTCGAAGAAAAGGTGGCCATTCTTTCAGTGCACGAATGCAATCGAAGGTCGAGATGACATAGCCTGTTGACGCTGTGATCCATTCATCATCAAGGCTCGCAGCCGTACTCTGAAAAACTCTTGCGTTGTTGGTTCCAGTGATTTTCAGAATAGAGTCGTGAACTTTGACTTTCGTCCAGTCTTGTGTTTCGCCATACTTGTTAGTTCGCTGCCGATGGAAAGCCATGATTGACTGGGGTGAGTAGGGATGTACCATCATAACACCCTACTATCTCTGGCATGTTCTTCTGAACCATCCTGTGCAAGATTGGGGTATATGCAGCTGTTTCTTGGAGTTTAGTCACTGGTCACTCATTTTCCAGATGGTCATCATGCACTCACAGAGAGATGGGTTCATCCCACCCTTTATAACGCTGATCAGATGATCAGATGCTCCCCCGAAGTGAGTGAATTCTACCTGCATATCCTAAGTTGTCGAGTTAATACCGTCGGACTCAAAAGTGACAGCTCTGGAGTTGCGAATTTACATTGTCGATAGATTGCTTAAAGCTCAGATGAGGATGGCTCTTCAGGTTGTCGAGGAAGCTTGGAGGAATGACGACCTTGACACCTATGTAGTACTAGGAGTCAGTACGAGAGAGTCCATGACTTTCTAGTCCAGTCAACTTACCGTCTCTTGTATCCATTCCATAAACGGTATCCCGGAACTGTTTGTACCCTTTGAGCATCACCTCTCGCGGCCGATAGCAGTATTGCAGGGCCCGTGCCTTTGGGCTCGATGTCTCGTCTGATAGGACGATGTGTTTCAGCCTGAGCTTTCTTCGGCCTATGGCCGCCACCACCTGTGTGACAACGGCCAACAGCAGCCCAGCAGCAGCAAGCAGCACAATCCATGCCCGAGGCTGCTCCAGCCACGACCGGAAAGCTTCTGCATTGTGCGCGCGAAGCCATTCTCGTAGTATCGGAACATCGATTTGCGACATTATGTCTCTCGCCTTCATGGGAGTGATGTTGGTTGGGATGTGAAACTCTAGGAGGCACAAACAGCGTGAAGCCAAAGGGGCGCAGAAGCAAAGATAAACCAGCAGTACACGGTGCACGCGATTGAGTGAGACTAGGACGTATCTGGCTGGAGTCTTACTTGCAACATCAAATACTGCATTACTCTGTGTCGGCTAGCTTCCGCTGGATTTGGCTATGGCTACTTCACTAGTGTGGCCCCTTCCAACGGATTCCGCCCAATCCGCCTCCGCCATCCACGCACAACACACGGAGATTGTCGCCCGGGGCTCAAATGTCCGGACATTTAGAAGGTTCACGTCTAACCAGCCACAAAAGTTGGTATGATCGACTACACACATCTCCCGTGCAAGACACTTATCTCTTGCATAGCCCCTGTTGGTACTCCGAGCCACCTGTCTCCTATCAATTGCAGCCACGACAATTACTCGGATCATTGGACACCACAATGACTGAGCAGATCCCTCAGACGCTGGCTGGCAAGGTCGCCCTAATCTCAGGGTCCTCTACCGGTATTGGTGCCTCGATCGCACTTGAGCTCTCTGCACGCGGCGCCAGCATTGTGCTCAACTATCCCTTTGCCGAACTTGAAGAACAGGCAAACTCCGTTGGCAAGAGGCTCAAAACACCCTGGATCGCTGTCCGAGCCGATCTCGCCACGCTCGAAGGTCCCAAAGAACTCGTTGCTGCCGCTGTCGCACGTTTTGGCATCATTCATATCCTCGTCAATAACGCTGCAGTCGTACCACACTGTCCCACCTGGAAGGTCACGCCTGATGTTTGGGACCGGACCTTCAACCTCAACTCAAGAGGGACGTTTCTGTTGACACAAGCGGTCCTACCTCACCTACCTCCTTACAAGCCTTCATCGCCACCCGCTCTGTCAGGAGTTCCGGGCGGCGGAAGGATTATATGTATCGGCTCCGGCTCTGGACGGATACCCCAGCCAGATCTCGTAGTCTATTCGTCTACTAAGGGCGCTTTGGACTCAATGATTAAGGTCTGGGCGAAGGAACTGCCGCCGGTTTATGGGTGTACTGTGAATGGAATAGCACCAGGGCCGGTCAATACTGAGACTTTTAGACAAGGCGCAGGAGACCAACTAGAAGCTATCAAGGCTAGCTTCGAGAAAGATACGCCTTGCGAGGGCTGTCTCGCCGAACCAGAGGATGTGGCCTGGGCTGCGGCGTGGTTGGCCGAAGAACGATCGAAGTGGATCAACGGGGAATATATTATGGTCAATGGAGGCCTTAGTATGGTATAGGTAGATTCAATTACTTCTCAGTTGCATGGAGTCTACTCATTAAACACTGTCATGTCGGCGACAGCTCTAGAAGACTTGGTTTATAGACAAAGATATACCTTTCACAAAAGTCTAAATAATTGGTAAACAACACTAGCTCACTGTATTAGAGTATCGTTCTTATCACTCTCATTACATTAGAGTGCCGGTACTTTTAAGACTACCGATATCCGAAGTGCACATAAACATGAGACAGTAGAGTGATCTTTCAGAACCGGGAAGCAAAAGGTGCACCCCTAATAAAAAGGCCTAAGACCTTCCCCACAAGGGGTCGTCACCTAATCTAATAAGAACGCGTGACAGGTCCATTTGTGAAGGTGATTCCCACCTTACTAGATCGTAGACACGTTGCAAAGTGAGTGGGCGCGTGCGTGTGCTTATTCAAAGAGCTATGTGATGTTTAATGCACATGTAGAGACTCTGTATAGCTTGCCAAGGTATGGGTCATCATGAGACAGCCCCTATGATACATCGTAGTCTGTAAGACCTTGTAAGTCTCGTGGTAATCTACACGTAGCCTCATGGTTCATACCAGATGCGCTCTTTTGTAGTCCTACCCAAATGCTAATGACTTTCCAACGTTACATACTCTGATCTTAAATCCGACAAGTGACAGCGTCCTCTTGGCTCAGCCCGGCCCCTTTAGTCTGCATCGTGCCTGGCGGGAACATGCTGTATCGGTCGATCACGATCGGCCAAAAGCCGAGTTGAAGCTCACGGGGACGGCACCCTTACTGTTGTTAAGTCACGAGGGCAAGTCTTTTCCCCGAAAAATGCTACGTTACGCTCCTTTGCGGGGGGTCACTTTTCCAGAAATGCCCAGGACCAGGCACACTTGACAAGAGCGAAACTGAAACATCTCGGCCCCCACCTACTAAGTTGGTCGTAGCTAGATACTACCTTGTAATCTCATTTGCCGCCCAGCGCGTGTGACAATTGAATAGGTTTATGGCAACGACAACTCAGAAGCATGGGATCAACTGTACCAGATACTTGAGCTCACAGTGCACGGAACGAAGCAATTCACAATGTATGCTGTGAAGGCTATGTATAAAGATGCTCTGAGATCCTCTGCGGGACTGAGCGGTGGTCAAGAATAGGCAGTCGCGTCTTGTATAGCCACGTCGTCTTCGTCGTCTTCAGTTCCGACATTAGCTGTCATTGCTCCCGTGATAATTGGTTTCACAATGTCGCGTCTCCTTGATGCCGGTCTCGTGGCTCTGCCCCTCCTGTCGGCCATGCTCGGCGCCGCACCAGCATCAGCACAGAGCACCTGCGCCACAAAGGGAAAGCCGTCCGGCCATGTTCTACAGGGCTACTGGGAGAACTGGGACGGCTCCAGCAACGGAGTGCACCCGGGGTTCGGCTGGACGCCCATCGGGAACTCGCAGATTAGGGCGCACGGCTACAACGTCATCAACGCAGCCTTCCCCGTGATTCTCTCGGACGGTACGGTCCTGTGGCAGGACGGCATGGACTCGGGCGTCAAGGTCGCCACGCCGGCCGAGATGTGCGCCGCCAAGGCCGCGGGCGCGACCATCCTCCTGTCCATCGGCGGCGCGACGGCGGGCATCGACCTCAGCAACAGTGCCGTGGCCGACAAGTTTGTCTCGACCGTCGTGCCGATCCTCAAGCAGTACAACTTCGACGGCATCGACATCGACATCGAGACCGGGCTGACGGGCAGCGGCGACATCAACACGCTGTCGACCTCGCAGGCCAACCTGGTCCGCATCATCGACGGCGTGCTCGCCCAGATGCCGTCCAACTTTGGGCTGACCATGGCGCCCGAGACGGCCTACGTGACGGGCGGCAGCGTTGCCTATGGGTCCATCTGGGGCTCGTACCTGCCTATCATCAAGAGGTACGTCGACAACGGCCGCCTGTGGTGGCTCAACATGCAGTACTACAACGGCGAGATGTACGGCTGCTCCGGCGATTCGTACGCCGCTGGGACCGTGGCCGGTTTCATCGCGCAGACGGACTGCCTGAACAAGGGGCTCGTCATCCAGGGCACGACCATCAAGGTGCCCTACAACATGCAGGTCCCCGGCCTACCCGCGCAGCAGGGAGCCGGCGGTGGCTACATGGTTCCCGCGCTGGTGGGCCAGGCGTGGGACTACTATGGCGGGAAGCTCAAGGGCCTGATGACCTGGTCCATCAACTGGGATGGATCAAAGGGCTGGACATTTGGCGACAATGTGAAGGGCCGCCTGGGCACGGCTTAGTGGGCTGCCAGGAACGTGACAAAGCAATTCTCTCGTACATATTGGGGCGGGGTCATGGCTATATTACTACTGTAGCTCTGCACATACTAAGAATTTTAGGTTTGATTCACTCTGACTTGCCGATGGTTTGTGTTCAACTCGTTCGCCCTCACGAAGCTTTAACTCCCAATCCCTTTTACAGCTACGCAAAGCGGTCAAATGTTCCACACTGATAATATAACTGAAGAGAGAGAAAAGAAAATCATATCTGTCAACTTCAATACAAACTAATCTCTGTGGTCTGGAAGTGTAAAAAGAGGTCAAATCCGAAAGAAAGAGCAAAAGAAAAGACAAAAAATGATAAGCTCTCCGATACGGGGAATCGAACCCCGGGCTCGGCAGTGAGAGTGCCGGATGTTAGCCACTACACCATATCGGATTGGTACCGTACCGGAAGCTGGCTTCCCGATTCGGATGTGGGAGGTACGCCCTTATTGAACTATATACAGACTAGAGAGAGTGGTGGGGATGTTGCCAACGGAGAGTGGATAGCCAAAGTCGAGGTGGGGCGAGACTGTTCTCGTCTAGATTGTGCAGGCGAGATGTACTTGTAAAATCTGTATTTTCGGCCCATAAGACTCAGATAACTACACCTTAAGGCGATCGTGCCCGTTAACCGCCTGAATGGAGTCCCCCAAGTAGATCATTGGCGGCCCAGGCTGAGATTCTGTCACACTGAGGACGTGACGGCCTGATCGGCAAGGAAAAGTCGCCTAAGCTAGCCTTTGCCGTTTTGCCCAATCCCTGCTTCAGGCCTGAACGATGGACACAAGTGCAAAACTCCCAAATGTACACTTTGCTGCCCAACGTAGCCTGGTAGCAAAGCATCGATTTGATTGAGCCTGATCAAATCAAGACTTCTATATAAGGAGCCGATTTCTCCCTTCCTCAAATGCTGGGAGTCGTCTGTGCTTTGCACCCTGATTTTTAGAAGCATTCACGCTCGTGAAACTTCATACACACAACATCAAGTCGCCGCAACCAAACCGCACTTTCTAGCACGGTTTCTAAGTCGTAGCCAACCTTGCCTACATATGATGGTATGCAGCACACTCAAACGTCGATGGCAGATTCATCTGATCTTAGTATACAGGAGTTCGAAATCGGAGATCGCGTTAAGAACCCTAGCGACCATAGCGATTCGCCTTACGTATTCATAATCAAATCAGTTAACGGTAAAACATATACTGTTCAGAAAGAGAATACCAGCGACGCAGCGATCACTTATCAGGAGCACGAGATCGAGAAGGTCGACAAGTGAGGGGTTAGTTTAGAGGCTATGGCCTAGATAGCATATAGGCTTCACTTCAATTGTGAAGACGAATTCGAATCTCTCCCTACTCTTCTAGTGGATGTTACCAGGTCTATGCTACTGGTCTATGCGAAGATTGTGGGCCGGAAGATATGGTCAACAAACATTCAAAGACATGTTTAGCTGTGGACTGTCACATTATTGCTGCTCCTTTTTCGCCATGCTTTCCAGCTCATCCTTAGAAATCTGAAAGAAGCAAGAAAATAGAATCTAATTCGCCATAGCTCGTTTCGACAAGGTATTCAGGGCAGTCGTTCTATTTCGGAACTAAATATTCTACCCTGCTGCCCGCAAAACCCACATGCAGGCTTTTGAAGAGATATGTCGTGGATTATCCTAGCGATTCAGGTACCGGGCGCCACCAGCCTTACTAAACCTTCTCGGAAGACTCGAGGTGCTCAGATTGCTTTAGCTTGGCCTCCGTGAAACCATCAGGGTTATTCTCAAGCTCGGTGAGGATAGCGCCAGCGTTGGATGACTTCCAGCCTAGAGGAATATCGGTCAATGCATGAACAAAGCGTACTTGGTCTGGCGGTGTTAGACTTACCTCTTGATTTGCGAGCAGGTACGCGAGCCTCGAACATCTCATCAATTTCCTCGAGGGACCGGCCCTTGAGGTCGGGAAGGTAGAAGTAGCCCCAGATGAGGGCCAGCAGACTGGTGGCGCCATAGATGAAGCCGACACGGGACTGTAGGTTGGCGTATGGTGCCTTGAGCAGATACGGCAGCGTAAAAGTTGCGGCAAAGTTGAAGATGTTGTTGAAAGTCCAAAACACCATCATAGACTTATCACGAAGGGTGGTATGGGGTACCTCGGCCTGGACAACGGTGGTGGTCGACGCAAATGCAGTGATGTAGCAGAAGGGGAAGAACATGGCCATGGCAACAATGCCCTTCTTGACCTCCAGGGTGGCTGGGCTGATAGAGCCTAGTGCACCCATGGCGAGCAGTGAAGCGGCCGAGAAGGAGCCAAAGAAAAGGAAGAAGCGGCGGCGTCCAACACGGTCAATGAAGAAGATGACCAGCAGACAGCCAAAGACCAGGAAGGAACGCTTGATCATGGTGGCCGTAAAGGCATCCATGACATTGATCGACTTGAGGAAGATGGCACCGTACTGCGAGGCAAATGACTGGCCCGTGAGCTGGGTGCAGGCGGAAGCAACGATACCGGTCATGGTACGTCTCAGGTTGGGTCCGCGGACTAACTCCTTCCATGAGCCCATCTTGGACATGCGACTTGCCTCAAGGGCCTCGTTGAGCAGGGTTATCTCGGCCTCGACGCTGTACCCATCTACAGCGCCATTGAGATATTGGAGGTTGCGACTGGCTTTCTCCTGCTGTCCGCGCCGCAAGAGCCAACGCGGCGACTCAGGCACCAGGATGGCGCCGAGGAGGACGATAGCCGGCCAGATGAACATGCAGATGATTGGGATCTGCCACGAGCTATCGTCCTTGTAGGTGCTGGTCTTGTTGGTCACGATGGACGCGATGAAGGCAGCGAAGATGTGGTTGAAGGTGTAGAACGCTACCATCCTGCCTCGGACTGCTGCGGGAACGATCTCGGCTGTGAACATGGGCACGCACCACGCCTCCATGCCGACGTGCATCTGGATGATCATGCGTCCGGCAAGGATCTGTCCAAAGGTCTTGGAAGTGTAGCAGACGGCGATACCGGACATGCAAATGCAGTTCATGATAATGAGTACGGCCTTACGGCCGAAGCGCTCGCCAATTTGGGAGGCTACAATGACACCGAGGGCGAAGAGGATGAGCGGGAAGGAGTTGAAGTATGCTAGATGGTCGGCTGAGAATCCATACTTCTTGGTCTTGGGGTCGAACTCGCCAAATCTCTTCTCGAATGCTGCCAAGATCCCAGTTAGACTAGTCCATGAGCCTCAAAGCTTGACTTGTGGTCTCCAAAGCTTGTCCCGGCGAGGCTATCAGTTTGATACTTACGAGTCATCGCCTGGATGGTGTCCAGTACAGCAGTGTCGAATCCATAAGCAAAGACACTGGTGCCGATGATGGTGCACGCCATCAGCAGGTTCGAAGTCATATGCTTCGTCACCTTGACATTGTGATCATTGAAGAATTGCAACATGATGGTGGCGGGCTCAAGAAGCTCGAGAAGGAAAGGCGATGGGATGTATCGAGGCCCAAAAAGCGCAGGGCATGACTGGCTGGGAAACATCTCCTTATTAATGCCCATCCAGCGTTCAACTTAGCAACGTGGAGAGATCTGGGGACGTGGAGAAAACGATGGAGAGAATGGCCCCCCAATGCAAACCCTTCGCTTCAACACGAACCAACCTGACTTGGTTCCCACCTTATTACCACGTTCGCCCCTCTATACCATAACCCCGGTTTTCACTGGGGCACCTTTACCTAGCGGAGACATAGCTTCGGGTTGCTCCCCGTGGGTTTTCTGGAGATTATGGTCTCTCGAGTTTCAGACAGCGAAGATGTTATTTCTTGGTGCAGCTTCTTTTTGCAATCTTGTGTCTTGATCAGAATATCGTGCAAGGCTGTATCTGGATCTCTACAACTCTGGCAACCATACTGGCGGCTTGGCTGCTGCTTGGCTACTGCTTGGCTGCTTGGCTTCTTGGCTGCTTGGCTACTTGGCAGACCGAGGCGCCAACGAGTCATGTGGGCACAACGAGGATGGAGACACGAGTCTGGCTCTCCACAATCTTCCCCAATGGCTTCGGCTCGAAAAGACAGCTTCTGCTGCATGTGATTGGCCATGGTAGCACGCTCGGGGGACTTCCCGAGATTCCCAGTCAGTGCCCTACCATCCTCACCTCCATCCCTGTCTATCATGCAGTCGTTCTGTTCCCCGAGACTTTACCATTCAAACACACACCAACACGCAGAGACCTGAGAATATCGGTCGCAAAGCTCCCCGTGGCGCGCAGTCAATTGGACGCACTCTTGTGCGAGCGACTCCCCGGGCGCCGCTGGTTGATCGCGATGGCCGAACCGTCACCGGCCGACCAGCCGCCGCCTCCACCTCCACCTCCGCATCCCCCAGGGCAGCAGCAACAGCAGCCTCCACAGTCGCAGTCGCAGGCGGCCAAGCGGACCAAGACACGGCTCGCTTGCCAGGAGTGCCGCGACCGCAAGGTGCGCTGCGACGGGGTCCGCCCGGTGTGCAACTCGTGCAAGCGCAAGGGGCTGGGCCCGGAGCACTGCATCTATGTCGATCTCAATGCCGACGTGCGCCCGGAGTACGTCAAGTCCCTCGAGGGCCGCATCCGAGAGCTCGAGCAGAACCTGCTCAAGCAGGAGGAGGGCCGGCTGTCGTCGCCGCTGCCGACGCCTGTCCTGGCCGACCAGCCTGCCGCCACCCGCCCGAGCTATTTCGCCGGCTCGCCCGGTGTGCCAGGCAAACTCGACCTTGCCAGTCCCAACCATGCCATTGGCGACGAGCCTCCCATCCACGGCATCAAGCGAAAACGCGTAGAAAGCATGGATCCCATGCTGCACCGCGGCTACCCTCCCGAGCACTTCCAACACCCTGCCCAGCCTCTGCCACCACCTCCGCCTCAACAAGGCGCTCCGACACCAGCAGGAGGACCGCCCACATGGCAGTCTCTTGAAAGTCAACCCAGTCAGCAGCGGCGCAGTAACTCGTTCCGCGGCACCCCTCCCAGCGCCAACAATACGCGGTTCAGACTCCGGCCTGGCAGCCGCGGTGGTGACGCCGACGATGACTCCGCGACACAGTCTGCAAGCGTGATGGGCGCCGCGGATGGCGAACCGGGCGATACCAATGTCTTCCTCGGGCCGTCGAGCGCGGCAGCTTTCATGAAAGAGGTCCGGTCCTCGCGAAAACGAACCTCTGATCATCCCGGCGACGATGCGGCAAGCTCGACGGGGTCGCGGGTGTCCCGGATGCGGACCAAGGCCGAACATGAAGACCTTTTAAAGGTGATGGATGAGCTCGTGCTCCCGCCGAAGCGTGTTGCCGACGCTCACATCTCCAAGTACTGGGAGTATAATCATACCTTGTATCCGATCATGCACAGACCGAGCTTTATGAAGAGGTACAAGCCCTGTTGCTCTCTATCCGCCTTGAAATTTCATGGGGGAATGCTGACAGAAGTTTCCCGACAGGTATCGAGATATGTGGCACGATGACAACGCCGCGGCTCATCACGACTCAGCACACGCGACAGAGACAGCGCACACCCTCCGTGCCTTTCACGCCGTCTTTAACATTATGCTTGCCTTGGGCTGCACATTTGCATCACCCACCGGCATCACGCCAGCCTCACGCAAGAACGCCGAAGTGTTCTTCAAGCGGGCGCAGAAGCTCATCAATAAAGCTGACCTCGAGCATGGGACCCTCGACCTGGTGCAGGCCATGGTCCTCACGGCGCAGTATCTCCAGGGGACAGGCTCGGTCAACCGCTGTTGGATCACCGTGGGGATGGCCATTCGTGTTGCTCAGGGCATGGGCATTCAGCTCGACTTGCCCTCAGAGAGCCAGGCTGAGCAGCAGCAGCGGAGGAGAACGTGGTGGTGCTGCGTGCAGCTGGATAGGTGCGGACGCATTTGTTCTCACTGAGGCTCCTTTCGCTGACAGACAAATCCTCCAGAGTATTCAGCATGACCTTTGGCCGACCGCCAATGATTGTGTGGCCGACGGTTGTTCCCATGCCCGAACCAGTCGAGGATGATGTTCTCTCGCTCGAGCCGGGAAGCTCGGTGCAACCTATTGCGCCACAAGCCGTATCAATCACTGCATTCTTTGTGCAGGCGCTGCTATTGACGAAGATCCTGATGGAGGTGTTAAGGTTAGTCACCGAAGATTGACACGGATGCATACTCATGACACTAATATTCGACGTGTTAAGGCAAATGTACTCGCCCACTGCCGAAAGTAGATCTAGAGAACGTGGAGCTTTCCCTACAACGGATTGTACCCTGGTGCTTGAGATTGATGAGCAGATGGGGTCGTGGCGAGCTGGACTGCCGGAATATCTCGTGTATGGAGGGAACATGGACACCGTGAAACGCGAGTTCATCTTCCAGCGCCAGGCGACGACATTGTATTGTCGGTAGGCTATATACTACATCCCATAATCCGTCGATTCTGTATGTACTGATCGCATCGATACCAGCTACCTTCATCTCCGGATACTCCTATTCAGACCTACCACCGTCATCCTCGCCAAGAGCACAGTCTTCGACCCAGCACGCAATGCCGAATTCTCAGCCTTTCAACGGATGACTGCTCGAGCCTGTGTGAGTGCCTGTGTTCTCGCTGCCCAGGAACTCATCCGGATCCTCTGGACGGAGACGAACTCGGGCCGGCTTGGACCTTGGTGGTACTCTGTATTCTGTAAGCCCTTTCCTCCGCATGCTTCCAGTCAGCAAATCTTAGACTAACTCCCGTGGTAGACTTGTACACTGCAGGAACCGTGGTCTTGTCCATGTTCATGGCGCCAGAGATCCAGGCGGCCCCCCTTGAGCTCCTAGATTCACTGGAGAACTCCTGGAACCAGTGCATCGAGGCTCTGCGCTACTACGCCGACTCCGATAGTGCCTTCGCCAAGCGTTGTCTCTGGACTCTGCAGACGGCCCACGTCCAGGGCATGTCGGAGATGAACAGTCAGCACACCATCGAGGACCAGATAGCCGGCGGCAATGCTGGTGGCGCGCCCCGAGTTGATGCCAATGGGCCGGCGAGGATGCTGGGCCCCGATGAGGCAGTTCCTAATCCCAACGACCCATACGGCTTCCATGACCCGGCGATCACGAATCTCGGAGAGGGCGTGTTGATGGACCCGTGGTGGCCAGCCGGCAATTTGGATTGGTTGGGCAGCATCCCTAGCGAGATGGATGCGCCAGGGGATCTTTACGATACCCGGGATCCGCGCATGCCTTGACTTGGAGAGATTGTATGATATCCCGTATGTATAAAATGCTTGCATTTAGTGGTTCAGGGAGGTGCCACCCGGATGGAGTTTGGAGTATAGCATGCAAAGGGTTTGTCAGAGCTTCTTGCGGCATGGCGTGCACAATACACATGTACCAACGTGCGTTCCATGAATGGATTCTCCAATGTCCCAGTTGAGATAGCAAACAATGAATATTCTTACAGAATCAGAATCGCTCAGATGTACAGTGCTATGTGTAGTGTCATGCATGTCATGTCATGTCCCTGTCCCCGCATCCGTTTCTCATTTCCCAACACCTCCTCCTCCATGCACCCTTTACTCCTTGCGGTACATGCCCAATTGCGTCAGCAGCGGCTTGTCGTTGACGGCAAACAGGTACGCCGTCTCGCCCTCCTCGGCGACGTGCACCCTCTGCGTCCACGCGGGGACGGCAAACGAGTCGCCGCGGGACCACTCGACGACCTTCTCCTCGCCGCTGGCCAGGCGGAGGGTCGTCTTGCCCTTGCCCTGGTAGCAGTGGTAGATGAAGGAGCAGGTCTCGCGCATGGGGGACGACTTGGCGCCGGCGTCGACGCGCTCGGCCTGGCCGCCGACCGTCTTGGACAGGGGTCGGCGGGAGTCGCCCTCGCCGATGCCGTAATGGTAGATGGCGTGGACGCCGGGCTGGGCGTCGAGGTCGGCCTGAGCCGTCTCCCAGCCGATGCGGAGGTCACTGTCATCCTCGCTCGGTCTAAAACGTCACTGTTAGTATTGGGGTACGGGTGGTGGTGGTGGTCTGCGGAGGTGGGTAGACTTACTCGCTGGGGTACCTGGGCTCCTTGTAGATCTCGGCAAAGTTGGTGGGGAAGGCCTGATACAGAGGCAGGTCGAGCCCGTCGAGCCAGATCATGGGGCCCTCGCCCTCGTGGCCGTGGTCGTGCCACTGCCAGCTGGGCGTGGTGATGACGTCTCCGCGCCGCATGGTGACCTTCTTGCCGCCGACGGCGGTGAAGCCGCGCTCGCCCTCGATGATGAAGCGCAGGGCGAAAGCAGTGTGCCTGTGGGCGATGGCGGTCTCGCCGGGCAGGATGAGCTGCAGGCCGCCGTAGAGGGTGTCGGTGGTGTAGGGGGCCGTCATGGCGGGGTTGACGAGCATGAGGACGCGGCGCTCGGCCTCCTCGGCGTTGACGAGCCGGCCGGCCTCCTCGAGCAAGGGACGCAGCTCTTTGTACTTCCAGCTAGCGACCTCGGCCTTGGGCGCGGGGCGAGGGGGCACCATGGCCTCCATGACGGTCCAGAGGGCGCCGACATTGGAGGCGGGTAGGCTGGCCAGGTACTTGGCCTGCTCCTTGTTCTCGACCTTGTGAGGAGACATGGCGGTGATTTGTTCTGAAGATGAGACTGTATTGGGAAGCAAGAACTTTGGGAGGGAATGGAGCAACGCTTGGAATGACTATGGAGCTGGACTGGACTCCTTCCGCGATAGATGTCGAGATCGCTCTGGAGATATAATGCACGAAATGCTGGGGCACACGGAACAGAACGCGAATGACAGACGTTGGATCTCGGAACAAGAAGAAGACTAAAAGCCACGAATCTGCTCACAATGAACTGTTTCTGTGCTCATTTGCTCGTTTTCCTTTCCCCGGAGGGCTTGGTTGCTCCAAAACACGGGGGTTCGGCAGTTGCGGGGTGCATCGTTGCCACGAGCTGGTTCGATCTCGGGGAGCGTTCCGAGCGAACCCCCCCCATTTTCCTCGGAGCCATTTCCGGCCATCTAATTCATTCACAGAGCGTCACTTGTCCACTGGCCCTTGTGTATTTCGGCCTTCGGCTTGAAGTGAGCAAGACTGTGATTGTGGTCATTTGGCCCTTCTGGTCAGTCATTTGATGGCTGGTTCCGAACAATCCGTGTTGCTCAGATCTCGGAACGGAAGCGGGCAGGAGGAGGCGCTGATCGGATGTCGGACTCACCCGTTCTCAATCAGACTTGTGCGCACCAACTTGATGTCGCCTCCGTGCTTCCAAGGGACCGTCCACAGCGTGCAGCCGCAGTTGCCGCAGAAATGTTTCTCCTTGGGGAGGCCGCTCTCCGTGCCCTTGGTGATGGTGTAGTATCGCATAGAATCAGAAGGGTCTTCGATATCTATGCTAGAGGACGGATACTTTGCGAACTGGACCTCAAGGGTTAGCTGACATACCAAGCATCTCTCCCATGCTCGGGAGATCGACGACGACTGGAGTTGAAGGCGGCGAGGAAATATGAGCAGCTTCTTTCCATTTCTCCACGGGGAACAGAGGGGCTCAGACCCACTCACTATCTGGTATTTGCTGCCCGCATTCTTCTGGCAGTGGCTGCAATAGCACGCCACGACCTGCTCCGGCTCGCCGGTGAGGGTGTACGTGATGCCTCCGCAGAGGCAGGAGCCGTAGTAGATCACTGGTTCTTCCATGGCTGATCCCGCCGAGCGTTGGCAGATCCTCACGTTTCACGCGTTTGCTAGAAGCCTAGAACAAAGCAGGGCGAGGTTTGGTGGATTCGAGGGCTCGGCAGATTTTTCCCACCAAGACAATTCCCCACCCTCGACACGGAGGGGTGGTGTTGCATCACCACTGGAGCTTCGTCATTATTGCGGCTCTCTTCTAATCAATCTACTCGTAGATGCAACAGCGATAGATAGTATGAATCACGTGCAAAATGTCATCTTTTTCTTCTCAAAAAAAGCAGCAGACTGTATCAACCAGTGTGGTATTGGGAGATCAAGCCCAGTAGTGGCTTCTACCAGTTTGCTGATAAACTGAGCCGGATTCACAAGGCAGCTCTGGGCTCGAATCAGAAAGAATGTAGAGTCATGTTTCTACAAGTCGCAAAATAATGGCGCACCATTTACATTGATAATATATTTGCACCAAACGACATATATGTACGTATATTTCATGGGCAATGAGCAGTCCTGGACATTACCTCTTCCTGTTCCTCACACTGGCTCGCAACGGTTCTACGAAGGAACACGACTACGTATACCCCTGATCACAGGATGGCTTGAATATTTCTCTCCGTGTAGTAAACAAGCTGAAGCTGGCTGTTCAGGAAAGATGGTGTCTCCCAGGGTGGGTGAGCTGAACAATCCACTCCAATCCTGCAACCAGTCCACATCACAATGCAGGCATGCTTTCTGTGCCTTTCAGGTGGACCAGCAAACTGTGTCCTTCAACTCGACTGAAGAGAAGCATCACTCCAAATCAAGGATAGTTACCCACCCACTCCGCGTACAAAACGATAACAGGCAGACGTAACGCAGCTAGGTACCAGGCCACCTGCCATGCGTTCCCAGCCTAGCCGATCCAGTCTGGCGGGTACGGCTTCGTTACCTTGGCCTCGGGTCGGTCACGGCCCTGGGTGCACACCGGTGACACCACCTATACGCAAGAGAGACGCCGTCTCCGGTTAATTGGCCGGTTGAAGTGTTTACCCCTCGGGGCTGCCAAGTGAAGTGCGGGAGCCCACATCGTGAATGTTGAAGCTTTCCGGACCCGGAATGGCGCCGTTTTACGGGTCTGGTTGAGAAGGATTTAACTGTTTTTCAACATGTCTCAGCGATGAATCCGCACTGCTTCGGGAATAACCAACGAGAGAAATCCGTCGGCAGGACTCCTTTCCGACGGCTGGTCCATTAGCTGTGGACTTTTTAGGCTTGCCTTAGGGCTCCCCCACAGCGCGACGCCTCCGCAAATTCAACGACGGGGCCGGAGTGTCGGCCCGTCGTTTGAATCTCACTCGGTAGGCCGATGTCGATGCTGCTGGCTTCGCAGCGTCGGGTGATTGACTTTACCTTATATCGAAGCCTCGAATCAAGGGACGCGAACCGGCCTCAGCATCCTGAAACCAGACCTTCGTAGGGCTTGTGCTCGTTTCCATCCCGACATCATGACCTATTCGGTGGCCGATTTCGACCCCGCCATCAAAGGTGCTCTCCCATCTGACTTCCAATGGGGCTATGCTACCGCCGCGACACAGATAGAGGGCTCATGGGATGTAGATGGAAAGGGAGTCTCGATATGGGACAAGTTCAGCCAAGAGGCCGACATTCGGGTGGACGACAAGTCAACGTGCAAGGACACTTGCCGCTCATATGACTTGTTCAAGGAGGATGTCGCTCGCATGAAGGCCTACGGAGTCACCGGGTACCGCTTCTCCTTCTCATGGACCCGTATCATCCCCCTCGGAGGCAAAGATGACCCCATCAACGAGGCTGGCATCGAGTTTTACAACAAGCTCATCGACGAGCTGCTGGCCAACGGCATCACCCCCTTTGGAACCATCTTCCACTGGGACACCCCTCAGACACTCGAAGACCGATATGGTGGCTTTCTTAACAAAGAACAGATGGTCCCTGACTTCCTCCGATATGCTCGTGTGTGTTTTGAGCGCTTCGGCGATCGCATCAAGAACTGGATCACCGTTAATGAACCCGGTGTCTTCTCACTAGCCGGCTACGCGGGCGGCGCGCACGCCCCCTGCCGTTCGAGCATCAACGAGAAGTGCAAGGAGGGCGACACGAGTCGCGAGCCGTGGCTGGTCGGCCACACCCTGCTGGTCGCGCACGGGTACGCCTGTGACTTGTACAAGCGCGAGTTCCAGCCCACACAAAAGGGCAGCATCATGATCACCCTGAGCGGCAACTGGTCCGAGCCCTGGGACGCCGCGGACCCCAAGGACATCGAGGCCGCTGAGCGGTCCAACCAATTCGAGATCGCGTGGTTCGCCGACCCGCTGTACGGCAAGAACCCCGAGGTCGACTACCCGGCGTGCATGCGAGAGCAGCTCGGCGACCGTCTGCCTCACTTCACTGAGGAGGAGAAGAAGTTGATCCGCGGCAGCTCTGAGTACTACGGCATGAACTCGTACACCTCCTTCTACAAGCGACACAGGGATACCCCGGCGCCGCCCGAGGACCTCAAGGGCAACGTCGATATCCTGGACAACAACAAGCAGGGCCAGTCGCGCGGCCCGGAGACCGACACCGTCTGGCTGCGGTCGACGCCGTGGGGATGGGGCAAGCTCCTGCGGTGGATCTGGAAGCGCTACGAGATGCCCATCTACATCACCGAGAACGGCACGACGGCCAAGGGCGAGCACGGCTGGAAACCTCAGAGCGCCGACGACGTCCTGGAGGACCCGTTCCGCGTCGAGTTCTACAAGGGGTACCTGACCGAGGTGGCCACGGCCTCGCAGGAGGGCGTCATTATCAAGTCATTCTTTGCCTGGTCGTTCATGGACAACTGGGAGTGGTCCAACGGCTTCACAAACCGGTTTGGCGTTACATGGGTGGACTTCGCCAGCGCAGAGAAGAAGAGGTATGCCAAGAGGTCGGCGTACTTTATGAAGGACTTTTTCAATCATATGATCCGGAAGTAGAGCATACTTGTATCATCCATGCGACTATGGAGGACTACGCCCTTAATACCATGGAGGAACTCCTCACTCTCCATCTTGGCAACATGCAATTTGCAATTCGATGGAAACCGTTGTAGGAAACGTGCGCTAGATACTGGCGAGTCCGAGCTCACTGTACCCTCAGTCCAGGGGCAATGGACGTTTTGTTCCGGATGATTTTTCTATGACGTAGGGTAGTATTTAATAGCATGGTTTGATCTTAAAGGACGGCCCGAAGCTGAGAGGAGTTTGACACTTATCCACATACGACTTTGCTCCGTTTTCAAGGAGACATCGCGTTCTGGCTTCAGCCACATATCCGCATGCACGCTCCTAGCTTGTGCCTATCATCACGGAGCTCAGGTAAGCCTGTCAAAGGGCGCCATTGGCTGATATGGTTGAAGGACTGTCTCAAAAACCTGCTGAGAACGGCTTGAAATCTTGCCTGGGTGAGAGATAAGCAGCCAGGCATTGGCCCGTAGATTGGCGAGGGGTTAGCTTTGACGCACGCACACCTACCAGGGGAGAGCTCCACCTATAACTGCCACCTGCTAACATCGAGATCGTCCCGGGATTGCGCCTGACAGCATGGGGAACATGGCTTTGTTTCATGCCGAATTGCATGCCTAGAATGGGAAAAGCGCAACTGTGACAAGGGCCGGCCTTACTCGTCTGCAGTCTGAAATTGCAAAGTCTAGACCAGAGTGAGGTGGGCTGATGGAAATTTCGGTGCTGATGCATGGGCAAGTTTGGATGAAATTATGCTCTCTCTCTAGCTATTTCTGCTATGCGCGGACCGTTTCATCCTCAGCTCTTCCTCCTCATCATCGCTAATCGTGCTCATGCCTCCACCCGTAGCCTCCGAGATGAGCCGCGTCTTGGTGATCTTGCCCGCCGTGTTCATGTAGATCCACGCCGTCACCTCCAGCCCGGGGAATGGCGCGTAGATGTACTCCATCTCGTACTCCTTGGGCTCGCCGTCGACCGAGATGGTGCGGTTGTGATCCCCAAAGTGCATGTCCTTGGAGTAGTAGCCGACCTGGGTACGCCCCGTCTCGTCGCCATTGTTGTTGAGGAAGACGTCGTAGATGGTGCCGTTCTGCGCCAGCACGCGGTTGGTGTGCGTCTTGCCCTCATAGTCATTGATGCTGTACAGGATGTTGTGCGCGAGGTTGTAGTCGTGTCCAAGGTCGAAGTCGCGCTTCTCCGCGCCAGTGGTCTTTGTGGGGTTCCCGGACGAGTCGACCGGCTCGGTAAGGCCGCCGACGGTGTTGTTGACGATCTTTTTGACGCTCTGGCCCAGCGTGGCGACGATTGGGTTCAGGTCGATGGAGTGCAGGACGTCGTTGACCATCTCGACCACATTCTCCAGGCGTGCCTCGAGCTCGACCTTGGCGCTGACGTTCTCAATCGTCAGTTTGACGCGGTCAATCGAGGCATCGACTCCCGCGGTGAAGTGCAGCAGCTTCAGCACTTGGGCGTCAAGGTTGATCTTGGCAGTAATGTTGTCGACCTCAATGTCGATGAGACCGACGTGGACCGACGCATTCAGGTAGACATCGGGATCTGGAGACAGAGGAACTCCCCCGACATCCGTGTTGGCTGTCTCGTAGATGGCTGACTCGGGATCGCCTCGGTGCTCGAGGTGGTAGCCAATGTAGCCATCTTCCTTCTGTGCTAATACCAAGGAAGCGCTCAATGACAGAAGGAGAGCAAGTGTTGCCTTGAAGATCGACTGAGGCCCCATCTTCTTAGGAACCTCGCCAGGGAGAAGTAGAGACAGAGGTAAAGAAAAACGAGTGTGATTGCAGCAGCCGTTCAAAGACCTGAGAGATCTTAGAGAGCAACGACGGCGCAGACTGAGAGAGGGGTGGAGGACCGAGAAGGGTGGCTCTCTGTAAGTAGGTGGTGCGAGGGGAGTGATACTGATCAAGTATGGCTTCTGCGTGGATAGATGTGGACTCGTCGATCGGCATGCCGGCGAGAACCCCCAACGGATCAAGAACCGGGAGGGGGGTAGCGAATGCAAAGAGTAAATGAGCCACACATACCAGACGCCAGATATTACGGTGTGTCGAGACGGTAGCATGACCTTGTAGATTTGACCCATTGAGGCTGGCGAAGCCCGTTTCAGCCATTGAATAAGTCTGGTACTAAGGTTGATAGGAATGGCAGAGTTGCAGCGTTTGCGTCATTGCAATCAAACTGGAGGGTTAGTGCATGCTGTTCTGGAAACGGAGCGCTTTCACGGCGCCAACCAGCGGTAAGGATGCCGAATTCTGGTACGTCCAATCTCTCTCGGCCCCTGCATCTCCGTGCGCTGGCAGAAAAGCTCCGGATTCTCTGGCGTGCGAGCAGCGCTGACAAGGATTCCTCACAAGGATTAAACAAGCTTCTCCTGCCTCGTCCTGCATTGGATGCGACCGTGCTGAGCTCCTCATGCATGGGAGGTAATCTTATACCAGTTTGGAATTGCACCATCACGTTGGCAAGATGAAGGACCGGCAGGCGTAGGGCTATATTGTGGCTTTCTAAGATGCAACGCTGTTGGAAATGCAAATCCAAGTTCCCTGCTTCGAAATCTTCCGACCTTTGATCAAGGGCTTGGCTGGCCGATCTCGACCTCGATCTGGTGAGACGAGGCCATGGTTGCAGGGATATTGCTAGACATCTGCCGCATGAATCAACGCTGACTTATATCCCCTTCTTCACCTGCCACGGCTCCCCGGACCAAAGGCAGCTCGCCTTCTTTACCTCTGTCCCTCCCTCTCGACATCCAGTCTGAAGAAGAGGCCCTCCCCTCCCTAGGTGATCGCTGTCTCTCAACTGCAGCCCACTCAAGAGCTGTTGCTCACGGAGGATTCCCTCGCTGACACCTCCGTTCCTCTCATTCACTCGTTTGCAAAACCCGCTCAGTCGAGCTGACACCGGCCATGAGGAATAATAGCTTCATCTCGCTCTTCGTGAGCTTCTTACTCCTGCTAAGCTTAGTCGCGGCGCAGCAGACCTCCCCCGCGCAGACCAACACGACACCCGCCGCATCAGGGACCGAGGGTGCAGGCACAACGCAGACTGAGAGCCCTCCTCCAACAGAAACTACTGGTCAGTCTCAGCCAGGTTCGACTGGTACCCAGACCAGCACTCCTACTACAACGCGAGGATCAGGCGGTGGCGGCGGTGGCGGCGGTGGTGGTGGCGGCTCCAGCTCGCCGACGACCAGGAAACCGTCGAGCTCCTCGCCGCCGCCTGATGTCCTGCTGCGTGTTCCCGAGCTGTCAGTCGGCAAGATTGAGCTTGATGTCGATGATCTCCGTGCGGAGGTGAACTTGGCCGCCGAGATTGCCAATCTGGTATCGATCAATGCCGGTGTGCAAGTCGGCATCCAGAAGGTCAACATCACCATCGCTGATGTTGGCGCGGAGCTGGAGCTGATCATTCGCCTCGGTCACCTCGTCGACATCGTCAACCGCACTCTGGCGTCCCTCGATCTCAACCCGCTGCTCATCAATGTGCTCGAAGAGGTGACTGACATCGTCGACACGGTGGTCGGAGCCGTCGATGGCCTGCTGGGATCGATCGTCAACGGAAACACTCGCCTCAACTTCATCATCGACAACCTGGGCAACATCGTGCAGGAGGTCGTCGGCGATGCCGGCGACATCTTGTCGAGTATCGTGGGCAACTACGAGAAGAACATGACGTACACGGGCAACCAGAAGATCTTGGATAACGGCCTGATACAAAAGACGTATAATTACTCGCCATTGGGAAGTCTAGTCAACATCATCTTCAACGCGCTGGGACAGGTGGTGCAGGCGACTGTAGTCAAGGGCGGAAATGGCGGAGGTGGTGGCGGCGGCGGCGGAGGGGGCGGCGGAGGCACGCAGACTGCATCGACTCCTGCGAATACAGCCTCTTCTCCGCCCCCAACTTCAACCGGATCATAGTGCAGATAGAGTCTAATTTGATTGCGAATTAGTTTGCCGATGGCTGTCAAGATGCACTCCCGTCCCGCAAGGGCCTAGCGCATCGACGGGAACAATCGCGTGCATGTAACACGGATGGGATGTTTGCGCTTGATGTCCAATCAAACAGTCCGACTGTGCTAGTGATATAAAGACACGATCTCCAACACCTGATCGGCCACGACTTTTGATAAGATCTGCCTTCTTTATCGCGGGGATCTTCGGGTACGTCCACATCTAGCCGGTTCAGCCGCCAGAGGTTCCAAGCCCTTGGAATCACTCATCGTCTGAGATCAGCGCCCTTGGTCCACTCGTAGCGTCGCATTTCGGTCATACGTGGGGAAGAACCCCCTGTGAATTCCGACGACAGGTAGATGCAGTTGGTTCGACCTCTGCTGACACTGGCCTTGTGTGATCCAGTCCAAGACATACACGTCTGCACAAGTCTGAGCCGCACCTATCACAGATGCCGGGCGTGCCGTCCCTGAGCTTCGCAAAATGGTGTCCACATTCCAGGGTCGGCTTTCTCCATGAACGTCCGGCATTGTTAAGGGATAGTCGCCGCCGCTATTGCTGCATCGTGCATCTGCCACTGACGTCTTCGCTAATGTCTGTATTGATTCCTTTCAACGATTCCGAGACATTTTGAAAAACAATGGACAAGTCAGCTCAGGACTGGGTAGATCAGATCAAGGGAGGCAGAGGGATGTCTCGACCGGGGGACGACTTGGATGGTCTTGTGGCCAGCCTTGCCTCTCGAGTACGGGAGTACAAGGTCTTCCTAAGTAAGTCAACCGGAGCAGAGCAAGCTACCAAAGGCAGGTTCCAGCGGGCTCGAGTCATCAAGGCAGCGCAGCAGATCATCTCGGCGGTTCGGCCACCCACAGATCAGTGGCTTGAGCACGGGCATCACGCCGTGATCTTCACGGCCGTGCGGCTGTATATCAAATGGCGGGTATTCCCGGCTATTCCCATCGATGGACAGGTCGGTATGGATGCGTTGGCGGAGAAGACAGGTGTAGATGTGGCGCTTCTCAGTACGTTCGGTCGGGTGTCTGAAGCCATCCAGTTAAGAATTCAAGCTGACAATGTGCTGACAATGTGTGGGTATAGCTCGAATTGCATGGGTCCTTGTGGGAGCGGGTATTCTAAGTCAGAAGGAAAACCAGCTGGCCCATACACCACGATCTGAAGTCTATGCAACTGTGAATCCATTCGCAGCAATGACTCAGATGGTGTAAGTATCATTCCCACTTCGCTCGGGAAGAAGCCAGATATTAATCAACACCCAGGTTTGACGATCTCCTCACCGGCTTCGTAGCAATGCCGAAATACTTTGAGCTTCACGGCCGCAAAGAGCCGACCGACAAGCAACTCTCCATCACTGCCTTTGCTGAGGGCGCACCAGGCCTCAGCTTCTGGGAGGTTATGAATCGAGACCCGGAGCGCATGAAGAACTTCATGACCTGCATGGGGACGATCGACGCCATGATACCCATCACAGGCTCCTATCACTTTGGTTGGGTGGGCGAGAGGGCCAAGTCGCCGAATTGCCCGCGCGACCGCATGCTCTTGGTAGATGTTGGCGGAGCTCAGGGGAAAGCTATCATGGCTATCTGCGGCGAGACACCGGGGATTGATCGCACTCGATGCGTTCTGCAGGATCTGCCCGAGGTAATCCAGGAAGCACGTTTGCAGAATTATCCTGGCCTGGACGGTATCCGGATGGTCGAGGCGGACTTCTTCCACGAACAGCCTGTGAAAGGTTAGTCATACGATTACCATTCAGCAATGGTATGCTAATAAAAACTCTTACAAGGGGCGCTTGTTTACTATATCCGACGTTGTGTTCACTGCTACAACGACAACGACTGTGTCACGATCCTGCGGAACCAAGCCGAGGCCATGGCTGACGACAGCAGACTGCTCATTACTGAGAAAATCATCGAAGACATACCACCCGTTGAAGTTGCTATGATCGATTTCTACATGCTGTGCCTAGGCGGCAAAGAGAGGACCATCGAGGGTTTCGAAATGATAACATCTCGAGCTGGACTGAAGATCATTGGTGTTCATGGAGGCAAAGGGATGCCCATTTCTGTCATTGAGTGCATGAAGGTTTGAGGCGTAGTTTTGCCCTTTCGACTCCTCCCTGCTTTCGAAAACCGGAGGTACGGACGGGATCAATTTGATAACGCAGGTCATAATGGCTTGATTCTTTGCTCTAGAGTTAATTTTCTACTGCTGGCCAATCTGAATAGTGCCGATTCTCTACACCAGGCATAAACTACACAGCTTCACACACACAGCATTAATGCAGCCCCTCCTATTCGCACCAGGAGTGTGTCACTCCAAGCCTTTATCCACAACTTGGAAGGTAGCCTTGGCGCCAAGGGCTAATATCCTGCCGCAAGCCTTTTCAAACCCAGCGCTCGGTGTCTCTTTCTTCCTTCCACCAATGGATGCCTCGGTGGCAGAACCTGGAAAGTTCAGGGTGGTTGGAACCAACAAGAGGAGCTAATCACGGCAAAGACCTCGGATGATGCGAGGGTACTGATGCCTTCAGCATTACTTACCATTTCATGATTCTCCATGAAGTCGTGTTTTATATGTAGCGAGATATAATATTGTACTTGTTTGCTACTTCTGAATATTAGGAATGCCACACTCAGAGAGGTTGGTAGTTAAACGTGCGGTGAACCACTGAAGAGAAATAGAACGGACTACAGGAGTGACAGGTAAACTTTGTGCATACAGAGGAGGATCAAAAGCACCCCTGAGAGTCCCTAGTGGGAAGAAAGATCGACCCTCTTCGGCTGCGGAGCAATTCTCATCAGGGGAGGGTCCGTCGTGCCCTTGTTTTCGGCATCTGCCTTTGCCTCTAGACGTGCCCGGCTGGACCAGCGACCGACACTGCCTCGCTTGTTCAAGCTGGAGGTCTCCGAGCTCGTCGAAGAGTTAGTAACTCCCTGGAACGCTGTGGCCGAGGTATTCGGGCAGACAGGCGGGTCAATAAAGACGCCACTCTGGGGAAACGGGTTGATCGGCCCCCAGAGATTGCCATCGGCATCACGTCCAACGCCGTTTGTCAGCCAGGCCATTTGAGAAAAGTCAAGTGGAACGGGCGGCACGCCAGGGACGTCTTGCTCGCCGGGCACCCAGACGTTGATCGGCTGGACGTACTCCCCAGCAACGATACCGTTGCGGGTAACCCGCGTCTTGGCGACTCCATTGATCTCCGCTATAGCCTTGTACTCGCGAGCGTAACCAGTCAAGATATCGTTGCGATATTCAAACTTGTTTTGCGGGTTGCGGCCGCCGCGGAGACCCATACTGGCAACGATACGGTCGGTGGTCTTGCCTGTGCAGGGATCGACATCGACAGCGTAGAGGGAGACTGTGGCGCGCGGATTCGATACAAATCCGATGAACTAAGTGGGCGGTAATGGTTAATTCATTGGACCTAGTTAATGACTTATACCGGTGCATTAGACGTACTCTGGACTCTGCTATCTCCGCATTAGGACTGGGATTGTCGATCCCCAACCGGCCGAGTTCCATGCGCACATAGACAATATCTCCTAGCGTTGTGATCATGACATTCTGGGCGACGATACTGTACGCGATCAATTCGTTACCTTGGCGAAATCCGGAAAAAGTAATGAAGTCTCCAGGGAGGAAGGGGGCCATGACAAGAGGATCTGGTGCAGTGCTATCATCCCAGTTAGCCTTGCATAGCAAGAAGATTGGATCCGCAAGTGGCTTACAAAGTGCCTGGGCCTTGGAAAGGCCGATTGGTCATTGGGCAGAGAGGGTCGGTCAGGTTCCGTGGAATGCACATCGGAAAGCCTGAGAAAGACGAAATGCTGGGGCTGATGTCGTCGGCAGTCATCAAGGGCGAACCTGTGTAGCCAACGGAGAACACCCCATTGGGATCGTTTATGCGCAAGGTCGGCCCGTTTTGGATCTTCATGCTTCCGTCCGCATGGTCAATGGACTCAATGAATCCACTCGCCAATCCTTCAAAGAATTCGTAGATCTGAACTTGGCCAATCCTTGGAACTCCATTGATGCTATTGCCCATAGCCTGTTTTATCTGTTAGAGAACTGCAATTCAGCAAACCCAACAAGTCTTCTGGAATAGAATACCAATGTTTCAAAGCCGAGGAACTTGTCCTTGCTCTCGACGAATGTCTTCCATGGGACCCAGGCGGCGGGGAACTGCACCAAGAGGTTCTCTGGAACATTCATAGAGAAACCGTTCACGGTTATGGAGCCACCTGTGTTGTAGGCATCCCCGCTAACTGTGGCATCTTCCAACGCGCCCTGGATGAACAACGGGGCATCTTGCCCTAGTACAGCTGGTGCCAACAAGGCGACCTGAAGACCCAAGGTAAGAATGCTCTTAAAGAATCGAACAAAAGTCATGGCTTTGGCGCGTTCAGATTGAAAGAAGAGGCAGGAGGATGCGGTGCGATCTGAAGGAAGTTCTCTTTGATCCGGGCATGTGTCTGAGCTTATATGTAGATGACGAAGCTGCTGTTCACCGCAGGCAATTCCCGACATCCGACTTCTCCGAAATGTCTCTCCGTTACGAGGATGCTCTCTGTTGACGAGTCGGTCTAGCCTTCTCTTGCCAAGTCAATATATCTGCAGACTGTGAGTGCCAGGCATATCTCGAAGGGTCATTTGTCATTCTCGTTGCAACCAATGTCGGCGAGACACTCCAGAAGTGGCTTGAGTTGTTCTCAGTTTGGCAACTGGAGGTCTCTCGTGAGAAAACAAGACTATCTTGGCGTCTTAAGTAAGCGGGATGTTGGTTTCCAGTCTCCGAGCCTCTGTGCGCGGTAGCCGCCGACACGTATTAAAGTTGGTTGATACCACGTGGCGAAGCAAGGTTGTTGGGCGACATCACTGGACACTTGACGCCAGTGGGTGGAATCCTGCGACAAGCTTCTGCCAAAGACACCTGCTTAACTGAGCAAGTTGACGCGAGTGGTTAGCTGGGAGGTGGCAGAGAATTTTCGCGGGTGGGGCGGCGCGCGAGGAGTTGCCTTGAAACAGCGAAGTTGAAGACTGTCCGGGGCCGGTCGGTGTGCTTCGGTATGGAGACTGGTCAACCATGTCAATTGCGCTATACCGAGGTGTTGTTTGCAGGACGGAGCAGTTCCAGATTACCAAGGTCAGTCAAATTGACCCGACCGCCGATGCCAATATGCACGATATCACATCCAGGGTGGCTATACAAGGCTTGGCGAAGCAGGATCAAGCACCTTCTTTATGGGCCCCTGTCACACCTCTTAGTACATATGTGTATCCCCGCAAGCAAGGATCCCCGCGGGACCGAGACATGCAACACGGGAGATGGTGTACACCTCGTGGACGCTACCGGGATTGAACTTGGAATAACTTCGTGGGGGTCCAATGAGAATGAAGTGCAAGAAAAGCCTCGAGCGCTGGGGCGAGATCCCATGCCGCCCAGGCGGACCGGCCCTCTCGTCCCCACCCGGGATTCTCGCCAATTGCGGCCCAAGCCCGCCTCTCGGACCTGGCCAAGACGTCACATTGTTTACCTCGCTCCAACCCGGGGCGGCATTGCCCTGGATGCCGAGCATGGAAAGCGTTCGCAGCGTAGGGGTGCAAGTCATGTACAGTTGCACTTGGCGCGTTACGAGGTTAAGATTGCGCACTGGCCGTCCAGCAAGCCGTGCCTTTTCCATCTGAGCAGAGCTGAGTTATTTCCGCCAGCGAGACATCCTTGATGCGAAGAGAATGCTTGATTCAGATCTGGAATAGGGTCCGCCACTTGAACAGGCCACCTTTGTCGCAATCAAGGCTCCTCGTCGAGGAGTGATGTAGACTATTTCGATTACGCAATCTCCGTATTCACCGGGGAGAATTCCTTCTTTTCAGGGTCGGCTTGCATGAGGGCTGCTCTTGGCATCGTCGTGCGTGCCTATTGGCAGCCAGGGTTGCAGCCACAGTACCCCGGCTGCTGGAACTGCGACCCTCTGCGAACGGCACAACCCAGGCAACCCGGAAAATGTTTTACACAATATCTTGGAGTCTTTATCTTCACTCTCTCAAACCGCGGGAGGCAAGAGGTGGCATTGGTCGGTGTGTCACTTAACCTCGGTCTGCAGTGATGATAGCCTCCCGACGCCGGGCATGGGGATCCCACAAATGGATACGTAGAGTTGTAGCACAAGGATCATTATCCCAACCAGTATGTACACGCGCGCCACTGGGTAGTCTCAAAAATAGGTTGCTGGAGCTCGTATGACTGTATGGCTTGCGAGGGATTCAGCTCCGCCAGCCCAACAGTGATTTGAAATGGAGCTAGCACCTTCCGCTTTGGCCTCACGCACCGTGATGGAGGCAATTATCGATCAACCGCGCGCCAAGCCAATACAACGGCTCCATACTGGTGTTTGTGCAAGCCCCTGACTCGGATCATGGTCAACAAAGCGTGCATTCGCGGTCTGGCCGCACTCTACCCAGGTCGCCAGAGTTTTAGCGACGGAACCCCTAGGATATGGCAGGGAATCAAGCACGGCTGGCATTCCTGGACCTAATCGCTATACAGGCCTGCTCTTTTTATTTAGCAATGGCTTTTACTGCTTTGGTGATATAATTACGTTTGTGATTAAGAGAGTAGTGACGTTCTCTCGATGTCAAGGGCTATGGTTGTACTGGAACTTGGTCCCTGTGGCGCTCCGTAACCGGAGTAATCCCCTGAAGACATCGGCGATGGCAATAACGCCACCACCCTTCTACAGAAGTTGGATTGAATCAAGATCTACCCCTGAGTTTGTCTGTTCTATTTCCCTCCATGCCGGACTGAGCATCTCTCCCTGCCTATGTTTGCTGTTGATATCACCCCGCAGCCACGCCGGCGTGCCATCGTGCCATCGTGCCACCGTGCTGGCAAGCCCCTGTTCGCGGACATGTCTGCCTACACCCACCAAGTTTTCATGATCAATAATCACTTTTCAACCTTCATCCGAAGCCCTCTTGGCACTGCCCACTCAGTCACTCTCGAAAAGCTACAGTCTCGCCATCACGGCCCTTTCGATGCCACCTTCCCGATTGTGCCTTTCAACTACAAGACATAGAGCGAGGTCTAGATTCGAAGGGTGCCATCTCGTCTGCACAGGGTTACTGCTACTTACCTCTAGTTCGTCCGGGATGGTGAGGATGTCGTGTGCAAACATGCAGCACACTATTGACGGACATGTTGCCAACTCCGGACAGATCATGGTCTCGCTGTGCAGCTCTGGCATCTTGCATGACAGGAAGGCAAGCTCGGGGAGACAACCTACCGTCTGATAGTCGGTCAACACTTGCCAGCTGTCTATAAAGGAGCCCAGCCATCCTGCTCCTAAGACTCTCCTGACATACAGAGCGCCAGAGTTGACCAAGACGCCCAGAGTTCTCTTTCCCGACTCTTTCTCTTCATCCTCAATTTGAAACTGTTTCTCCTTATCATGCTGTGCCATCCCATTGCCACTCTGGCTCTAGGGCTGTCTATTCTTCCATGGAGCTTGGCCAAGAATATTACAAAGGCCATACCTGCAAAGGAGGCAGCTGCCCTTGCAGCTGTTCAGGAAGACACTCCTGAAACGTTCAGCGCTAAGAAGGGTGGGAGTTTGAGTCCAGACTACCCTCTTATCTTCAAAGTGGCACTCCCAATCCCACCTGTCAAGCAGCCGTCCAAGTAAGTCATGCCAGTAATGCCTTTGCCTTGCTGCCCATGCAAGCTCTAATTTATTGTCAGGGTCATCACCAACCCTACAACTGGCAAAGAGATATGGTACTATGAGGTGGAGATCAAACCCTTCACTCAACAGGTTTATCCCAACCTGCGCAAGGCCAACCTGGTCGGCTACGACGGAATGTCGCCTGGTCCCACCTTCATTATTCCACGAGGAACCGAGAGCGTTGTGCGATTCATCAACAATGCTCCGGCAGAGAACTCTGTCCATCTTCATGGCTCCTTCTCTCGTGCACCGTTTGACGGCTGGGCTGAGGATGTGACATTCCCAGGCCAGTATAAGGACTACTACTATCCCAACCAGCAGTCCGCCCGGTTGCTGTGGTACCACGACCATGCTATGCATATCGTAAGTCCCGTTGCTCGCCGTCTCTTTACTATTAGGGCAGCGTTTTCTAACCCAGAGCGGATCGGTAGACTGCCGAGAACGCATACATGGGCCAAGCTGGCGCCTACATTCTCCGGGACCCAGCTGAGGACGCCCTTGGACTGCCCAGCGGGTATGGCGTATATGACATCCCACTCATCCTCACATCTAAGCAGTACAACTCTGATGGTACGCTCTTCTCGACCAACGGCGAAACCAAGAGCTTATGGGGAGATGTTATCCATGTGGTAAGCACACTCCCCTCGAGATATTCCTTCGTCCTGAACTTATTGTGATAACGCAAAGCATAGAATGGACAACCGTGGCCGTTCCTCAATGTTGAGCCCAGGAAGTATCGCTTTCGGTTCCTCAATGCAGCAGTGTCTCGATCATTTGCACTTTATTTCGCGTTGACTGAAAATGTCAATGGCAAGCTGCCCTTCAAGGTGATTGCGTCAGATGCAGGCCTCCTGACTGGCCCGGTGCAAGTTTCCGATATGGTATGGCCTTTGCTCCTCAGAAATCTAACTACTTGCCGGGAACATGTTGAAGCTGATCATACACAGTATGTCTCGATGGCCGAGCGTTATGAGATCGTCTTCGACTTCTCCTCATATGCTGGCAAGACAATTGAGCTCCGCAACCTCGAGCGCGCTGGCGGCATTGGCGTAGAGGATGACTTCGATAACACGGACAAAGTCATGCGCTTCGTCGTAGGTAAGGGACCCCTCGCCACGCCCGATACATCGGTCGTGCCCGCGTCACTCCGACAGGTGCCTTTCCCTCCCTCGGGCAGCGTTATCAACCACCAGTTCCGCTTCCACCGCCACAATGGCGAGTGGCGTATTAACGATATCGGCTTTTCGGATGTGAACAACCGAGTGCTGGCCAAGGTTCCGCTCAACACAGTCGAGATCTGGGAGCTCGAGAACCGCTCTGACGGTTGGACACACCCGATTCATATCCACCTGGTTGACTTCCGAGTCATCTCTCGAGAAGGCAATCGTGCAGTTATGCCATACGAGTCTCAAGGTCTGAAGGACGTGGTGTGGTTAGGACGAGGCGAGAAAGTTCTGGTCGAGGCTCACTATGCCCCTGTAAGTCAATCGTAGCTACATCTCCTACTAGTGACTCCGCTGACCATCGACTCTGCCAAAGTGGGATGGCGTGTACATGTTCCACTGCCACAATCTGATCCATGAAGACCACGATATGATGGCAGCGTTCAATGTCACAGCATTGTCTGACCTTGGATATAACGACACCTCGTTCATCGACCCCATGGAGCAGAAGTGGCGAGCCAAGCCATACCAGGTCGCTGACTTCCAGGCTCGCACGGGCCCTTTCAGTGAACAAGCCATCATCAGCACTGTTCAGGCCATGGCTAACATGCAGCCGTACAAACGCATTGACGGAGCTGCGGCCAAAGCTGCGTCAACAAAGCGAGAGGTGCTGTCTGCGAATGAAGGGACGGGACCCATCCCGAGGTTCCGCAGATTTGTGGTCTGAAGTGTCCGAAATCCTGCAAAGAAACGGTCCCCGCAAATACCTCTTCACGGCCTGAATGCTGTATACGATCTTGGACATTCATTAGTTCTCGGGGCTATTATTTCTTATCATAGTGTAATCCGAATACATATGGCGTCACTATTGGATCTGGTCGTCAATAAACAGATATTTATTTTGTTTCACGCTCTATTCGGCGATAGTGGGGACACCACAGAAATGTTGCATGGTCTGAAGTCCTGTGTTCTAACGGATGCCTGGCCTTTCAAAATGCTTCGATGGCGAATGACTTGTCCCCAGTGTACACCTCCGCGCCATCCACAGTAGAGAAGTCTTTAGGATCTAGGAGCGTAGAGCCTCCAATGGTATGCCCGACAGTGTGAACGTCGTCAATGACAAGGCGATACGCATTGATGTCAGCTAGGTGTTGAAAGACGAACTTGACGTTTGTATCCGAGCATGATATGATGTGCGACGTCGTGGGGAAAGTGTTGCCTGGTCCTGCTTCGGCAGTCCCTTTGCACTCGAGGACGTCGGTGCCCGGGATCTCGACTAAGTTGAAGGACCATCTATTGATCAAGTCAGAATAGTGTCAGAAGTTTGAAGCAAGTTACATACGAGCAGGTGCCGGATCTGTTGCACGCAGCGGAGAAATTGAAGACGATGAAGTCCGAGATATCACGGGATGGATTAACAGCTGCTTGCGCAGCGGAAATGGCAACCGGCAGGAGTGCAAACGTAATCTTCATGTTCAGTCGTGTGAGTATTTGATACAAGGTTCAGGATGATGCTTTTTCAACTTTGGCCTAACTCAGCAGAGTCGGCATCTGTCCCATTAAATACACAAACCCACGCTCACAGTTTGTACAAGCATTGGGATTCCAGGGGCAAAGTATGTTATGATATCATGAACTAACTTAATTTGAGTTACATCCGAAGGAGAGACGAAAAGGGTCCAGCTCGTCTTCTTAATTTATGTCGCATGCTTCTAGATTCAGGTGTGTTGCAGACAGCCCGGGAGCGAATCGGTTTTATAGATATAATTGCGGACACAGGAGGATCAGGAGGTTATTTGTCCGCATGCTGATACAGCCTATTACCCGATCCAGTCACAGACGGTAACGAAATTCGCCTTCAGTCCAAAACAGGTAACCGGAACACACAAGATCGCTATGCTCAAGAGTTTGATTGTGCCTCAGCGACGATCAGCTATTTTTGTCAGCACTGTATCAGTACCCTGCATGCAGCCAGTCGATTTTCCTGGTTGAGGTCTAGAACCTATTCCCAATTCTAATGACGCCCGTAGAATCTCCATTGGGAATGGTTTGACAAGGTGTTGCCTCCTGCACACACAGAAGAGAGCGTGACGCGCACGGCTGGGCAGTCTCCAGGCCGAAGCCAAACTATGATCACAACTATGTCGAGAAAGTCAGCTGGGGAGAAGATCAGCTCTCAGATCGGTATTAATCTGGGAAATTACAAAGGCGGACTGGCGAGATGGATTTATTCGTTCTGCCGTCTATGCTTGTCAGCCTTAGCACCGCCTGGAAGTGGAGCTGGTAAGATACGAAGTGGTGGACTTCCGCCCGCTAGCTGACATTGTCAAGGGATCGGATTCCATTGGAGATGATTGGATTGATGCCATACAAAGGAGCATAGGAACTCCGCCAACACGACGGGGTATTATGAAGAAGATGTCCCCGAGCTTTCTATAAGACCTGAAAGCTCGCGTCAGCCTGCCGTATTGCCTGATAACGTAGACAGCCATGCGGCGACCCATCCCATCTGTGTAGCCCCGAGCCTCCGACAAAGCCCTCAAAAAGTCGACTTCATCACTCAGCATCTGCCTGACCAATCCTCCGCCATGGCATTCCGGGACATGTACACACAGTTCTATCCTCCAAAACCGAAGTTCACAGAGCGTCATGTCCCCTCTCAGAAAGGCCGGGTATTCCTTGTGACAGGAGGAACCATAGGTGGTGTGGGCTTTGAGCTTTGCAAGATGCTCTTTGGGACGGGTGCTACCGTCTATCTTACGTCCCGTTCAAAGGTTAGTCGGCCTTTCGGTGTGTGCATTGCAATAATTAGCTCCACAGCTGACAGAATATCAGAACCGAGGCGAGGAGGCAATCAAAGCAATCACAGAGAGTTCTCCCGCCCCTGCCACGCCAGGAATTCTGAAGTTCATTCAATTGGATCTCAATGACCTAGCGTCCGTGAAGGAAGCTGCCGCAGAGTTCGCTCGGCAGGAAAGCAAGCTCGATGTCCTTTGGAACAACGCCGGGACTGCGCCTTTCCAGGTCCAGCCTTCCGAAACGACGGTACAGGGCCATGAAGCGATTATGGGCAGGAATTGTATCGCAGCACTCCTTCTCACTCAGCTCCTGTTGCCACAGTTGCGAGCTGCTGTCGCTGCACAGATGACCCCGGGTTCTGTGAGGGTAATCTGGACCGCGAGCATTGCGGCCGACCATGACTCCGGGTTGGATCCTAACGGAATCGACATCGACCAACTAGGAACCGTCCACCCATCACGGACGCGCAATTATGCACTGTCAAAGGTGGGAAACTGGTTCCTCGCCCGGGAGATGGCACGCAGATATGGCAGCGAGGGCATCTTGAGCGTCGTGCAGAACCCAGGGAACACCTCGACGCATGGCTACGACACTGCCCCTCCTGTCTTAGTATTCTTTATGAAAGCACTCATTCTGCAAAAGCCCAAGTTAGCTGGTTATACAGAGCTGTTTGCCGGTCTGTCACCCGACGTCAAGCCTGAGCACGGAGGTATGTATATCATGCCTTGGGGCCGAATCCGGCGTGACGAGGATTGCCCGAGGCAAGATATCATCAGAGGAATTAAGCCCGAGGAACAGGGCGGGCTTGGGAATGCAAGGAGGTTTTGGGAGTGGTGTGAACTGCAGGCAAAAGATTACATGTAGACCGTAGGAAGCGAGTGGCTGCTTCAGGGCTCGGTCTTGCAGGCCCACCGAGGACGTGGATTGAGTATTTTGTACCTCATCATTTCATGATCTAGAACAGACCAATATAGAATACGAATATTGTCATCGCTGATTTCGTCTCTCGTGAGTGGGCCGGTGCAGCTCCGGCTCTGCCAAGTGCGATGAGGGTGCGATAGGGGTGCAGTGGATCTCCAGTGTGGCTCGTATCCTCAGGCAGCCTTATTCTGCATATCAAAAAAAGCATACTGGAACAGGAACGGCAACATTTTACTATCAAAAAAGGAAGGTTTGAACGAGAGAAGCAAGCTTTGATACAAGCTCAACCACGCGCCAGGCGTTTCTACCCTATACTAATAGGATAGTAGTCCACTTCGCCGTAGCGAAGTATGGTAAACTCGAACACTCAACCATCTCCCAAATACTCTCATCGCTTGAACTATCGCCCTCCCCGTCACTTGTGCTATTTCTTGATCCATCCTCCATGTCTATGTCTATGTCGCAACAATATACAGGTACTGGACAAGACACCATATCAGCTGCGAAGTTGCCAAGTTTCGATTCAAAGGCGGTTTCGTCTTGTGTATTCAGCGATGAAGGAGTACTTCCAATACCCTGTCTGACAATTGTGTTGCTGATCAAAGGGCTGATCGAAGGCTCATCTTCCTTCCCAAGGAGAGTTCCCACTCTAGTAAACTCTTGCTTGTCACGCTCCAATGTTTGTTGAATCAACAGACCTGCGACGATTGCGTTATGAAAGGTATCGGCGCTAGCATCAACGAAATTCTCCTTTTCGAGAACAACTGGAAGGAAGTAACAAGCTGAAGACGGATCAACAGGCCTGCTAAAGTTCACCTCGAAAGTTGGTCCATCTCCATATTCATCAGTCAGCTGCAAGAAATTTAAACCGGAGGGAATCTCGTCATGGTAGAGGATCCGTGGGTTAAATGGTATGGATAGTTGTCCGAGAAAATGGTTCTTATCTACCATGTGGTTGAACTCCACTGGTATCAGAAGACACTTGATCTTCAAGATGGCTTGGTCAAAAAAGGTGAATGGATCGCTGTCTTGGGGGCTGATAATAGACCCGGTCAACATAGCTAGCGGACGCACATCATCCAACTCGAATGAGTTGAGTTTTGTTGTCAAGAAGTCCGATCGCCAATAGCCATATCGATAAGCCCGAACCGTTCCAGAAAATGACAGCCATGACCATGAAGGAGGGGTTGAAGTTGGAGTGGTGCTCTGCTTCGTATTTGGCACATCGAGCCCAGAACTTGAAACTCTTTCCTTTGTTGTAGCCCAAAGGAGGTCGTGTGCCCAATGCTCGAGCCAGATTCCTGCGAAATAGGTCTCGCCAGTTCTTTTGGAGAGAACTCTAGCAAGACCCGCTATAGCGACAACCCTGTCCTCTTCATATGTCAATTGGCATGCCGTGTACTTCTGGATTATTTGGTTCCAGGTTGGTTCTCTACCCCCTCCAAAAGGGATGGTAGCCGATTGTCGACCACTAGATTCTATGATTTTAGAAAATAGTTCGCTTAAGACGGGGTGTCCGTTGCCTTCGCCATCGCATTCCCAATAAAGCTGATCGTTCCCCAGGTATAGAATCCTTTTGGAAAGGTATCGTTCTTGCAGAACCCATGCTCTCGTATTAATAGAAGCATCCTCTGTGTTCATAGAGAAGTCCTCCCGGTATGTGACAAACACAAAGTCATCGGGGTTGATGTCCAGATTGGATAAATCGTGCAAATCGTGATCATCGGACTGGGGCGGTCGAGGGCGTGGTATGCTCCGGGGACTGCACTTTCGGAAAATCGAGGTCCCTGCGAAGTCCCAACATATCATCAACGTAAGGTAGGCATGCTGATAGATATCTATCATCATTGGTGCTTCACGGCGAAAGTCAAAGCCGCCGTCTTTTTGCACAATACAGAGAGAGTCGATCCACAGGTATCGGATGGGTATTGCGCGACAAATAGAGATGACATCTTGATAGTCTTGGGGAAGGATACTATCAGGCTGATGTTCATGGTATGCTTCGTAGTTACTACTAAGCAACTCCGGTGTGCTCTTTGACCATCGATGGGAGAGTGCAATGTATTCAACTCTGTCCTGGCCTTGAGACTCGATAATTCGCCACGTTTTTGCGCCTTCATTACCGAGGTCTAACAACCGAGTAGGCATCACCGCTCCATCAGGAGCCTGTTTTCGTTCAATACAACGAGTGTGCTTTGTCTCGCAGTTGCTAAGCCATTTCCGCGCAATACAGGCAACTGAAAAAGGTGTGTGCTCGGCACATATAGGAACGTCTCTTTCAGCAGCTAAATCAATAGTCTTGTTAGTCGTTAAGAAACAGAGCTAGGTTCAATCACTTGCCTACAAAACATTCCTCCGTAGTCTTTGTGATAAAAAAACACATAGTAGGCGATGGTACTCCCCATAGGTTGATCTCGAGCCAATGCCTGTCCGGTTTCCGACTTAACCCTCTGTGAGCGTGTGCCTTTGCTGAAGTATGACAACGCTCTAGTCTTTGGCTGTTCGGCGTTTCATCTGGCGAAGACATAATTCGTCGCCAAAGGGACCAACAAATAGGGCAATCATGATTGAGTGATATCATGAAGGACTCCCCTGACGAATGCAGAGTAACCCATCTAGAGCAATCGATTGACCTTGCGAGCCTATTTCTGAGTTCAGACGTATGTTCATTGAGAACTCGTCGACATGCTTCGCAAAGACTCATTGTGGCCAGAAAAGTATTGCCGCCTTTTGCTTGTCAGTCGTGCTATTGATCTGGGTTTGACTGTCGTTGATGGGATGATGCCTTGCCTGCTTGGAAGCCCCAAGATTTGGGAGACAGAGGCAATCTTATGAGGATTTACAGTGTCGGGCCCCTCAGCAATGCAATGGCCAAGCGTGATTCGCGCCACGTCAACCCAGTGGCATAATAGGGTCTTCTCAGGCCAACTAATGCAACTTATGTCCCAGGTCACATCGGTCCGACCCAATCAGTTCACTATAGCTGCCTAGTGAGGGGTTATTGGAAATGATGAGTCACGACAGGGCGATTATAGAAGGGTATTGGTTGGCATACACTTCGGCTGTTGAACTGACGTGTCAGACTTGGAGGTTCTCATAGGAGCACCCCAGCTGCCAAATTATTAAGAGGACTGGCTCCTGCCAGGTCACACCTATTTAGAACCATCCTGAGAGGCCGGTTTCCCCCTGAAGTATCTTACACTTAAGTCCTGTTAGATTAGATACCATGATACGGATACTCGGAGACGAAACCCAAGCACACAAAAATCCGTTTCTGTCACCCCCACACCCCCGCCTCCGTTTCGCTGCCTGCCTTTGCTCACTAGACCCCCAACACCCACTGAGCCAAAGGGCAGACGAGGCAGAATTTCTAACCCAACCCACACAAGTTGGGCGAGCCCAACGCACCCGCATGTTTTAAAATGGAGCACAAGGCATAGAAATTTCGTGACAAGGACTCGTTCTATCTATGCAAGATAGAAATGGCTCCCAATAGGCTGACGGGTACCCGTCGTTTGAAAACTGTGACGGGCCCCGTCGCATTATGTGATACTTCGTTTTTACCGATACTAGCCGCTCGTAGTTCAATCTAAATGAACGCGTCTAAATCGATCGCGATTTGCTCTTGACAGTTGACATCTTCCACCCAACATATCTGATAATCAGAGAAGGGAGTTTTCTGGCGATGTCCTCCCCCCAGAAGGCGAATATGGATCCCGAGATACTGTACGAAAGGCAATCAACGCATGAGCAGCTCCAAGAGGCCACGCGTTCATCAATGGGGGGTCAACAAATGAGAAGTCTGGCAGGCAGTAACATACCTATGTGACCGTCATTCTAAGCCACCAGACACGTCTACTCAACGGAAACGGAAGACAAGTACACGGGCGAGTTCTCAGTCTTGTCTGGACAGAACGACTTGGGCCCTGAAGCACTGTTCGGAACTAAGCTTCTCTTCTCTCACAACGAACCGAGTCAACACCCGTCCGCCCATCCAGCCACTTTTGATGTGGTGTGTTGGGGGGGGGGGGGGGGGGGGGGGGGGGGGGCTTTGACCTGTTATTATGTGACGTCTCGCAGCGTAGATTTCAGCTATAGCGGCACGCAACGCGCCACACCTTCTCAATCATCCACATCTTCATCTTGACTTTTAGTTTGACCCCTAACTTTGCCTTCGCACAGGCAGAAGAAAGGTCGTGTATTGTGGTCCAACCCGAATAATAGTAGTCCATCGTCGCTAAGGATGGCTGTTCGGTGCTTTAGTGCTTATGAGCGGGCTAGTATCGGTGAAAATCATGCGGATAATCATCAGGTGCTGCATGACTGGCAACCCGCTTGGCGTTTCGGAATAAGCTGCCAACCCGGGCGACACACATCATCTAGATGAGCAATGAGCCATGCCCGTTGGGCATATCCTGCAGTTGCATGACGTAGAATCCGATCAGTTCATGCGGCCCAGGCGCGTATGTGATCTTTGGAGAGCACGGCGTCTGAGTGCGATGTAGCTCCTGCGGGACATGCCGCCTTCGCCACTTACACGCGCGGAACGTTAATTTACGATATTAAAAAACAGAGCCTCTTAATATATCCTCTCAAGCCAAAGTTGACAGAACGCCATCCTGAGGCTTCAATTTGACACAAATGGACACAACCTCCAATGATGCCATATCGGGCGGAATTGCTGCTTCGAATTCATCATGCGGAGGATGAAATTCTGGCATTCGGGATAGAACTCATAGCTTGCCATCAAAGTATAAAGTCTGTCGTTCTTCATCACAGATTTGAATCATCTGGATCGTCGTCAACCTCATCCTCATACATCTCCCTCGGCCTCAACCATCCGTCATTCCCTCGGTGTTCTGAATTCCTTGCCACGACAACCATCTCTCAGCCAAGATGTACTTTACCAACAGCGTTCTCGCTCTCGCCGCCCTCGCCGGGTCCGTGTCGGCACACACCCTCATGAACAGCGTCGAAGTCAACGGCCAAGATCAAGGAGAAGGCAAGAGCACCTACATCCGATCGCCGCCCAACAACAACCCGGTCAAGGACCTCACCAGCCCGGACCTCGCCTGCAACGTCAACGGCGGCAAACCCGTCAGCGACTTCGTCAAAGCCGCCGCGGGCGACACCCTGGCCTTTGTGTGGATGCACAACAAGCCCGACGACGACATCATCGCCGAGTCGCACAAGGGCCCTGTCATCACCTACATCGCGCCCTACACTGACGACGCTGGTGCAGAGGCTGTCTGGACCAAGATCGCCGAGGACGGCTTCGACGGGCAGCAGTGGGCCGTCGACCGCCTCATCGCCAACAAGGGCAAGGCCGAGTTCAAGCTGCCCCAGTCGCTCAAGGCCGGCAAGTACCTCGTCCGGCAGGAGGTCATCGGCCTGCACGAGGCCAACGATGCCTACACCGACGACTCAGCGCGCGGCGCGCAGTTCTACCCCAGCTGTGTGCAGGTCGAGGTCTCAGGCTCCGGCGACGCGGTACCCAACCAGGACTTCGACTTCAACAAGGGCTACACCTACCAAGACCCCGGTATTGTCTTTGACATTTACGCCAAGAACAAGACTCTTGACTACAAGATTCCTGGCCCCGATGTCTGGAGTGCTGCTGCTGGCAATGCGAAGAGGTCGCTGCGCATCAAGGGCCGCGTTGCTGGTCAGGTCTAGAGTCTTTGAGAGATTGACTTGTCATTCAGAGTGCTGGAAGCATAGGATGTAAATCATGTCTTAGAATCATACTAGAGAACAGCTGAAGAGCTGGCTAATGCGGAAATCACATTCGTTAACCACCTAATACATCCCATCAACCTCCGACCCTTGATGCGTGACCTGTGTAATCACCTTACTAAGGCCTAAGCACTCGGCTTCTTAGCTCGAGCAAAGAACAACTGTTGAGGGCCCCCAAAGTCCTCCGGCATCTCTGATCGCTCATTCAGCCACTTCACCTCGCCATCGACTAGGCCAGCGTGGCTGAGCATGTCCAACATTTCTTGCTTCGTGAACCCCATGTGGGCAATCGTATGGCGCATGGGAATCTTCTCGCGGCCGTGAAGCGGCATCGACCTGCACCCGCTTTCCGAAGGGGTGACCCAGTCAATAATCAGGACTGTGCCGCCGGGCGCGAGTCTTTCTGCGAACTTCCGAATCATCTTGCCGGTATCTTCGACATGATGCAGCGCCATGCTCATTATCACAATATCGAATCCGAAGAACTCTGGATCCTGCAGCTTGGCTGCAGATTCGTCATCAAGTAGATCACCTTGGACGCCTCGCATCTGCTCTGGTGACAGGCCAACGCTCTGAGCAGTGGCGTTGTATTCCTCGATCATCCTACCGGAGATGTCGATACCCCGTAGCTTGGTGACATATGGTGCAAGCACCTAGATCTTAGGTCAGTCGAAGTCTTGAATGTCGCCTCAGGCAGATGTGTTCGACCTTAGAGTAGATGCCGTTGCCACAGGCGTAGTCAAGTAGCTTCAGCTCACAGTCACCGGACTCAGCTGGAACGCCGAGCCATTCTGTGTTCTCTTGAAGGAAGGCCGTAATCTGCTTGGCCAATTTCCGAACCCATTCTACCTCGTAGGCCGACGACGCGACATTGCTGTGGCGGCGGTGTCAGCAGACAGAATTGGAGGGCCTTCTTCTATCTTATGTCGATGGCTTACTCAAAATGCTCCGCATTGTGCTGGCCCAAGGATTTGTGAGATTCTGTATTGACAAAGGCCACTTTAGCGTAGAGTCCGACGAGAACGGTGATTATTGCAAGGAATCCCCAAGCAAACGAAGTGTGAAAGCGCGAACCTGTGGAAGACATAATTGGATATCTGGTGATAGTCGCGGAAGGCTATGCGTATGTGAAAGTTTAGCCTTATTTATCTAGTAAAATTGTGATTAAGAAGGCAGTGTGATTGTGTAGCTGGCTTCTTTGGACTTTTATACCCGTATGAAGGCGTTGATGGGGGGTGTGGTCTCGCTCTGATACGTACGCAAAAGTGGCAATAGGATGGCCAACCGGGTGCCGTAGGTACTTTTTAATTGGGGCAAATATCCAATGAAATTAAGTTCCTGGGTCTGATGTGCTGAGGGCGTTGCGTATTTGAGAGCATAAAGTCTCCGAATCAGGTGGATGTTTCTCTAAATGCCACGCCAATGTCTCCGAGACGACCGAGAGTTTCCCGCGTGAATCAAAAACCCTGTATCAGCATATGTCTTTGGGTACGATTAATCCACACAAGAAAGTATCGTGAGAAAGTGCCTGGCAACGTGAATCATCACTCCATTAGCCACCTCTAACGTAGGTAGGCCCCTGGGTACTATGTCTCTCTATACAGCAATAAGTCTACCAGAGATCCGAACTGGGGTTCAACTTGCATCCACTTCCTCCGATAAAATCCCGTGCCTCGGCCTCGTAAGAAACGATGTGGAAAGAGTTCTCATCTTTGACAGTCTCCATACGCAATGCAGTTGTTGGGTCGATCACGATGACCCTCCTGCCTTCGATCAAAAGCCTCTGGATATCATCGTGGAGAATCTGTCGTGCAATCTTGTTGAGCGAGTAGACCTCACGGAGGGAGATGACAACAGCGTAGGCATCCCTGTGTTTTCCAGCGTCGGGATGCTCGGGTGTGGGCGGGCTCAGCTCGTGAGCTATGGTACGACTGAGTCGTTCCAGACCCGTGAAGCGGACAGCACCCTTCAAGCTGAAGATGATTACTTTTCGCTTCTCCACAGGCTTGCCCTTCCCGCCTCCTGCCTCGATGATTGCCACTGATACTCGCACGGTGGACCTGGATATCTGGCTCGCGTCCATCATATGCAAGCCCATGTCCCGCGACATCTTCTCGCATATTGCGACGCCACGTACACTGTTCCCTTTCTTGTCGAGCTTCGGGGAGAATGCTGCGATGCCTAACTGGCCAGGAAGGGCGCCAATGATACCACCGGCAACGCCACTCTTCGCCGGTATACCGACGTTTGCGACCCAGGTCCCGGCGGCATCGTACATGCCACAGGTTGTCATGACCGAGAGCACCTGACGGACACTTTGTTGCGGGAAAATCTGATCGCCCGAGATGGGCTGCTTGCCGCCATTGCACAGCGTCGCTGCCATCATGGCCAGATCACGGACGTTGACGTTGATAGCACACTGGCGAATGTAGCCCTTGACGGCATCCTGCGGGTCGCATTCGATGAACCCAGCTGCCTTGAGGATGTATGCGATTCCCATGTTCCGGCCGGAGTCCTTGAGCTCATCCTCATACACAGTCTCGTCGACGTGCAACTGGCGCCCTGCCAACCTTGACAGAGCCTTGAGAATGCGGTCAGTCCTCTCCTCCACCGTAGCGTTGGGTCCCACGACGAGGGCGTGCGCAGCTATGGCACCCGCATTGATCATCGGGTTCATCGGCCGGCTGGTGGACCTGTCCACAGACACGGGTATGCCGTTGTACGCTCCCCCCGACGGCTCAACGCCGATCTTCTCCAAGACCTTGTCCAAGCCCGCGTCGTCAATGGCCAGTGCGTAGACGAATGCCTTTGAGATGGACTGTATCGAGAACTCGACTTGGTCATCGCCTGCCGAGTAGATGGTGCCGTCTACCATCGCGAGCGCCACTGCAAGCTTGGACGTGTCGGCTTTGGCCAGAGTCTCGATGTAGCCGGCAGGCTGGCCCGACTCTAACGGGCGCGTGGCCTCCAGCACGCGGTTGAGGTAGTCCGGGATCGGAGACTCCATTGCGCGGCGCGAAAATGACGTGTGTCTTCGAGATGAATGCAGAGTGCGAGATTAATGCAGAGCCACAGCGAGACGAGGCTTGGATCGCTAAGCTCTGCACTCTTCAATTTGATGTGTTTGCTGAATCATGAACACAAGAGGGCATATTCATGAGTCAAGGCACACGTCTATCAAGTACGGCAATGGATGGATGAGTAACTGCGTCAGTTGTTAGCTCCGGAAGCCAAGGACGCTAATCACCAAAAGCCTCTTTACCTACCTAGGTACCTAACGAGACCCACGGCCAGCCCCCGGAACATTCCGGGTTGACATTACCCCAGATATGATTGCGGGTAACCCACGAGAATTTCTGAGAAGAGAGGAAAAGCCATTAGGTAAAAGAAGGGTAAGAGACCAGCTGACGATGATAACTTTTCAAGTCAGCTGGACCAGTTGGACGGCCGGGGTGCATTGCTTGAGAGGCGGTGTGATAGGCAGGGATGCATAGCCTAGATGGACTCGCTTACACCTTGCACTGAGCAAGATGCGGAGTAATCAATACATGGGCTCAGCCTGGCGGATTTTGTGAACAGACAAGCTCTCCCGTCGCTATCCAATCAACTATGAGGCAAAATTCAGTACATCCCGAGGTAATTATGAGGCTTCTCGATTCTTTTAGTTGCCTCCGAGGGTAACATGCTTGTTGGTACTGCTTTTCCAAGTGTTGAATGGACAGAGGTCCTGCAGTCTTTCTATTCAGCTGAAAACGACGAGGGCATGTCGAAATGTGGTGAAATAGTATCATCCACATAGGTACGAAGACACTGCTCACAGTGATTTTTGACGTAGGGCCTCTCTTTATAGAATCAACGGGCTTGGCTCGTGAGGGGTCCTCCTGGGAACATAGACGTGCTTTATGCTTGATGCTTGAGTTGAACAGTGGCTCAGGTGAGCGACATGGTATATCTTCAAATGTCGTTGCGAGGCTAGGATATGCGTCGACCACGACTGCGACTGGTATGTATGAGAGGCTCTGTTAGGGTAGCTTTCTGGGAACGGTTTACCAATGAGTCTCATCATTTTCCGCATTCATTGTTGAAACTGGGAGGATCATAGGCCATACCTCCCGCCGGTCAACGTATAGGATAGCAGCAGATTCGAAGTTAGTCTTGTCAGAGTTCGTGAACGGTCAGTAAATTGGAGGTAGCAGGTTGCGGATTGGGAATGCCAAGAACTTCCAGGAAACAATCGGTCTGAGTGAAAGGATTATCAATTTCCTTGCCGGATAACGCAATTTGCAGTTCAGACTCATTCGAGATGGTAAAATAACACCCTTCATCCGAATTGAATCAGAGAAGCCACAACACTACAAAGAAGCAAAGTAATTGTAACCGTGGCGGTCTTAATTTACACCAGGTCGGGATGTGAAGTCAATGGTCGAAAGCCATCGAGACGGGGCAGGCTTGCCTTGCCCCAGAGGCTAGACAGCTTCTGGCTGACCGAGCCTGGTCCCCAGCGATGCATGCCACGATACAAGTCGTCTCTTTGACATCCGGCGTCTAGCATCGACTAGTGACACAGTTGAAACTCCTGGAAACCCCGTCGGAGTCTGTCGACACTATTCACCCGGTGAGCTCTCAGACTCGCAGCGCCACTCTGAAAAGGCATTCCGTATGATCATGATCTTACCCGAGTGGAGCAAATTTCATCATGTCAATGAGCGGGCGACCCCAGCTATGTGCCCCTAGAAACAAGACATCACAATCCAGCTTTGTGAGCCCAACAAATGCAGACCCGATGTCAAAAACCATGCCAGTGTACTACTCTCCTGATTCTCGACATCGTCCTGAGTTTGTGTGAATTCCTCTTGGGTCATCTCCGAAGAGCGAATTACGCCTGCATGACTTCAATTCGACTCTGGAGCCAGACCTCCTCTTCTCCTGTCCCATTGGACCATATGTACGTCTGACAAATGAGAAAGAAGATTCTCTAGCCGATTCGCTTCTTAATCTTCCTTCCAATGTATGTCAGATCAATATCGCTTGAATCGCGACCGCCGAGAAAGGAGCGGAGAGGATAGTCGTTCCATGATTTCTGCCCAAGCTTCTTTCTGAGACCATGTCTATGGGGCTCCGCCCCCAGATCTGGAGACAAGTGGTAACGGGGTATCACTCGGTGAACATATTTGATCATTCCAAAGATGAGAATCCGGGGGAGAGGAGGGGCTTCCCGAATCTTTCTCGTCAGGGGACCTTCAAATTAGATAATGGATTCCACAGGCACTCTAGCCACATCGCGATCATGCCTCCTACTTGCTTGTACGGCGGCAATTCGTTTAATGAAAAACCAGCCATGGTGTGGTATGGAATGTTCAATTGGGCATTGGTCACAAATTTGAGCCTCAACGGGGAGTGCCGCGTGACGGGGCGTCCAAAGTCAAAACAAACGTAAGATCATCGGCTCTGGGTCTCTGCAGCTTCTAGAATGCAAGCAGTAAAGCTATCCACGCTAGGTAGATGAACGACTTGTTTATCGTCTGCTGTGCTCCCGCGTGTGTGTACTCCAGACAAGTAAATTTGATTGTGTGTCGAGAATGGGGCAGACCAGGCCGTTTCGCACACACCGAGACAGCCACTACAGGATCGCTGATAGGCGGCTTGGCAAAGGATACGGGCGGCCGACTGCTACTGGCTGGCCATCGTGGGATGTCGTCAGCCGCGCCAGCGGATCAACGCGACCTTCCTGAAGCATGCGTCAAGACCCGGCCCTGGCGCCTTGGCAGCTTGTTCGATTCTTCCCCAGATCAGACCAACGGCGAGACCAGGGTCGCATTGTCGACAGAATTGCAAGCCTGTCGCACCAACAGCACGCGGCGGGAAGGGCGCAATCTAGGCCTCTGCATGCACCATGGGTGTGTGTGGAGTGTGTCTTCACTCTTTTCCTCTTTGTTTTTCACTCTGAACGCGATACGTGCAACATTGTGAATTGCGCCATAGTGCACTACCATGAACACAAGTCTTTCTTGCGCATATTCCCGGGGTTGCAAGATAACGGTTGCTATGTATCCCACTATCACTGTCTATCTTCATTGAATCCTTTGTGTCTGTAGAAAGTGACAACCCTGTTTGATCCACCACCAGTGCCCTACGGTTCATCTGTTTTGTATCTCTTCCCCTCTGATGTATTGTAACCAGTTCTGGGTAAAGAGCCAAGCCCGCGGATACATACATGAGCCAAATGAGTTTGCGCATTTGTTGCTCTGCGTTCAAGCTCAGAAAATGCAGACATCCAAGGTACGAGGTGTGCTGTACTGAAATTGGTATCTACCTACCTAGGTATTGTGGAGGCTATTTTCTAGCGCCGTCAGCACGATCCATCTGCTCCAGGGCTCCCACAGTGGTCATAGCTGACGCTAATCGCTGAGTGCCGTCCTCTAAATGCCCCAAGCCTCTAGGGCTAGCAGCCTGGGGTTTGAGATACAGCCGGGCTCGGTATCCACACCTGGATCGGTGTACCAAAAGGTTCTAGCCTTGCGGCGCCTCAAGGGATGCACTCCGCGCAAGCTTCCTTCTCAGTCAGAGACAACAAAAACGGTCACGCATGCGCTCACTCGCTCATGAGAATGGCTCCGCCTCACAAGCTGATATCCAGCCCGCGCTGTGTGTCTCAATAAAATCGAGTGGCAAGACACGATGATTGGTCTCGGCTGGACCAGCCCTCAGATCATGCACACAAACGAAAAAAAAAGAAGCAGAGCAAAAGAGACATGCAACTGTGGCGGCAACGGCAAGCAACGGCAAAAGGGACCTAGACGGTTTTGGGAACCGAGGCCTCCTCACAATCGCAACGGAAGAGGTCAGCTTGTTGAGGTAGCACTCTGCCAAGGCTGGCCTCATGCTGTTGTTGGCAGCCAATATCCGCATCTGTGCCCCTCGAGTCTGCCAGCACCTCGGTCAGCAAATTTGGGATTTGGGACTGGAACAAAGACACAAGACGGAGCTCGGAAGATGGCATCCCTGCCCGCCTTGTCCACCCACTGCCACACCCCAGCACATGCAGACCAGACGCATGCTTTGCCAGACCTCTGGTTCCACCCAGAGATTGGACATCCCCGGACTGAACACGACCCAGAACCCAGAACCACGCAGCAAACACGATATGGCGCGATCACTTATCTCTCCCTCTCCCTCTTCTTGTACTTGTACAGACACCGGCGACTGCCAAGACCAACACCTCTGCGCCCTAAACCCACTCCGGGAATCCGCCCTATCAGTGATCTGCCCTCCCATATCTCGTTTCCAGCCCAAGAGCAATGTACACACCACGCAAGGCAGGCAAATGTCACGGTCCCTTGGGATGCTGACAGCTGGGACGGCATGGGTTGGGATGGACATGCACCAGCACGCGAGCCCATGGTAGCACCAGGCTCCATCGACCGGATGTCCAAGTTCAAGTATTAAAGGGCCTGCGTTTCCCTGCGCCCTCGACCATCCTCCAACATATCGCGAGTTCTTCCACTTCTTCCCACGTCCTCCTCCCCTACCCGCCGGCTAGCTCGCACCCGCACGGTCTCCCGCCGCCTATTCCCGACCGAGAAGAGATACAGCCACGCAAAAGAACAAGGAGAAGAAGCTTCCGAGCCTCTTCGCCCCGCCAATACCGCAGCCATGGCACGACTCTTCGGCAAGGGCGATGAGAAGCAGGTTGATATGAGGACCACCGACGACCCTCGTGCCGCCGACGAGCTCGACACCGGTGTCATCGACGAGGCCCACGATGATCTCCATCGCGAGATGAAGCCGCGCCAGCTGAGTAAGTCTCCAACCACAAGACCCTCAATGGGATTACGAGGGATCATGTCTCGCTGACCTGGCCTCTTCACCTCCCAGATATGGCAAGTTCCCCGTCTCTGTCCCTGTCTCTGTCTTTGCCCCGCAGAAGCGCCGCCTTGGCGACAGCGCCACCCGTACAAGCGCACCCACACAATCGCAGACACCAGCCAGTCCAGTCGCGCTGCACCAACCCCTTCTGAGCAGAAGCAGGATTTCCCAAGCCTTGGTTCGCAATAATAAGCTTTCGTGCGCTAACGGGGCGTCCCACAGATGGCAATTGCCGGCGCTATTGGTACAGGTACGTAAACATTTGAACCGCACGCACATGCGCCTCTCCCATCGCGACGGCGATTCCTTTCGGTGCAGATGAACGGAACCGGAGAAATTACAGGGGATCATCGCGAGGCGAAAGAAAGCTCGGTAGACTGACGGAAATGGCTACCAAACAGGTCTCATTCTCGGAACCGGCGGTGCCCTGAGGAACGGCGGTCCGGCGTCGCTGCTGCTCGCCTACTTGCTCATGGGATATGTCGTCTACGTCGTCATGGTCGCTCTCGGCGAGATGGGCGCCTGGCTGCCGCACAAGAAGGCTTTCTCCGGATATGCGTCACGTTTTGTCGATCCTGCCATGGGGTAAGCCCTCACGCCCTGTCCTGCTCAAGGCATGATTCGATCTGGTTATGGAGCGCCGAGCGTGCCAGCGCCGTGATGAGGATGAGACTCATGCTGACTCTCACTGGATCACAGATTCGCAACCGGCTGGAATTACTTCTTCAAATACGTCATCGTACTTCCCAACAACCTGACTGCTAGCGGTATCATCCTACAGTTTTGGAGACCTGACATCAACGTGTCCGTGTGGATTGTGGTCTTTGGCGTAGCCATCGTAGCGCTCAACGTATGTCAACCTTTCTTCTGCCTGCCTGCCCCCTCCCTCCTGCCAGAACAAACGCTAACATTCCACCTCCCCTCCCATACAGCTCATCCACGTCAGCTTCTTTGGCGAGGCCGAGTTCTGGATGTCCCTGGTCAAGGCCCTCGTCATCGCCATGCTGATCCTCATCTGCTTCATCGTCGCCCTCGGCGGCGGCCCCAACCACCACCGCACCGGCTTCTGGTACTGGAAGGACCCCGGCGCGTTCGCCCCCTACCTGCTGCCCGAGCAGCCCTCCCTCGCCAAGTTCCTCGGCTTCTGGGCCTCGGTCGTCCAGGCCACCTTTGCCTACCTCGGCACCGAGCTCGTCGGCGTCGCCTTTGGCGAGACGCCCAACCCGCGCAAGAACGTGCCCCGCGCCGTCAACCAGACCCTGCTCCGCATCGTCCTCTTCTACCTCGGCGGCGTCATCGTGCTCGGCATGGCCGTCCCCTACAACGACCCGGACCTCAAGGTCGCCGCCTCGTCCAAAGCCAGCGGCGCCGCCTCGCCCTTTGTCATCGCCGCCAAGAACGCCGGCATCGCGCGCCTCGCCGACGCCGTCAACGGCCTGCTGCTCGTCTTCACCGTCTCGGCCGCCAACTCGGACATCTACCTCGCCTCGCGCTCCGTCTGGGCCCTCGCCAAGGACCGCCAGGCCCCGCAGCTCTTCCACCGCACCAACAAGCGCGGCGTGCCCATCCCCGCCGTCGTGCTGTCCTCGATCTTCATCGTCCTCGGCTTCATGAACGCCACCAAGGGCTCCGACACCGTCTTCGGCTACTTCGTCTCGCTCGTCACCGTCTTCGGCGCGCTCAACTGGGTCAGCGTGCTGGTCAGCTACATCTGCATGCAGCGCGGCATGAAGGCCCAGGGCATCAAGCGCTCGACGCTGCCCTACCGCAACTTCCTGCTGCCCTGGAGCGCCTATATCGCCCTGCCCATCACCATCCTCGTCATCCTGTTCAACGGCTTCGCCGCCTTCATCCCCACCTTCAAGGTCGACAAGTTCATCACCGCCTACATCGGCATTCCCGTCTATCTCCTCAACATCTTTTGGTGGAAGATCTTCAAGAAGACCAAGATGGTCAAGCCCGAGGAGATGGACCTGCAGACCAACAGGAGGGACGAGTAAAAAAGGTCTTGATTGCCCTTTCTGGAAAACAAATCCAGGTGTGATGACTTGACGCAAACAAAGACGATGTGTGTGGCATTGATCTTGTGGAGATATTTGGAGGGAACAAGCTGGCATTTACGGCGTTATTCTGGGCAGTCATATCTATAGCTATATATGTATGCACTTATGAATGAAAGCAAGTTTTCCAAAGACCTGATCTTCATATGCAGATGCAGACTTCTTCTCACTTGGTCTATCCCAGGTCAAGTCCAATATCTGAATGTGTTTGCAGTCACAATCATAGTCCATTTCGGCTCTGCGCTTTCAGCAGGAGGGAGGAGGGGGTCGGTGCTCCAGCCATCCAGCCGACAACTCCCCAGCTTCATGTCCCTTCCAGACTTGGAAGCATCACGGCCTATCTGCAAAATTGACAAGTCGGTGACACGCGATTTTGTGGTCCGTGCCGCCGCCACCTGAAGCTTTCCAAGATGCCTTCAGTCCAACTGACTGGACGATACTCCGCTTTTCCGTCCCAGCCAACCCGTCCCATCCCACGATCTCTTCTTTTTTTTCCCTTTTCTTCGAGCCTAACCTTCCTCCATCCAGTTGGTTTCCTCGTATCAAGACATCTACCGTATCCATTCCGGAATCGTGATCTGCTGATCTTTCGAGTCTCTCCTTGATACGGAAGGGCGCCATCATCATATCCTGCTCGTTGCGAATATCTCCGGGTATCGCGATCGCCCCTTTCTTCCCTCACTTCGACCGCACGCCCTCTCGCCCCTAGCTAGCCTCTTCCCATCAATATCTCCCCCTACCCATCCATCCTCACGTAGTTCTTTGAGCCTCACGACTCTGAGAGACACGCACGCCAAGATGTGCCTCATCCTCTTCACCAAGTGCCCCGGCTGCGTCCGCAGCCTCGCCGAGACCGACGTCGAGGTCGTCGAGTTCTGCAGGAACAAGCAGGACGCCGTCCGCCGGCTCATCGAGTCCGACTCGGCCGCCGTCGTCAACGACATCGACGTATTCATGGCCTGCGACATGCAGGAGATCTGGGGCATCGAGGAGTTCCGCCACCGCCTCACGCGCTTCCACCGCTGCAGCCCCTGGAACCACGTCGCGCCCACCTACGAGGCCATCTACGAGAGCCTGATCACCGCCGCCACGGCCCAGCTCGGCGAGGCCGACGGCCTGCCCTCCACCACGATGAACGCGGGCCTCCAGTCCAACTCGCTGCTCTTCGAGGCGCACCCCCCCATCCCCGAGGTGCGCCCGCTCTACACGGACAGGCAGGTCATGTGGCTGCACACGCTGGTCCGGCAGCACCGCCGGGAGCGGCGCAACGCGACCTTGGGCCCCATGGCCGCCGCGTTCCTCACGGGTCGTCTGCTGATCTGGTACCATGGACTCACCCCGGTGGGCGTGGTCAACCTCCGCAACAGCCTGCTTGGTATGTGAACCCAGCCCTCTCTCTTTGGAAGGACATGGCGTATGTGACACACAATCATGCTGACCATTGGTTATTGTTGTTATCAGCTGAACCGATACCGACTTTCCCACAGCCGGTCGCGGGTCCTCCCCCTGCGTTTGCCCCCCTTGCTCCTTTTCCGGCGAACAGCGCCGCCAGCGCCGAGTCTCCGAGGAGGAACGAACAGGGTGCTCCTGTTGCTGGCGAGGCCAGCGTTGTTGTCGCCCAGGATGGCGAGCAGGAGGAGAGTGCCGACCGCAGCGCTGGACCAGCCAAGGACCCTGCTGGCGGAAACAACGCCGAGAAGGCTGGACCTGACGACAAGCAGAATAAGGACAAGAACCAACCGGCCAAGGTTGCTGCTCCGGGTGGAAAGCCCACCAAGTCTGGTGCTCAGGCTGGCGGACAGGGCAAACCTGCTGCTCAGCGAGGCCGACCCAAGGCCACTCCTCCCGCTGGAAAGAACCCCAAGAGTGCTGCCCAAGACGACGATTCGGAGAATGCTGCAGCTCGGCAAATCGCACCTCCAGGCGACGGTCCCGGCAGCAACTCGAAGAAGCGCGCCGCCAAGGAGGACGGCCCTGCCAACCCGCCCGCGGCCAAGCCACCCCGCCGTGCCCGTTCCCGCGCCCCTGCCAAGTCAGCACCCCCTCCCGCCGCCGCCGACGACGACGACGCTGCTGCCGCCGGCCCGTCCAACCCCTCGCGCGGCAAGGCTCCCGCCGCCGCCGGTGGTGCCGCAGCAGCCAAGGACGGCAAGAAGCCTCGCGCCGCACCCCGCGGCAAGGCAGCTCGCTCTCGCGGCGTTGCCGCCGCTGCTGCCCAGGGCGCGGGTACGAAGCGCGGCAGGCCCCATTCCGGGGATGGAGCCGCGGATGACGAGGAAGATGAAGATGAAGAGGGCGAGCGCCGGGGCTCGGTGTCGACTCCCATCGATCTGCGTTCTCCGTCGGCCCAGCCTCCCGTTGATCTGTGTACTCCCTGAGCGCGATCGACCTCTTCTGAGCGTGTCGACTTCGGGTTGGGAAGCAGAGGGGGAGGATGAGAATTTGAGACGGAGGACTTAAGGGCTACGTGATTCAATTTCCAGCTGCAGGGGAGAGTGACATTCATATGATTTCAGACCATGGTCTTCTATTTTCTGGCATCATGGCCAGCTGGCTTCAAATCTGCTCGGAGGCGTTTTTAGAGGTTTCAACTTTTTACTTTCATGGACGAGAAACGAATGGTCGTGCTTTGCGATGCTTGTCGCTGGGACTTCTATGCCATGTGGCAAATCAAAGGACAAGGGAGAAAATGCAAGGTAGCTCTAATCTAACAATGAATGTCTTTGTCTGCCCGTACAACGGCGCTGTTGTCGCTCTACCTGAACCATTGAACAATCGTACACCAACCTCAAACAAAGAGTGGTAGAGTGTCTATCCTCCTTAGACGCTATTCTTTATGTTCAAAGTGAACACTCTTGCGCCTCTTCCTCTGCGGCTCTTCCTCCAGCATCCGCTCCTTCTGTATTTCCGGTCCCGCCTTTTCCTCCTCCAGCTTCCGCTTCTTCTGCCTCTCAATCTCGTCAGCGACCTCTACCATGCTGACGCTGGTCTTGGTAGGGTCCCTCTCCAGGATCCTCCTCTCCACCTCTTTGCCGTAGTGTCCAAAGGGACTGGGCTCAGAGGCGATCTCAAAGATGTGGTGCGTCTGCACGGTCCTCATCTTGCGCCGCCGGCGCAGGTTCTCCAGGTACTCCGCCTTCCACTCGGCTTCGTCCTGGCCCGCGCTGCGCAGCTTCACCGGTCCCCTGTACGGCTCGCACCTGTACGTCACGTCGGATCTCGCAGTCGAGTGGGGCATGGACAGTGGGGAGAGCTTTCCTGACCGGCGCGACCACAATATGGAACTTCCCGTCCTGGCCGGCGCGTCGTCGTCGTCGGCGTCCAGCTCCCGCCTCAGGTCGTCGGCCGTCTGCCTCGCGCTTGTCTCGGCAGCGCTGGTTATCTGAGCATACGTCGGCACACCGGGCTTGGGGGTACTCCCAGGTCCAGTCATAGGGGTCGCCGGGGTCCGCGTCGTGGCGGACGTAAGGGGTCGAGGCTTCTTGGGCAAGAAGGGATTGGCATTGCGATACCTCTTGCGGTAAGCTTTCTTCTTTGCCTCCTCGTATTTCTTCTTTGCCTCCTCGTCTTTCTTCTTTGCCTCTCCGTCTTTCTTCTTTGCCTCCTCGTCTTTGGCCTGACAGAGAATCGGCTTCGCCGGGACCGCGCTGTGCGACTCCGGGCTCTCCTTCACAATTATCTCCACCGGAGTCGCGCAGCCGCTGGCCATGGTCACGTTCGAGCGCGCCGTGTTCGGCACTTCAGGGACCCTGGCGATCTCACCGGGCTCATGATCCGCGAGCTCCTCCCAGGTAGAGATGCGCCTGGAGTGCGCAAGGTGCGGCGCGTATTCTTCCATCCACTCTATGACTTTGTCGATGGTGTCGATGTGCAGCGGGGTATCGCCTACCGGAGGCCCGGGGTTGCTCCGCAGATACCTTGACCGACCTGTCGTCAGGGCGAAGAAGTAATCTTTGATCACGTTGACGGGGACGTGCCGGAGCCAACCCGTCTCGGTCGCTATCTTTCCCCAGGCCGCGATCTCCTGTTGGGGCCTCCGTATGCCGTGGAATTCCTTTCGGAACTTCCAGGTGGCCTCTGCGAATGCCAGCTTCAGGAACTGCAGTTCCGCTCCGGTGAGGGAAGAGTATGGACGGTCTGGCTTCCACATGAATTTTACGGCAGCATCGTGAAGGACCTTGATGTCTTCTTGAAGCATACCGTGGTCGCTGTGGTCGAAGCCCTGCTCGGGCTGCCAGAAGTTGCGCTGAGTCCCGCGTGCAGGCAGACCTATATGATCTATGTCTTTCAGAACTGGTACGCCTCTCATAGCTGGTGTTGGAGTCATGGTGTCGATATGTTTCTTTGTCTTCCAGCGTGTAATATTGAGAGATAAAAATTGACATGTACCGACGGGTTGGCCGTGCCGTATGCTGAGTTGTGGGTGTCCGAGTGGATCTGGAATTTGTATGTCCTGGTGTGATATTTCCTTTGAGTTTCAAAAGTGAGAGAGAGAATGGAAGCCCTTTTATAAGGTCCAGTCTGAAACGAAGTAGTCGACAGCGGTTGATTGAATACACAAGGGGCAAGTTTCGGCGCAACTCACACTTAAATGTGAACAGGACTAGTAGTGTTGTTTCAATTCACTGCTTTTGAAGTAGCAACTCCAGCATGCTGTTACGTCAGTGAAAGTGAATAACATTAGATGTGGGGCTTCATTCGTCGCTCGTCCAGACAGGTTTCAGACTCACTACTGAGATATGGCTAGGTAGCTATTGCGCTATGGCGAACAAAGGACTGTTTTCAGCCCAGTTGTTACCTGTCTACAACGTTTTCAAAAGAGGACTTAACATTCGGGATGACCCAGAAAGGCTGTGAGTTCACTATTCTATCCTGGCTCTCCACTTTACAGTATCTGAAACCAAAGCTTGTAGGTTTCTTCAGAATAGCGTCCCGTCACCGGCAATTAGGATGGGGCTCGACTTGGTGTTGGGCCGATACTTGGCCGCCAACTCCCGTCCAGACTTCCAAGACCCCGCTTCGAGCATCTGGGCCATGGTGAGTTGGACACCTTCCGCGGCGAACTTGGCGGCTATGAGGTGGTGCAGTTCGTCCAACAGCGCAACAGTCATGGCTCGCCACTCGACAATCACATCTGAGGTGTCCTGGAACTCCGGAAGCTCTTGCCCCGAGGCCTTCTTCCCCTCTTCTAGAACCTGAGGCTTCAGACGAAGCACCGGGATATCCACAAACAGGCCGCCGTTGCGGTACTCTGGGAGACCTGTGCCTAGCTCTCCGTTCACCCACTTGCAGTCGAGCAGTCTGGTGAATGGTACCATGAGGGAGTATGCCAGCCATTGCGTTAGCTTGTGGAATGGCGCTATTGTGGTCTCGGGCCGCACGTTGTTGCTTTTGGTCGCCTCGAGATCGAGGATCTTGAGTGGCCAGGCATCACCGATCGGCTGGCCGTGGACTCGAGTGCGGTTGCTGGGCCAGCATGGAATGAGAAGCTTCTGGAGGCTGTTCCACAGGAGCTCGTAGTCTAGTGTTCCAGAGTCTGACTTGGACTTGATGAGGTAGTCTGCAAGGGTGGTCAGCCTGCCGTCCACACATCTAAGGCTCGAACCTCGCGGGTTAACATTGAACACATACCAACTATGTTTCCAGGGCGGCCTGTAGGACCGAATATCTCCGAAAGATTGAGTAGAGATGCTCCCACCCTGTTGAGAAGCTGTACGCGCGTGGACACACCAGGCATCTGGTTATCCGGCGTGATCTGGAAGTATTTGTTGAAGGTCGCTTCGGTCAGGTCAACCAGTCCCTTGCCTGGCAGACGGACTATGAGCTACTCGAAGATACACTTCATGGGGCAACCTGTGTGCACTTACCATCCACGGTATCTTTCTTTGACTTGTCGGAACTCAGCTCGCCCGGTAGAAACAGATAAAGTGAGGCGATTCCCGTGCCTTCGCTGCGCCCGTACGAAGCGCCACCGGCGATAGGTTCCTTAACTGCCCACACGTTTCCGGCGCCGGCGTCGAGAAGAACGGAGACGAGAAAGAGGTCAATCAGCCGTTTCGTCTGCTCGGTCGCGTCGTGGCAGCCTTCGGCCTGCCAGCGCTCCAAGAGGTTCTGGATGCGGGGGACCCCGCCCGCCTCGAAGTGCTGCCAGCGGCCGTGAGGCGGGATCTGGTCGAACTTGTCGGGCCCGTAATCGCGCTATGGCAGCTAGCTGTCAGCGGCTGTTGTGTTTAGGTGCTCTGAAGGAAACGGAGTCCAGAGCGTACCCTGATGACATCGGTCACAAAGTCGGCGACGTCGTTCATGCGCGAGGCATCGTAGTCGAAGTGGAGAAGTTCCCCGCGCTGGGCGGCGGCGAGGACTATCCGCGAGTTGTTTCTCACTGCTTGGAGAGACAGCAGGTATTGAATGTCTTTGTCCATATTTGATGATCTTTGGGGTGTGGTAAGCGAGGTCTGAATGTAACCGGGATTGGTATGCTTGTCTTTGTCTGGTGGTATGCCAAATGCCCAGAACAGCTGTGGTTGTGTTCTAGGCAGCGGCTAAACTCTATGCACAACTATCCCTCCGCACACAGATAGGCGGATAAAATTGTGTATGCATAGATAAGAACGTGCATTAGCGTATTGAACCCCGCTCCTCCCAAAGGCTTTGCCTTTGCATAAGCCCTGTAACAACAAAGGTGGATAGGATTTGCACTGCTGTTGATAAAATGAAAGAGAACATTCAAGTTGCGCAATGATCTCTTATTGGATGACTGACTGTTTGTTGTAGACAATGGCATATGGACAACATCGGACCTCCTAGAGTGATGCTCTTTGGCTGGTTGGACCTGCGCCAGCACAGGAGCTAGGCTTTGTGCCTTGAACAGACTCGGCTGAATATTGATGTCAAGCGATCAGTGCAAGTACAGCTGCTTCAGACAGACTTCAACTACAGCGCCTCAAGAGAAGAGCATCGAGTCTACCGCCTGCCAGTCTTCACGCATTTTCACCGCTCCAATAGCAAAGATGATTTCAAACAAGACACAGTTTATGGCAGAGCCGATGGCATTGATAGCTGTTAGACTATCTTTGATCCAACAATCCACACTCCACACGAGAGCGCTTTACGTTCTGGTGGTTGCTGGAGGAGAGGACTGACAGTGTCGTGCCATGTCTTGTTTGTTCCCACTTAGGCCTGCACGGCATTCGCCTCTTCCCTCTCAATCGCAAGGCGCTCCTTTCTAGCCTGCTCAATCTTCAGACTCATCTTGACAGGGTGGACACCAGGAGTCTCGAAGATGGTATCAATCTCCTCGAGCGAGAGCTTGCTGGTCTCGGGGAAGACGAAGTAGGAGATAATTAGCTGGATGGTGTTGTAGACAATGTAGACGACCCAGATCTTGTACCCGATCTTTCCAATGCCAACCGAGATACCGTATGTATTGACGACACCGGCAGCACCCTGGATCATGTTGTACAGACCCATACCCTTGGAACGAAGGGTAAGGGAGAGGAGCTCGACAGGGTACAGGTTGTGCATCGTGGCAATCAGGGAGGCACTGCAGACCTGGTAGATGTAGAACCAGACGACAGTCAGAACAGCGGTCGCCTTGCTCTTGTGCAGGCTGTACTGCCACGAGGTAATCGTGGCGGCCGTCTGGCAGAGGACGAAACTAATGAGACCGGAGAAGATGAGAGTGCGACGGCGCATTCTGTCAATGAGCCAGGCGCCGACAAAGGTGAAGATGAAGTAGACGGCGACCTCTCCGAGCTGGATACCGAGCTGGTCAAGACTGTCGTGGATGCCGACGGTGTCGAGGGCGGGGGACAGGTAGTAGCCGATGACACCACCACCGTTCCATTGCTGGAAGCAAGAGTAGATGATGATGAGCATGGTACGGTAGCCGGCGGCCCTGGTGAAGAAGGGGCGGAAGTCGTAGCTGGCGAGAACACCAGCACGGCTGGTCTCGAGGGACTCTTCGATCTGGGCGATCATGAGGGGCACGATCGGGGCATTCTCGTCGTCGTTGGTGGTCATGTAGCGAGCGATGGCGCGGCGGGCCTTGTCCTGCCTGCCCTTCATGACGTAGTAACGGGGCGATTCCGGGCACAGGATGTAGATGAGGGTGCAGAGAATGACGGGGAAGAAGCCCTCGAGCAGCAGCGGGGCGCGCCACTGCCAGTCGTTGTTGATCTTGGTGAAACCCATCAGAAGGCCGGTCATGCACATGGAGCCGACGTGGAAGAAGGCACCGAAAATACCGACAATGCGACCACGGAGATGGAGAGGGGCGACCTCGGCGATGTACTGGGGCGCAGAGCAGAGAGAGGCTCCGACGCCGAGGAGGAAACGGCCGATCATGAAGCAGGGCAGGTTCGGAGCAAGGCCCTGAAGAAGAGCGGCGACGATGGTGATGGCGTTTCCGAGGAAGTTGATACCGCGACGACCGATAACATCGCTCAGGGCTAGGAAAGGAGCACCGCAGAAGAGACCGATCTGCATGAGGGCGTTGATGGTTCCCAGGATAGCACCCGTGTTGCCGAAGCCGAAGTAGCTGTGCCACAACTTCATCGAGTTGAGACCACCAATGACACCCCAGTCGATGCCGTAGCCGGCCTGGTTCACAGCCATGACAAACATCAGGCCGAAGACACGCCATCCGGCCGGGGTGAAGATCCTCCAGTCACCGGACATGACCTTGAGGCAGTCGGCAGAGACCCGCATCAGGTCTTCCTCGGAGATGCGGTGGGCGACAACCTCTTCAACGGCGACGCCAAGCTTGCTGGCCTCGGCGACATCGTCATGGTGGACATTCACGCCCTTGGGCTGCTGTTCTTCCACGTGGGGAGCCATGTTGGCTGGCGTCTTGGAGGATAAGGACGCTCTTGGGGATAGGAACCCAAGGCAGTAAGTGTGCCCGATTGAAACTTCTTCCTGGTCTCTACGAGAGAAGTATTACAGGATGAGGGGAGAAGAAGGGATCTTCGTGAGCTGGGAGGGTGCAACATAGGCGATATTTATCTACTTCTGTTGTCTTCCCATGCGACCACTGGTCGGCCCCAGATCCGTCTCCGCTCTGCTCCCCGGGTCTGGCACATCTGGAACGTGCTCTTCTCCGGCTGGGGTGCCGGCATGAAATTCTGAGCTAGATACCGTGAGCTCAAATGCCCATCAGCCCATGGGCAGTGGAATATCCCCGTGGGAACAAGGATTTTCACCCTAGATATCTGAGCATGATCATTAGCCCGAGGACCGGTCTGTGGAGAAACTACACGACGTGTGGGTGCTGGAAAAACTGTCAAAAGAGTGTACCTAGTCCACTCCCCTCTCTGCGTTTGCTCGGATGTTGCATTCCATCTCCACATTCGTCTCCCCGCAGCTCGCTCTACCAGTCAACACTGCGGCGCAAGGCGCAGTAGACAATTGGTAAGTGTTTGAAAACGATTTCGACCTGTGTCTTCTCCAGAAACACGCATTGTTTGTTCATTTCGATACCCTGGATTGACCCGGTCTGATGGTTCTATTTCTCTATGAAGTCTGCCTTGGATTGTTGAACACCTCCGGGAATAACTAAACCGCCAACGCTCGAGGGCACAGCGGCAGGAAATAGTGACAAGGCGAGAGGGACGCCCTTGGCAACGGCGCCCACTCAGCCGTCCCCAAAAACCAAGCCGGCAGGCTTCTAAACGGGGCTTGTAGGGCAACTCACAGAAGCGAACTTAAGCGCACCTTACTAGAAGTGGCTATGACAGTCGTCGAAACCGTCGGGTGAATGGGATGGCGTCTTCTCTGGGCCCAAATCGCTCGTCTGGTGTTGGCACTAAGTCTATTCCAAAAATGAGACCCAAGCCACATCCGCATTGGCTGCAAGGTCCTCTCTTACCGCTACATTTCAGTCCGGATCCGAGCAAGGTTCCTCACTACGGCCTATTCTTCGATACTGACCTGACAAACCAGCTGCTGGCCTATTCCCTGATTGACCTGATGATCCCTGACCGTGGAGACCCTCCCACACTTCCCCATCACATCGCCTCGATAGCCCCGGTTTGTCGGGACGTCGTTCCTAGAGCCTCCCCTCCATGATCCCTGGCACTACAAAGGTATCGTTCAAGAACATGGCCATTTCAGTGCAAGATGGCGGGATGTGCAAGCGTACGGCACGTGTATTCAGAGCCAAGAGAAGCCATTTGCCAGTTTGAAACATGGCTAGCCATCACCTTGCACCCGACGCGCAATTTCAACCGAATCCGTCGGATGCGAACGACCCCTGCAGGCTTCAGTTGCACTACACCCACCCGGCGAAAGAATGGGCTCAGTCCCTGCCCGTCGGCAACGGCCGGCTCGGCGCCATGGTCTATGGTCGCACTGGCAGCGAACTCGTTCGCCTCAATGAGGATTCCGTCTGGTATGGCGGTCCCCAAGAGCGCAGGCCCCGCGACGCCCTCAAGAATTTGCCGCTGCTGCGCCAGCTGATCCGCGATGGCACGCATGCCGAGGCAGAAGAGCTCTGTCGCAATGCCTTCTTCTCTACCCCTGCTAGTATGCGCCACTACGAGCCCCTCGGTTCTTGCATGATCGAGTTCGGGCATGGCGAGGTTGGCAAGGAGGTTACGGACTACAGGAGACAGCTGGATCTGCAGAGATCCGTCGCCTCCACTACCTATCAGTTCTCGCCTGGAGGGTCTAGCCCGGTCAGTGTCATGAGGCATATGATCGCAAGTTTCCCAGACGATGTCCTGGTCTTGCGCATCGAGGCCAGCCAGAGAATTCGTTTTCTCATACGGTTAAACCGAACTAGTGAGTTTGAGTGGGAGACCAACGAGTTCCTGGACAGTATTGCCGTGGAGAATCAGGAGATTATTCTGCACGCCACGCCAGGCGGTCGAGACAGCAATCGGCTCTGTATTGCCCTCGGTGCTCACTGCGACGACGCTGCATACGGGGGCTCTGTCGGGGCCATTGGCAGCTGTCTGGTCGTCAACTCGGGTGCCTGCACCATTGTGATTGGCTCCCAGACTACGTTTCGGCACACAGATATCGAGGTAAGAGCCCGGGCGGACGTCCAGGCTGCACTACGTCGGCCCTGGTCCGAATTAGTTGCCAGACACGAACAAGACTACAGAGCCCTCTTCGACCGAGTCAGCTTGCAACTGTCCCCCGATGCCTGTCAGATCCCGACAGATGAACGTCTTAACTCGAACCGCGACCCTGGCCTCGTCGCCCTCTTCCACAACTATGGCCGCTACCTCCTCATCTCGTGCAGCCGTGACTCTCCCAAGGCACTCCCCGCCAACCTGCAGGGCATCTGGAACCCGTCCTTTGCGCCGCCATGGGGCTCGAAATACACCATCAACATCAACCTGCAGATGAACTACTGGCCGGCCAGTTCGTGCAATCTGTCTGAGTGTGCCACGCCCGTCGTCTTCCTTCTGGAGCGGATGGCGGAGAGGGGAGCCCTCACTGCCAGGGAGATGTACGACTGCCGGGGCTGGTGCGCGCACCACAACACCGACATCTGGGCCGACACCGACCCCCAGGACAGATGGATGCCGTCCACCCTATGGCCGCTGGGCGGCGCGTGGGTGTGTATCGACATGGTGAAGCTCTTGCAGTATGAGTACAACGCCGAGACCCATCGGCGACTGCACGCCGTGTTGGAGGGCTGCGTACAGTTCTTGCTGGACTTCCTTATACCGTCCGCCTGCGGAAACTATCTTATCACGAATCCTTCCCTCAGTCCTGAAAACACCTTCATTTCCGAGTCTGGTACACTAGGTATCTTTTGCGAGGGCTCGACGATGGACATTAGCATCGTGCGCGCAGCCTTCGAGCTATATCTCTGGAGCACCGACATCCTCAACATAGCTGGTCTTAACTCTCAAGTACGAGAAGCCATCGCCAGATTACCGCCAGTAAAACTCAATAGCAAGGGCTTAATCCAAGAATGGGGACTGAAAGACTACGGCGAGCACGAACCCGGCCACCGACACGTCTCGCACCTCTTCGGCCTCTACCCTGGCAACGACCTCAACACGCCCGAGCTCCACGAAGCGGCTCGCAGGGTTCTCGCTCGCAGGGCCGCGCACGGCGGCGGACATACAGGCTGGAGTAGAGCCTGGCTACTGAATCTTCATGCTCGGCTGAGTGATGCTGAGGGCTGCGGCCGGCACATGGACCTGCTGCTGAGAGACTCGACGCTGCCGAATCTGCTTGACAACCACCCTCCTTTCCAAATCGACGGCAACTTTGGCGGTTGCGCCGGCATCCTTGAATGCTTAGTGCAGTCGTCGAAGGGTGCGGATGGTATGGTGGAGATCAGGCTGCTTCCGGCCTGCCCGGCTGGCTGGGCTGATGGCCAGGTCTCGGGTGTGCGTGTGCTCGATGGGTGGAATGTTTCATTCAGCTGGAGGAATGGAAGGATAGTCAAGCCGGTCAGTATCAAGGGGGCGTCACAGAGCGGTAAGAAGGCCGTGGTCATATTCGAGGGAGAGAGATTAGAGATGTCGGCATGAAGATAGAAAGTTGCCTTCAAGAATCACTGTATTGCTGCTCCTGTATCCTAGAGTTGGTTGCTTGCCACCGGAGGCCAGGCTTGGAGCCAATTGTTCATTATTTCCTCTGATTGGCTCAGTGCGCACGCGGTCAAGAGTGCAACCCCGTTGCCCTGCATGGCACAGCCTCATTGCTGCCTGAAATATATTTTCCCCTCAAACCTTCCATCCGGACGCAGAGCTTGCATTTGCACTTGAACAAATCCCCGGCGCAACTCTAGATGATCATTTCTGCACGGCATGATGGAGCCGCTTACCGTCATTGGCGCTTTGGCCAGCGCTGCCCAGCTCTTTGATATGTCACTCAAGTACTCGTACCGAGCCGGCAACTTCGTATCTGCCCTCAAGCACTCGGAAGAGCATGCTGCACTTCTACATCAGAGTACGTTTACGAGGATCAGTGTTGCTGCTGTCGGCTATCTTGCTATGTCCTCTGTACTGGTATCCACGGCCGTGAGCTGATGACATCAGGACTCCAAGAAGTCAACAGTCTCATGAGAGGCCTCCAACGCTATGTAGAAGAATCACGTAGATTCTCGACTACAGGGCCATATCAGCATCTACCAGTTCATAGTTCCATCATCGAAATCTCGAGGCAATTTGCCGACGATATGCTTTCTCTTCACGAGCTTCTCCCCTACGACTTGACCAAATTCTCGACATCTCTCCGAAAACGCACCAGATTCGTTCTCCGAACAAAGGATACTGAAAAAGTCCTTCAAAGGCTAGACAGCCGCAAGAGTGCGGCTACTTTGGCTCTAGAGGTTACTGGGCGGTAAGAAGCCATCTCCTACTATTCCGTTCGTCTAATGGCGGTTGTTCACACTATGCCAGCCTCAACGAAGTGAGGCTTCAGCACAACATCGTTTCCCTGCAAAGTCAGATGCAACTACTGTCCAGTCAGCAAGATGGCCTCCTCGAGAAGAACGTCGAGAATCGCGATGAACTTCTAGCTCAGTTTCATTCACATGAAACACATGTTGTTGCATCCATTCGGGCGCTCAGTGAGATTTTAGCCCGGAATGGTTGGGGCAGCAGATCGCCAAGTGGAGTTTGTTGGAGGCGTGGCTTGCGCATTTCGGAGGTCCAAACTCAGGTAGCTGTCATTCTGGCCCAACAGAATGACATTCTGTCGTCACAGAGACTGCTTGTAGCCAAAGCGAACGCCGAGGCCAACGATCCTGATATACTTGCGCGTCCTATTCGGATTGAGTTGAGGCAACAGCTTGAACCACTTCTCGAGAAGATCGACGGGGCTAGGGAACACATCGATCGTGTCGCGACTGCGTTCTCCTCCGAGGCTGTTTCCAAACTTGTATTTGAAACAGAAGGGTCTCCGTCAGCCGCAAATCGTACCGAGGGTCTGCATGTTGATGTGCGCAGCTCAGCAACCCCGCCAAGCGAAGCTGTAGTCGAGGCTATGTGCTCGACACTTCCTGCAAATGGGCCACCCTGCTTGCAGCCTAGGATAATCCGCTTATCTTCTATCGAGCACTATATCTCTAGCAGATTCGGGACGCTATCTATTAGGATGAAAACATATCGCCTGTCGAAATACGGAATCGGTGGTCAGCGCACATACTTCCAGCTCCGGGCTGATATACTTCCTCGACCACAACTCTGCTCTCGGGCTCTCTCTGCACTCTACTCGTCTGGTCCGGATCATCATGGCTACTTCAGCATCTGTCCAAGCATCTCGATAATGAACATATTGTCTGATGACTCAGAGGTTTTATTGAAGAAGAATGACCCAGCAAGGTTTCGCCAGCTAATAGAAACAGGTTACCTAGGAATTTGGGATGTCAGTGAACTCGGTTACAACTTACTTCAGGTATGTTAATAATTTCGTGAAATGTTTGCCGTAGTATACCAATACTAACAGACTTGTGGCTAAAGCTTTCACTGTCCTGGAACCTGCCAATGACATGCCAGTACCTTTTGCGTGATAGTGGTTACGGCGCACAACTAGCCGAGCAGGACGAGATAACCATTATCACTGCCTCGTCTATTCTCACTCCTGTCATTTTACGGGCTGAGCCGGACACTGCCGTGGATATCCTGGATCACCTCAAACACTTCACATCGAATATTACCGATGAAACCAATATGGACTCTTACCTGTCTTTAGGCTGGAATAACTTTTATGCCGATTTATTGAAGATGCACGCTCGACGTCAATCGTGCCAGGAGGTATGGCATACAGCAGTGTCATCTGCTCGCCGCCTTATCGAATCTGGGCACACATTGCGACCTTTCTGTTGGACCGGACTGGACCACCTGGGCCAAACGACTTGCCTCATAGACTTATATCTCGAAACAGGGGGGGACCCGAATGAACCTGCTCCTAGCGGAGATCATCCCTTTCTATTCGCCTTGAAGCTGGTCCTTCACAGCAATATCAAAGACGAGATCAAAGATAGCCAGACTCAACATAGTGGAGAGCTTAATGACGATGATACTGAGGCCGAGGATAATTATTCCAACTGTGTTTCAGACAGAGATCTTTGCGTAAAGCTGTTAGTCAGCTTGATCTCAGCCGGCTCAGACGTTTACCACATTTTTCTTTATAGTTGTAGTGGTTGTCACAAGTGTTTCGCGATGTCACTTACCGATGTGGCCTTTGAGGTCGATATCGGCGGTATATGGGCAGAGGCCTTGGAGCAGTGCGGACTGGATCCTAGCGCTGTGTTGGAGGAGTCGGATAGGCGTCTGGCGAAACATCGCAAACTGAATGGCGCGTCCCGTACCGGTGTCGATGTGGATACTGTTGTAGGCGAGCATGAAGCGCCCGGTCTAAGGCGCAGGAATATCTCGAGGGTCAGGGAGATCCTAGAGGCTTAGTGTCAGCTAGAAGGTACCTTAATGCCAAGGGTGGTAAGCTAGTAAGCTGTTCTAGCGTCAGAAGTTTCATCAAATCCAGCATCAAACACGTCGACTTTGTGCATCCAGACTTGGTCTTCCTTGAAAGGCTTATAACCGCCTCTATGCTTGACCATATATGTTAGCTTAGTTGAGTCATCATCCAGAGCATTGTATAGGCAGCATTACGTGATTGTGGCCCCATTGAGGAATTGCGTAACTGAGAATAGTGACCAATCAATGTTGTCTGTACCGCATAGTATTGGATTCTCCACCTGGTGCATGCAGATCTCCAAATTCCATACCCCGCCTACTTTCCTAAGAAGCCCTAAATTTGAACGCTTGTGCCAACTTTTCAGGCTTGACAACATACTGTTGACCTCAAAGCCCTACTTTACGAAGTAAAAAGGTGTTGTGGAGAAGAGTTGTATCACAACCAAAGCTTCACAGTTGAACAAGCTCGATGTCAGGTATTCCTCAACTCACTCGTACACCGACAAGCTCACCTTCCCTATCACTGGCATAAGATGTCTTCACTGGATATCTGCCTCTTGCAGAGTACGGTTTGGACAACCAGAAATGAAAACAGAGACGCTTCACCAAGTGACAATGAGGCTCGAATGGTTACTCAGGGTAGAGCCAGCTTCTCGAGCGACGACGCACAACCTTTTCTGAATCACAATCAGCGACAGCAGGAATCCTGGACACCTCCGAAAAGATTTCTCTGGATTCAGGGAGCTATCATGTCGAATGTTTTTCTCTACGGTTTCGACGGCACTATCACTGCGGCGACCTATGCTGTGATATCTTCAGAGTTTGATGCCACCAACACCGCTTCATGGTTGACTACCTCATATGTAAGGAGCCAATTGACGGTTACGTTTGCCTCAACTAACAGATCGATAAGCTTGTTACAAGCACCGCCTTTCAACCGCTCTACGGTCGCGTATCAGACATCTTTGGACGGCGCATCTGCTTCTTCATCTCCACCATGACCTTTGCACTGGGGTGTCTAGGGTGTGGTATAGCAACTAATGTTGTCTTCCTAAACTGCATGCGCGCTCTTACTGGCTTTGGGGGTGGTGGTCTTATGACAATGGGTGGGTGCTGACACCGTAAGAACTTCGAGCCTTCACATAACTAACTAATCTATGACCAGCTACGATAGTCAACTCTGATATGATACCGTTCAACAAGCGAGGGATGTACCAGGCCCTTCAGAATGGCATGTTTGGATTTGGTGCCATCTGCGGGGCCTCATTTGGAGGTCTCATCGCCAACTCAATCGGGTGGCGGTGGTGCTTTCTCCTCCAGGTACCGATTTCTGCCATGGCATTGCTGCTCGGGTATCTTGTAGTCAAGAACCCAATCGACACAATACACCATGGCTCGACCGTTCAGAAATTGTGTCAGCAGGTTGACTTCGCAGGGGCTCTGCTTCTGGTCACGGCTATTTCGATCCAACTTGTCGGTCTAAGTCTCGGAGGCAACCAGTTGCCGTGGAGTAGCCCATGGGTGATCAGCTCACTCGTAGGAAGTGTCTTGTTGCTTGGGTTGTTCCTCTGGATAGAGGCAACGACTTCAGCCAGACCAATGATTCCCCTCCGGCTACTGAGAGGGAGACTGCCGGTTGCAACACAGACAGCGAATGTCTGCGTAGGGCTGTCGGCGTACGCGGTGAGTCATCCTAGCCATGACCGCTGTCAAAGCGGCATAGTTGCTAATATCTAGGTGATAGTATCTGTTCATGCTCCCGCTATTCTTCCAGGTTGTGCTACTAGATTCAGCTACAAAAGCCGGTGCTCGCCTCGCAATACCCTCACTAGCGACGCCCATCGGCGGGCTCATCGCCGGCATCGTCATGTCACGATACGGAAAGCTCACAATGCTTGTCCGCATGGGGGCCAGCTTAATGGTCATCGGTAACGGTCTCGTGACTTCTCTGGGGTTCACCGACTCGGCTTGGAAGTATTTTGTGTTCATCTTCCCCGCCAATCTGGGTCAGGGAATCGTATACCCAGGGATTCTCTTCACATCTCTGGCAACGTTTGAACATGCCGGTACGTCCAATTGCAAGCATTACCTGTGCGCGTCGATGATTGACCCTGTCTAGATCACGCCGTTTGTGCATCGACAGTCTATCTCATCAGGTCACTCGGCACCGTCTGGGGAGTGTCAATCACATCGGCTATTGTGCAGACAACACTCAGTGTTCAGCTACCGAAAGCTCTAAGCGATGTCCCAGATAATATGAAGGTATGTCTTCTCATTTTCCATCTACACCATTCTAGATTCCCATCTATGGTTCTATTACCCCGTAGGGCGACACTGACCAGAAAACAGGTAGTGGAGTCCATCCGCCACTCAGTCGAAGCACTACGCCATCTACCGCCAGACGTCCAACTCAAAGCCCGACTCGTGTACTACGAGGGGCTGCGGTATTCGTTTGCCGCCTCCACATGCTTTGCCCTCATCGCTGTCTGCGCGGCGTTTTGCGCGAACGCCCGTGGCCTGCGAAAGACGAGCAGTTGAGTTTATTGTCCACTCAGACAGGAGGAGGGCCAAATCCTCTATCTCCCCTCGTCGTGGCCGATTGTGGGAGTTTCTCCCAGTGCCTTGTCACCCGCATGACCGGCGTTCGCCGCCTGCTCCAGGTCTCGAGCGATCTTTTCGGTATGGGCGTCCACCTCTCTGTCAGCCTCCTCATAGATCTCGGGTCGTTCGAGCTGGGTAGCGAGCTTGTTGTTGAAGACGAAGATGTTGTGGTTGTCATAGAAGAATCGATCAATATCCTCCAGTGACCGATTTGCCGTCTCGGGATAGAAGAGATATGTGATGGGCACGAAAGCTGCACAGATTACAGCCCAGATGATCCAGAAGCGGTAGCCGAGATTTTGAATTCCCGGCGGAGTGATCTGGGCAACCATGTAGTTCATGATCCAGTTCGACGCCATGGCCAAACTGGCTCCCTTGGCTCGGAATGCCAGGGCATTCACCTCTGTTGGGTAGAGCCATGGAACGCCTAGAACGCCCATGGCAAAGGAGGCCCAAAACACAAAGAAGAACGAGACAGCAACAATACCGAGCTTGTATGTATCTCCGCGGCCCGTCTCCGAGAGGCCTAGAGAAATTGCAATGATAGTCCAGCAGAGTGAACAGGCCGCTGCCGATGTCATCATGACTTTGCGTCGTCCGTAGCGCTCGATGACAAAGTAGGCCAGGAAGGAGAAGAGGAGGTAGTCCATGGAGCCAGCAGCTGCTAGAATGCGAGCCAGGAGCTCGTCCATATTGAGAGCGTGGATGAAGACGTAGGTCATGTAGTAGGACGTAACGTTGATACCGGATATTTGGTTGGAGCACTAATCACACGTCAGTTGTCAAGCAATAGAAGCAGGACCAAGAGCAGCGACTGACCTGCATCCATGCACCCAAGATCATTCGTCGAAGCACTCCAGCTGGACCCTTGCCCGTGATGAGCTGCCACCAAGTATAGTTCACCGCGTATTCCTTGTCCAAGACATCCTTGATAATTGAGAACTGTAGTCGAACCGATGGGGAGCTTGGTGTGGCCCCGTGTCCTTCGAGAGCAGCTAGGACCTCGGCAGCCTCCTCATATTTGCCCTTGCGGATAAGCAGACGTGGCGAGTCTGGAAGGAATGGGCACATGAGGAGAATAAGGGCAGAGAAGACTAACGATATGGTTAGCTGGTTTCGGTCCGAGGGCCGGACGAGCATCACATACACATCTGGAATGCCAAGGGGAACCGCCACGACACACTCCCAGGTGCAAAGGAGAAGCCCAGCGTCAGCCAATTAGATATCGCAAAGCCAGTGATGCAGTTGGCCATCTGGATGATGATGAGCTTTCCTCGGCTCCTCATCTTGGACGTCTCTGACTGCCACACGCCAGCCGTCGCCGTGTTCATGCCCGTACCGAGCCCAGCAACGACCCTGCCGACGTACATCTGGGCGGCACCGTAAGATGCTGCCTGGATGACGGCGGCGACGGCAATGATCGAGCTTCCGAGCATCAAGACCCGTGGGCGCCCGAGTTTGTCACCTGTGTAAAGAGTCGACAGAGCACCAGCGAAGCAGCCGAGGTTGTAGACCGAGGTCATGGTTCCTTGATCGGTGACGCTGGGGTAGCCCATCGTCCTGAGGAAGTCTTCTTTGACGAGCACATTTCCAAAAACACCCTACCCAGCACATGTGTCAGACGAGAACCTGCACTCGGTCTACGGCTGAGCGAACACCGTTCCGTCTGCTCTGCTACGTACCTGATCATAACCATAGAAGATGAGAACGGTTGAGGCAGCGATGGAGATCCACACGGTCAGGCGCTCCCCTGAGCCGCCGAGGTATTTGCGAGCCATCACGATATCACGATGGCATGCACGTTTTGCGTAACAGGAAAGACTGTAGAGGGCAGCGTCCGGGGAAGGATCTGCGTTCTCGGCGCGGCGTTTGTCGCTTTTATACCGCCGGGTACGGCACTCGTGTCGTGCCCCGGCATCTGATCATGGCCAACATACCCCGCGTGGTAGGAAGAGCATCCTTTCTGTGCCTTCTTGGCTACGCGCTTGGGGCTAGGACGTGCGTCATAACTCAGAAGATCTTTACTGGATACAGAGCGTGCAGGCGACGCGGGGATAACTACCGGGCTCGAATTTCCGGGGTCTTCTGGGCCCCGGGTTACCCAATCTGGTCATCCGGTCGCGCCGTTGCGGGTATTCGGTGTTGTATGACCCTAAAGTTCCCTCCACACACCCCTATCGCTCACTCAGTCTCCTCAGGCTCGGCTGAGGTAGTTACGGCTCAGGAGCTGGCCAGCAGAGGTTGGGCTGGAAGTCAAAAGGCCAGGAGACGCACCTTATGTAAGCCTTGAGAGTGGGCCTGGCACTAGAAGTTGTACATTGTATAAATAAGCTCTGTTTATGAATAACAAACCTTATGTAAGGGGTTGTTCCAAGCGATTTCCAGGTAAAAGTTTTAAAATATGAAATATTTCTGCGTTTTGTTCAACTTCAATTTCGAAGCCTAAGTCATGGCGTTATGCAACTTGGTGCGTAGCGATTGTTCTGCTTCTGCAACGGAACCTATGGATCGCTTGAGGGAGAGGGGCAGGAATCCTCTAATACATGTAAAGGCTAGAAATTGGCACTCGACCCGATGGGTGCTATTCAATCCGGATCAATATGTAGGATTGATGTCTGGAGCTGACTTGGTGCAAGCGGAAGGAAAGAAAAATTGCATTTTGGATGAATCCGGCTGCGTACCACGCGGTCTCGCTATCCTCTTGTGACTGGAGCATGTTGCTGGAGGGAAAGTGAATAATCGCTGTCAACAAAGCCTGAATCGCGTCAAACTGGCTATCGCCAAATAAGCAGAGAGGAACATTGAAGCTGAGCTGTGGTGGTAGCAAACCTTTGTAAATCACATGGTTACGCGCCCTGGACTGATGGTGATGTGGGTGTGGGTGCGAGTTATGCAAACCCACATATCTTGCTCAAACATGCTCTTGCCCTATGCTTTGTTCAGATAGCTACCTATTTATAAGCTGCCCTGTAGGAAACTTCTTTTTGCTTGGGCATTTCAGCTCCCGCGGTCATGTAGAAGATTATTATTCCAACGACTGCAAAATTGACTTCTAAAATGGACTCTGGCCAGGCTGCCTCACAGCCCTCGGCTGCAGCCACAACCACGAGCTCTTCCTCCATAGGACAGGATGAGTGAGACAACCAGTTCCATTAGGCTTCTTCTCCTTAACCACTGCTGATTCCTTTCTAGATCGGCCGTCATGAACTCCATGTATCAAGTCGACTGGGTGCAAAAACTGCTCATGCAGATCAAAGAGTGCCTACGACAGAATAGTGATTGGCTTGGGATCGACCCTTCCAAGCCCCAGACGATCCTTGATTACGCATGCGGCAACGGCACTGTGTCTCTCGTGAGCATCAATTCTCCCCACCCTGGACTGCCTCTGGCTACAGCTCCTACTGATCCTGCTCCTGGGCAAGCATGCTGACACCCACCATAGGGACTACTGGACAGTTTTCCACTTGCAAAGTTCCGAGGAATAGATATTCTAGACTCCCAAGTGCAACTATACAATGAGGAGGCGTCTAAGGTCCTGGGCCCCGACCATCGCAGTCGTATGTACGCCATACCGGGTGACCTGAACGACCCCGAGAAAACCCCGGTGCTAAGCCAGCCCGAGTGGTTTACTTTCGACTGCGCTATCATGAGCTTCGGACTGCATCACGTCGACGATCCGATCGATTTCCTCAGACTGCTCGGAGCTCGGGTGAAGCCCGGTGCCACCCTTGTCATAGTAGACTGGGTCAGAGATACGAAGGCGAACCCTCCGCGTGTATATGACCAGGCCAGGGAGCGAAAGTACAATCCAAGTAACATGCTCCCTGTACCCATGGGCAAGGTCTGGCCAGGCTTCTCGGAAGATGATATTCGAGAGGACTACACTCTCGCTGGGTTCACAGCCGTAGAAGTGCGAATATGGCCCGAAAAGATCGATCTGCCCCAGCAGGCAAACTTCGGGGGCCGCAGCATTCTATATGTCTCCAAGGCCACTGTTCCATTGCCACCATGATGCGGTCACCATTTATGGTAATTCTGGAAGCAGTGCCTAGTATTCGTATCGTTTCAATCAGATGTTGGTGCACAATTCAAGTTGAAGCTGTGCTCATTATGTAACATTGTGACAAAACAAGACACGGGTAATTCGGTGGAGGTTCGGTTGACAGGTTTGACTACTCTTGTCTATAAGATGGTGTATTCATTAATCAGAGATTGTGCTGCGTGTCACAAACGATGTTGTCGCATTGTCTTCCTTCGTCACGAACTTGTAGGGTAACATTCTGGTCTTTATCTCCATTCACTTAGTAAGCTCGAGTTGAGAGGGTAGCTTGCGGGCCGATCGGCATCGACAGATAATAGCTGCTCGGACCGATGGGTATGTCCCACGGAGAACCGAGATAATGTCTGCCGCGCTCTGCACGAACAGTTTACAAAGTCTTCCGCAACAATGCCATGCGCGTCAAAGTTCTACAAGAAGTCCGGGTGTGCTTTGTCTCTTGCTCTTGCTCTTGCTCTTGCTCTTGCTCTTGGCCAACAAAGATCAATGATAGGAACATAGTAGTGGCACATCAAAGCCCCGAACAAACATCATGGCTGGCGCTGTGCTCATAACAGCGATGGCAGTCGTATTGCTGCTTTTCTGGTACTTTACGACGTCTACATACTCGGACGGCGAACCTAGACCAATTCCACATCGGGTGCCCATTCTCGGCCATGCCATGAGCTTTGCTCGAGACCGAAGGACTTTGGTAGCACAATCAATGTAAGAGGCCATACCACTGGTTGCCACACCTTTGAGCTTCACCTTTGAGCTTCCATTCATTCTCTAAAGTGTCCAGAGTAAAAACGAGCCGTTCACGTTGCTGATCGCTGGGACGAAACACTATGTTTTTAACAAGTCGGCAGAGTTTACTGAAGTTTTCAAGAACTCCAAGACTCTTGACAGTGTGGGATTCCTGAGGCTTGTGATGAGGAACTTGTTCGGAATCAATGCTACCGATGCCGAGGCATTTGTGGCTGGCAGTGTGAAGCCGATTCTGCACGACGTCAACTCGATGTACTTGCTCCGCAACGAGAACAACGCCGTGACTGCAGTGGCCTACTTTGATGAAGTCCGACAGGCGGTGGAGCGCTTTGACAAGACGCTGGCCCAGAGCGACACCAAAAGGATTACCAAAGACGTCTTGCTCATCATCGCGCATTTTCAAAGCGAACCAACAACGAATGCGTATTTTGGAAAGCTGGTTCTAGATGTCGACCCCAAGATCCTGGACGCCCTCAACGTGGTCAACAAGTACGGCTTTTGGTCTTTGCTGTTTGGAGTCCCACGGTTTCTGGCCCCAAAACCATACAGAGCTCGAGACCGTATAGTTCACGCTTTGAGGATACTCGTCGATGCCATAAATGCGAGAGACGGAGTTGCTTCACCGTACATCGAGAGCCGAGTTCGGCAGCTGCTGGCTCATGGCCTGTGTAGAGACACAGTTGCCAAGGACGTGTTGAGCGTCTTCTCTGGGTATGTCAATCAACATCGAGACCCCATAATATCCAGGCGATCCGTCTTACGGTACCCATAGTGTCCACTCGAATTCAATGCCCACCGCATACTGTACGCTAGTCGAACTGATGGAACATTCAGAGCTCATTCCAGTCTTCCGATCAGAGCTTCAGGAAGCCGGTTACATGGTCACATTGCCGGAGGACCAGGTGAGCATCTTTCCTGACAAGGTCCCTCGAATGCGGTCCTTCCTACATGAGGTACTGCGCACCCATAACAACGGCACCGCATTCCGCGAGGTCCTGAAGGATACCACGTTGCTGGCAGCAGGTCGGACGTGGCAACTGAAGAAGGGCGCCGTGGTTGACCTGCCAAACTCTCTGCTGTGTGCAACTGAGACTATCCACCCAGAACCCAACAAGTTTGTCGCGAATAGATTCCTGGACAAGAGCTTGGGGGGCTGGGGCGAGAACTTTACGAAGACGGTGAAGCCGTTCGGTGGGGGCGTCAGCTTTTGTCCGGGGAGAGTCTTTGCAGAGAAGCAGATTCTCGCTTTTCTGGCGGCATTGATAGAGCACTACGACCTCGAAGTTGTGACCACACCATACAAGACCCCGCGGAACTCGGACGTTGACGAAGTGTTATGGTCTCCAGCTATCGAGATTGAGATAAGGAAGAGAACATGAAGCAGTCTCCAGTCATGTTGTTTGACCGAGGAGGAAAGGGTCTGCCTATGAAAGTCCAAGAATCACTTCAAATACAGTTGGTCAGGCATGAAGGATTAGGGAAAGCATATGAACAATAATGTAGCGTCTTCCCTTGGCATCAGTGAACCCTGCCTAATCTTTTCTGTCTGCGCCAGTCTTGTCGTGCGGTGATCCTCACGCGATCGTGTTATCCAGAGAGTTCGAAGCTCTAGATGCCGGATGATTACGCCTCATTTCAGGTGGGCGTAAGAGGTCGAAGCACTTGATGGAAGCATGCCACTTCAACGCCTCCGACTCCCACTCAACATCTATCTGGTCTGGACAAGATCACAACTTCTCGTACAGCATTCAGATGAAGTAGAGTTTGCAGAGAATGATCTGATCTTTGCACATCTACGTCAATTGCTAGCATGTCGAGGAAGGGGAAGTGATTTCTGTTAAACGTCAAAGAGAGGTCCGAGCATTTCATTTACGCCCAAAGCTGCCTGTACTAACCATGGCTTCTGCATACATCCGGAAGCCTAACCATATGACGAGGCTCAATCTAGTCAACCTTGGCCAGATCCGCACCCAGCTGAAATACAAGCCCACCAGCAGCCATTGTACCCATCGCCACTGCTTGCGAAACGGCCTTGAGCTGTGTTGCACAGTCTCCCACAGCAAACACGCCGGGTACTGTTGTCTCGCCAAATGGGGGAGTCGTTGCGATGTCGCCGGTAGAGGTAAGAGATAGGCCTAGTTGCTCAGCGAATGGCCCCTTTGCCTGGCTGAGGGGCTGATGCGCGATGAACCCTTCCTGAACGGTCTCCCCGTTCACAAACACAATCAAGACTTCCGACTTGTGGTTGGACCCTCGTTCAAATCTTGCAATCTTGTGATCCACAACATGAATACGGCCACTGATGGCGTCTTTGTCCTGCTTTAGGGATTCCTTGAGCGTGGCGGCCAAGTCTGCATTTCCATTCGTATACAGAGTGACCTTGTCAGTAAGGCGTCGAGCCTGGCGGGATAGGTGAAGGGCGATGGGCGGGATTCCTGAATGTGGCCCAACACATAAGACTCCAGATGACGCCAGGCCACGGTCTTCGTATCCATCACAGAAGAGGCACCCATATCTTCAATGAGACAAGTAAGTCATAGGTCCTATTTCTATCTTGTCTGATCCAAAACATTGCGTCCTGGGAGCATTTTTGTACTTACATGCCGTATGCCCAGCAGTCTGCAAAGCCTGGGATATCAGGGAGCTTGTCCTCGGATCCGTGGGCCAAGACAAGCTTCCGGGCCGCCCAAGAGCGACCTTGAGCATCAGTCGCTTGGAAAAAACCCTCTTCTGTCTTTCGGACAGTCTGTATATCTGTGTTCTCGAATTGGACCGTCTTATAACGGGCAAGGAGGTCTGCCTTAGCCTTGGCACGAAATGTACTCGGCGGTTGGTGATCCCACGTCGGAAAGTTGTGCATGTGTGAGGCTCGCGCGTTTCGGAATGTCTCGTTGGTAAATACAACCGTAGTCCATAGTTGCCGCGCGAGGCCGGTGGCTGTAGCGAGGCCGGAGGGGCCACCACCCACGATGATGACATCGATAAGAGAGGAGCTTGACATGATTCTTGACGTGAGAAGGCGTCGCTATGTCGATGGTGGTGATATGGAAAAGAGATCAGCAGGTGTTGTTGTATGTATGAATGAGATGAATGATGCCTGATCTATTAACGAGCACCTGGAGGATGCAATAATTGCGGGATATCAAGCGGGTTTTATAACTGGTAGGCATGACGGACGCGCCCGACTTGACGCCGACGCCGAAGTGGTAGCATGCACCTTGGTGAAGCAATCTGTAGCCCATGCAGTGCAACATCAGTCCCGCAGTGCCAGCCCAAAGACGGAAGTACCTGGTACTTCACGCCGGTATCCATTGTCCATTGTACGGATGCCGACACCAAGACGCCGACTAAGACGCCGATGGGGTGCGTATAATTCTCGAATGGAGTGCGAGCTTCTTAAGCTCCTACATCTTTTCCGTGCCCTGGCTCTTTCTTGCATCCTAATTGTGATGCGTTTCTTACCTAGCTCAGTCTACGATCGAGTCCATCTGGGGCCCTCGCACCGCCTCGTCTCGTTGACCAAGGCTTTCAATTCAGATCCATATGAGCAGCGATCGTGCCAAGATGAGCACCCCAGAAGTCGAAATTCGAACCGAGAAACCATCACAGCACGGTGATGGCGCCTCGGGCCTAAACCACCCACCCAAGCAAGACGGTGAGACTCTTGCGCGCCGCAGCTCGACCGAATCTACGCGCAACTACCCCCAGGGCTTGAGGCTCTGGGTCATCATTGCGTCGCTCTGCCTCACTGTCTTCCTCGTCGCACTGGACCAGACCATCATCGCGCCCGCCCTGGGTGCCATCACCACTCAGTTCAAATCCGTACGCGACATCGGCTGGTACGGGGCAGCTTATCTGCTCACTGCAACGGCGCTGCAACCCATCTATGGATCGATCTATCGGAACTTCGATATCAAGTTTACCTATCTTAGCGCCGTCATCATCTTCGAGGTCGGCAGTTTGATATGTGGTGTAGCGCCGTCGTCGACGGTCTTTATTATAGGCCGTGCTATTGCTGGCATGGGCTCGGCTGGCCTCTTTTCTGGTGGTGTTGTCATCGTGGCATATACGTTGCCACTGCGCCAGAGACCGCTAGGCCTTGGCCTGATCGGTGGGATGTGGGGGATTGCCTCTGTCGCCGGACCATTGATGGGCGGTGCCTTCACCAACAACATTACATGGCGCTGGTGCTTCTACATCAAGTAAGTGTCTGCTCTGGAAGCCCCGTAACGACAGCTGATACTTGCTCTTTACCGTAGTTTGCCAATTGGTGGCCTGGCCATAGCCTTCATCATTATTCTCCTGAATATCAACCGGGAAAACAACCCCAAGAATCTCACATACCTCGAGCGAGTCTTGGAGCTTGACCTGCTTGGTGCGTCCATGCTGGTCTCGGCCGTCGTCTGTCTTCTCCTAGCGCTCCAATGGGGTGGTACACAGTTCTCGTGGAATAGTTCCCAAATCATCGGACTGTTTGTGGGCTTTGTGCTTATGGGCATCATCTTTATCGGGATTCAGATCCGGAAAGGTGACGCCGGGATATTACCACCGCGCTTTTTCAAGTCCAAGGACATCGTTTGCGCTATGATATTCTCGGCTCTCTTTGGGGCTGCGTTTTTCCCTCTGATCTACTACCTGTGTAAGTCCATAACCTCGTCAGGAAGAGCCATTCATCAGTATCGAACACTAGCTGATCTCTGCTTTCCAGCTCTATTCTTCCAGGCCGTACAGGGCAACACGGCCGTTCAAGCTGGCATCAAACTGTTGCCCCTACTCCTTTCGTGTGTGCTTGCTTCGATTATCGGCGGCGGCCTCATAACGGCATTTAGCCACTACAATCCCGTTGTCCTCCCATCAATGGTCATGTTTACCATCGGCTGCGGCCTTATTACCACGCTGGACATCGACCCGCCCACACGTGAATGGTTAGGGTTTCAAGTGCTGGCGGGACTGGGCTTGGTAAGTAGGGTCGAGGCGAGCTTGGGGCAATCCGCTCCCACGAGCCACCACTCAGGCGAGCGGTATATGGATGAACGATAGTAGCTAATCTATGATGCTTTAGGGCGCAGGATTCCAGATTCCCATCCTCGTTGTGCAGGCAACGCTGCCACTTGAGGACGTGCCGGTGGCAAGCGCATGTGTGCAGATCTTCCAGAGCTTAGGCGGCGCCATCTTCATCGCCGTTGCCCAGACGGTATTTCAGAATGGCCTCATTAGCAGTATCCAGCGCGACGCTCCACAGCTAGACGGCCAGATCTTTATCAACAGCGGTGCCAGCCAGATCCGCAGCATCCTCACCCAGATTCACCAGGAACAGGCGCTTGATGCCGTCCTGAACGCTTACCTTGTCGGCCTTCGCCACTCGTACTTCATCTCCGTGGGTTGCGCAGCCGGCACCTTTTTCGCGGCGGCGTGCTTGAGCTGGACCAGCATTAAGGGCAAGACGGCTGTAATAGAAGATGGGGCCTCTGCACCGACTGGCGTGGCTGTGGCAACGAGCAACAAGAACGGGGAAGGCCGAGATTAGACGTCAGTTGTATGCATTGACATCTGCGGACGTCAGCAGCATCATGGATGACGCTCAAGCAGCGCTGGTGTGTTACTCCCTCGTTAAACATATCAGCTGCCATCTAGTCGGAGAAATACTGCCTGCCAAGAGTGACTCAGGAATCGATTGATAGACTGCTGCTTGAGTAGCATACGGGCATGGAGCTGAGACGCGAAGAGATTCGTCTTCAAGGTGCCAGGGGCAGGCTGAATCTATCTGTAACAGTCTGCACGGTGAGGGTCCGTCACAAGCAACAATTGCGCGGCCGCCTACGCTGGGTCGAGGGCCAGACTCGTACTGAAATGCCAGGAGAAGCCGGATGCGTTGAAATCGGTTGAATACCAATTTTTGGTTCTTCTGTATCCTTTATCTGACCTCATGCGCGTATCTGGACGCTGGCTGCACCAAACACAATAGAGTGACGCCATAGCCGATGCTGCAGAGCTGCCCGCTTTCCCTTAGCGACCAGGACACTGATATGATGATGAATCCATCGATGCTATTGTTTTTACCGGATCCTATCGTTATTCATGATGGATGTCCATGTGTGTGGGGATACAGCAGTATTCCGGGAACTGGCCTCGGAGGCCTGAGATAAGCGGGATGCCACACCGCGTCGGACCGCAAGATCCCGGCGTCCAGTCCACGCCTTTCAACGCAGGTTGGGACGAGAGTCCGCAGTGTCCTGTTTAACTCCGATATGTTGCGCGAGGATAAAGCATGGCCAAACGACAGAAGCGACGCCGCAGTCAACCCATCTGGTCCAACAACAGTCCTTCCTTGCCACTGGAAATCTACATAGCCGCTTACCCAGGATGGAGTATATCCAGACCTCCCTGTACGGTGACCCGCTTAGGGGGCTTGCCTTGGCTAATGCTGAAAGTGACGACGGTGGCACTTTGATCTCCCATGTCAGAGCAGCAATCGACGAATGGAGTGCAGCCGACGCCGCATGGGCGGTAGGCGGTGCATGGCTCCTGTGGGTGAGAACTATCCGACCTTGTATTCACATTAACTACCTACGCAGTCCTCAGGGCAATGACTGATGAGGTGGCGTCTCTCAGCAACTTTGGGGGTACACATACAACGTATTCTTCCATCCTTGCTCCAAGTTTCCTGGACCGGTCTTGTTTGGCATGAGCCAAGTCCCAAACCTCTATTACTCTTGGCTTGGGACCAAACACCTCAAAGTTATGGAACTGCACAGGAGATATGGTGTGTAAGACGATGGGGCGGGCCGAAACCCATTCCCAACTCGGGTGGCACTGAATTTTCTTGGCTAACATGTGCTCAGGCGACGCTGTCCGGATAGCTCCAGCCTTTATCTCAATCCAGACGCCCAGTGCCGTTAAAGGTTAGCGACCACGGGCGTCCGTAAGCCAGCACTCCTCTTGCGAGTGACACATGATAACCTTGTATATGCAGCACTGTACGAGACGGGCTCACAGTTTGAAAAGGGCATGTTCTACACAAGAGGTCCGGTCAAAAAGCAGGCGTTGATTGTAGGTTGCTCCCATTGCTCCGAACCTGCGCGTCCAACCACCCCGCAGCATGTCCTACGGCCAGAGAGGGCCCCTACCTATCACCCCTGCTGATGTTTGCAACCCTTGCAGAGCATTGCGTCGGCCACTGAGAAACACGTCCATGCACGTAAGAAGCGCCTCATCTCCCATGCCTTCAGCGACGCAGCGCTTCGCTCGTACGAAGGGATCCTGGCGGATAAAGTCGGTCTGCTATGCCACCAGCTCCAGGACACCACCAGCTTTGACGGCGAGTTCAAGAACATGTCGCGATGGTTCTCTTACCTGACCTACGACGTCATGGGCAAGCTGGTGTTCGACCACGAGTACAACATGCTGACTAGCGACGGCGACCACTACATCCTCGACGTTATCGACGCATTCCAGCACGGGCAGGTCATCCTGGGCACGGTGCCACGGATCGAACAATGGGGTCTGGCGCCCCTGCTATTCGTCAAGGTTATGGCGAGCATCATGAAGTTCAGGAAATACGTCGATGGCCAGGTCGCCCAGCGTATCGCCGATGAGAAGGCAGGAAATGGATCTGATGACATCTTCAGGCTGCTCCTGAATCACCGCGACAAGGCGACTGGCGAGCATATGGACTTTAAGGAGCTCTCTGACGAGGCGGTGGTGCTCATCATTGCTGGTGGGTCCCGCTCCTTTTTCTATCCATCGCTCTTCTTTTCCATAATTTGCCCTTGCCTTGACATAATGAGCACTGGTGGTGGCCGCAGCAAGGGCTGAAGCTGACATCAAGTACTGTTTTCCAGCCAGCGATACAACAGCCACTGCTCTGGCTGCCAGCTGCTTCTACTTTGCTCGGTACCCCGAGTGCTACAGTAAGGTTCAAGCAGAGGTGCGAGATGCCTTTCCTTGCCAAGACGACATCAGGAATGGGCCCAAGATGCTGGGCTGTCGATATTTGCGCGCATGTGTCGAAGAAGCCCTCCGTATGTGCCCGGTAGTTCCAGGCCATCTCCCCCGAGAGACTCCTGTGAGTGCCTCCATAGATGGCTATACCGTCCCAGCTAGGGCTTATGTGGGCGTGCCAGGCTGGAGCATGCACCGCCATGAAGCCTACTTCCCTAACCCAACCATCTTCAGGCCGGAGCGCTGGCTAGACGCGTCCGACGAGGACCTCGCCCGCCTTCGCTCAGTACACTTCCCATTCAGCAAGGGGCCCCGTGCCTGCATCGGCAAGAATCTAGCCTACAACACCATTTACTTGACTCTGGCCCGTATAGCCTATATGTATCATATCAAGTCAAGGGATCCCCTGCCCCTAGAGTTCCATGTCAAGGACCACTTCGCCGCTGGTGGGAAGGAAGGACCCTATCTGAAGTTCACCCCAACCAATGCATGACGGACAATGCAGCGTCAACTAGTCACCCCCAACGAGAAGAGTAGGCTCAGGCTCCGGGAATGAAGTTGGGTGTTGCGACGCCATGGACTCGAAACTGTAGTCTAGCAATCAAGCATGAGCTGCAGTCGCTGTCTGCTTTTAGAAACTAGATTCGTTTGTTAGGGTGAGAGCGCCCACCAGTCGGTCACAATTCGCTTCTCTACTCCAGCTCACTAAAGTAGGTACAACAGCATGACTGCTCAAATGTGACGGCTTGATCAGGACACCCTCCTCGTCTTACTAACAAAGGTGGCTTCTCTACGTGCAACGGTCCGCTGCTCTGCATCGGTCTCCGCTTCCAGCTCCCAAATCTATGCCCCGGGACAGTCACGATATCGCCATTGGACGTCATTCCTTCTTGTTCGCTTGGCATGGAACTATCGGATCCGGGATGGACCACCCTGCGCAGGTCGGGCAAGCGCAGCCACCTGTTGGTCTGTTGACCTGCCTGCACTGCGATTAGCGAGACGGGCCTTTTGCAATAATATTCTTGTTTGTGGCGTGACATTGGTCCATACAAGTGCACGTTGTGTTGATGGCTTGCCGGGTGCTGGTCTGGTATGCCAAACATGTGGGTGATGAGCCTTACAAACCTGCTCAATCTTGCTCATCGTATCTGATACAAGAAGATCCTTGAACTGCATGTCAGCCCGCATTGATTGGCAAGGCAATACTACCTAACGAGACATATAGCCACATTCCCTCAGGCGCTACTACAGTGTGAATCAGGGTCCTCTGGCTGTGTGCTCCCGACTTGACGGCCTCATTCTCGGGGGTCTATTCAACCTGATCGCCCACTCCCACCTCCAAGACAACAAGCAGGAGAAGAAGCACGACGCTCGCACCCGGCGGATTTTGAAATTGCATAGCGGCTTGTCCATCGCTGCATCTAGGAGTAGCGAGTGTCAACCATGGCTTCGGGTATGGATGTGATCGAAAAGTCGGGCCCTGGGCACATGCCCCAGGCCGCGGTCCACGAAAAAAAGGACCCTGGCGACCTACCCATTGGCGTCGCAAAGATGTCTGCAATGTCCAGCCGACTCTCTCGGCGATTTCGCGTAGCCATCTTCACGTCGATCTTCCTCGTCGGTTTCGCCTACGGCCTGGCATCGAACCTGACAGGCGTCTATCAGGCCTACGCAACCGCTTCTTACAGCAGGCACTCGCTGCTGGCCACCTCCAACACGCTCCGCGTCGTCTTTGCCGTCGCTGCACAGCCGGTTGCCGCCAAGCTCACCGATGTGCTCGGCCGCTTCGAGATCATTTGGCTGTGCAGTCTCTTTTTCGTCACCGGCCTCATCGTTCAGGCTAGCTCCAACAATGTGGCCAGCTTTGTTGCCGGCGCAATCCTGCAGCAGGTCGGGCTGTCCACGACACAGGTTATGGTCGAGGTTATTGTTGCCGACCTCAGCACGACCCGGCTCCGTCTATTCTGCTACACGATCCCTAACCTACACTTCATTGTCACTATCTGGCTCTCGGGCGAAATCTCCTCCTCGATGCTGTCGCACTCGTCATGGCGCTGGGGGATCGGCATGTGGCCCATTGTGTACATTGCCTGCCTCATCCCCTTCGTTGCACTGATGATGCTGGGCGAGCGTAGTGCCCGCAAGAAGGGGGCGCCCGTGCTCAAGGCTGACTGGCGCATGGTCCTAAGGCAGCTTTTCTGGCAGATTGATGCCATCGGCCTTGTTCTCGTCATGGCCATCCTGGCTCTCATCCTCGCGCCCGTTAGTCTCGCCGGCGGTGTGTCGAGTAAGTGGGAGAGCCCTAGCGTCATTGCCCCCATTGTCGTCGGTGTCGTCCTCATCCCTGTCTTCATCTTTTGGGAAATACGGGCCCCGCACCCGCTGCTGCCCTTTGAGCATATACGTGACCGATCCGTATGGGGGGCCCTCGGTGTTGGCGTCTTCTTCAATTTCGCTGTGGCCATGCAGCGCGGCTTCCTTTATACCATCCTAGTGGTTGCCTTTGACTTCTCCGTCAAGGCGGCCACCCGTGTCAGCACTGTCTACAGCTTCATGTCTTTTATCTGCGGACCGCTTGTTGGTCTGGCCGTCTATCGTGTTCGGCGACTCCGGCCTTTTATCCTCTTTGGCGTCATTATCTTCACCGTAGCGTTTGGCCTTCTTGTCCGTTATCGTGGTGGCCAAGGTACGAATAATAAGGCCGGCATCATTGCAGGGCAGGTTCTGCTCGGTCTCGGCGCCTCCTTTTTTGGCTATGCGGCCTCAGTTGCCATGCAGGTAACCCTTAAGCATGAGCATATGGCTGTCATGATCGCCCTCTTCTTCTCATTCCAGCTCATCGGGAACGCCTTGGGTAGCAGTGTCTCCGGATCTATTTGGAACCAGGTCTTGCCGAAACAGCTAGGACAGAGGCTGGGCAACCAGACCCAGGCCATGCAGGTCTTTGTCAACCCGTTCGCCATGGCTGCACAATTTCCCATCGGCACAACGACCAGGTCCGCAATTGTCGAGAGCTACCAGTACGTTCAGAGGATCCTCTGCGCCGTCGGACTCGGGCTCTGCCTCCCGACCATGGCCTTTGCCGCCGTGATGCGCGATCCCGAACTCAACGATCAGCAGACTCTAGCGGTCAGTGACGACGACAGAAGTGCGGAACTCCGCCCAGGCACTGTCTCGGGTACCAACGAGAAAGTAGCACTCGGATCAAGTTCTTGACCGTAGAGCACTGAAGGGGCATGTGGAAAGGTGTTTACTATTAGACAGGTTCAACGGCGCGCACTGGAATAGGGTTTCAAGTAATCCTTCGCTTGCGAGTCACTGTTTCTACTATAATACCTCTGATACGAATATTACCGTAATTGAACCCGGGCTCGAGTTTCCCGCTTTACCGGTCGTGCACATTCGCCAAGTTCAGCAGCTCAAGCTCCGACTTACTTCCTTTGACTAGAGCAACGAGATATGAGCCGCTTCATGTCGCTTACAGGTAGTCCACAGTCAGGCACAAAGAAGAAGCGGGAGCTGCTACCCTCTGCTCACCACTCCCCTGGTTAACGAGCCAGCTTGCCATCCAGTGTCTCACCTCTGAGACTCTTAATGGGTTTCACAACCATTTTCTTGGCTAGACCTCTGTAGGTGTGGTATGATACCCCCGGCCTCGACACTACCCGGCTCGAACGCCTAGTCTCTCAATGGCATCTTATGCCACAGAGTCAAGCGTGGCTGCAGATCGTCGTCGGCGACGCTACCTACCCCTGACGCCGTTCGAGCAGGTCAGGGGCCTTCTGGGGCCCGTTTCTCATGTGATAGCCGCTACTAGTTAAGCCATGAGCAGGGAGTGAGAGTGACATTCATGTGGCCGATCCGCGAGCAGAGTCTTATGCACGATAAGCTTTGTGTTATCGTTGAGCCGTTGATGTAAACTAGGCGCCGTCGCCAATACTCAGACCTCTTCAAAGATTTCGCACTGATACTAGGCGTGACGTCGCGGCTTGAGACAAAGAGGGGCTGATGCATGTGTTTATCGAACTACACTTGATGGAATCCAACCCGATGTGGACTATATCTGGGTTTTGGTTCTGGAGAAGGCTTCGCAGCGATAGCTTGCCATTTCTCGAGCAGATACCTCGCCTATTTGGTACCTAATGTAGTGCCTTGCAAGAAGAACCCTTCTTACCAGCGTCTGCTACTAAAGCATTTCACCATTTCATTCTGTGATGATGGCATTAATCTCCCGCGGGGCCCTTTCGCGGGCGTAACCGCCTGGCATTTCCCTTTGAGCCACGCGCTATGCTTACGGAGTAACTACATCTGAGCTAAGCATAAGGCTTCCGAGGGCCTGTGCCAGATTCGTGCGTGGCGGGCCGCTGGTTGTGGTTGAGCGGCCCGCCGCCACCGCCGGGGCTCCCGCCAAAACAAAGCAGGCGCTTCATTCTATCCTCCTCGTGACATGCACATCGCAACGAGGGAGCAAGATACACAGATACACTACTGAGGCTCAAATCAAAGGTTGCTAGGGTACGACATGTAGTATCGTTCCGGTAACCATTAACCAGCTAGAATAGCGTGTCATACGAGGCAGCAGAAAAGTTCGCATGTGGGGCAGGTACTCATCGGTCCGTTGAGCCTGCTGGACTTCATCTCGGCTAGTGGTAAGGAAGGGCTTAGACAGACTCAGGAGACAAGTGGTTAGCCTCAGATAATGTACGGCTCGAGCAGCCTGCGGCAGAAAGGCGCGATGAAATATGGAGTCTACTTATCAACGTACTGTACTGCAGGATACAATATGCTATTCTCCTCTCTATCATATATGTATTACATCTAAACAAAACAAGGCTGCAAGAGGGAGACGCTCAATTGTTGTCCCTTTGAACTCTGTTCTATCACAAGCAGGAGAGAACTCTACCTGTTGCAGGTCATGGAGTCAAAAGAAGATCCAGTAATCGCCATTGTCGGCATGGCTTGCCGCTTTGCCCAGGATGCCACTAGTCCTTCTAGGCTATGGGATATGCTGGCCACTGGTCAAGATGGTTGGTCGGAAATACCAGAGTCCAGGTTCGCGACTAAAGGGCTCTATCACCCCAACGGTGAAAAGATTGGCTCGGTATGATCATCCTCTAAACAGTCTACAAGGATGTCTTAGGCATGATGCTGAACTAAGGTTACAATAGACACATGTGAAGGGCGGGCATTTTCTCTGCGACGATCCGGCCCTTTTCGACGCCCCATTCTTCAATCTCCCAGCCGAGGTTGCAAGTGTATGTTTGCTCTCAGATGCAGTCTTGGTCACTGAATATGTCTGATCCAATGTGCCACAGACCTTGGACCCGCAGCACAGGCTTACATTAGAGGTTGTCTTCGAGGCAATGGAGAGCGGTAATGCATACTTTTCTTTTTGCCAAAACATAAGAGAGGAAGAAACAAAAAGCCAGGAAACCAAAAGCTAATTCTTTCGTATTTGCAGCGGGAACAACATTATCAACCTTTCAGGGCTCAGACACGTCTGTTTACGCGGGATGTATGGTCAGGGATTACCATGACACACTTTCTCGAGATCCGGACGCACTGCCGCGGTACTTTATGACCGGCAACGCTGCGACCATGGCCTCGAGTCGCGTGTCCCACTTCTATGACTTACATGGGCCCAGCATGACGATAGACACGGGCTGCTCCACCACACTGACGGCTTTGCACCTGGCGTGCCAGAGCCTCAAAGCAGGGGAAAGCGGCGCTTCAATTGTCACAGGTGCAAGCTTGATGCTGAACCCCGATGTCTTCGTGTCCATGTCTAGTATCGGGTTAGATATCTTCCGCACCACTCTCTGATGCTCAGGCAAGCGACCACTGACCCTCTCTCTTGGTAGATTCCTCTCTCCAGACGGCAAATCCTATTCGTTCGATCACAGAGCAAATGGGTATGGCCGCGGGGAGGGAGTGGCAGCGATCGTGCTGAAGCGGCTGGACGACGCGATCGCAGCCGGCGATCCAGTGCGCGCCGTCATCCGCGGCACCGCCCTGAATCAGGACGGCAAAACATCGACCATCACGACGCCCAGCCAGACGGCGCAGGAGACCCTAATACGGTCCTGCTATCGACGCGCCGGCGTCGATCCGATGGAGACGGGCTACGCCGAGGCGCACGGGACTGGCACACCTCGCGGGGACCCGATCGAGCTCGCGGCTATCGCCAGCGCGCTGGGCTCAGCCAGCCGTGGCCCCAGCCAACCTCTGCTGGTTGGCTCCGTGAAGGCGGCTATCGGCCACACGGAAGCTGCGAGCGGCCTGGCAAGCGTAATTAAGGTTGTCATGGGCCTCGAGAAGGGTGTTGTGCCCCCAAATAGCAACTTTCAGAGACGCAACCCGAAGCTGGATCTCTCGGAATGGAATATTCAGGTGCGCAATCATGTTCTAGCTAGGTGTCTTGACCGATTGGTAGTGTGGACACTGACACATCACTCTGTCTAGATCCCTACGACGATAATGCCCTGGCCTGTACTAGGGGAAGTTCGTCGCGGTTCGATTAACAACTTTGGCTTTGGAGGAGCAAATGCTCATGTGATCATTGAGGAGTTTCGGCCTACCGAAGACAAACTATCGACGATGAATGGCAACCGTCGTGGTGTAAATGGTGTCAAAGCTGTCAACGGTGACCATGGTAACATGAACAAGGGAAAGAATGGCATGGCACCTCAGCCTGATCAACTTGTGCACATGGTCCAACCAAGTTTCACAGCCCAGTTGAAGGGAAAGACGCACCTGATTATGAATGGCGAAATGAATCGACATGCCCCTGGTTCTGAACAGACTCAAGTTTCAGTCTCTAGACCACAGGCAAGTTGCTGGACCATCAACATGTTCCCAGGCATCGGTGTTGACGAAACAGGGCTAACAAGTACAAATTTAGATGAGCAAAGTTTTCGTCCTGTATGCTAGGGATGCCGAGTCGTGTGGTAAAAGGGCAGCAGACTTGGCAAAATATCTTTCCGCCAGCCAAGCGAGATCCGATCATCTGCTGTCCAATCTAGCTTACACGCTCGGAGAACGCCGATCAATATTCCCATGGGCAGCCGCATGTCGTGCAAATAGCGTGTCGAACTTGGTCGACGTACTGACAGATGGCAAGGTTGTTCCTATCCGAGTACCGGCCCAGCCACGGATTGGGTTTGTTTTCAACGGACAAGGAGCTCAGTGGTTCGCCATGGGTAGAGAGCTGATACGCGAATATCCGGTGTTTCGATCAAGCCTTGAATTAATGGATGGCCATATCAGGGAAATGGGCGCACAATGGTCCCTCATACGTAAGTGATGTTATGGCTGCCCTGACAACATGCGATCTAATCAACCTCGTGGTAGATGAGCTCAGCCGCAGTGAGGAAACAACAAAGGTGCTGGGCCTCGAGTATAGCTTGCCATTGTGTAGTGCTATTCAAATTGCCTTGGTCGACTTGCTGCGATCCTGGGGCATCAGCCCAACCATTGTCACCGGCCACTCTAGCGGAGAAGTGGGAGCGGCATACGCGGCGCACGCCATTGACGCCCGGTCAGCAATCGCTATCCCATACCTTCGAGGGGCTCTATCTGCCGAGACAGAAAGCATCATTGGAATGGGTGGCATGATAGCCATAGGTCTAGGACGCGTTGAAGCCGAACATTACATCTCCCAGGTCCAAAGCGGCAACGTAGGGGTCGCATGCGTCAACAGCCAGAACAGTGTCACCGCCTCTGGAGACCTACCAGCAATAGCAGAGCTAGAAGAGCTCCTCGTCACGAACAAGATTTTTTGTAGGCGTCTGCGCATCAACGGCGCGTTCCACTCTCCTCACATGTCACCCATCTCAAAAGAGTACATGTCACGGTTACGTCCATTGCTCAAGCCGAACCCAGGGCCGAGACATGTCATTTTCTCCTCCTCCATGACGGGAAATCACCTAGAGGACCTTGACCAACTGGCGACGCCAGAATATTGGAATGCGAACATGCTCGGAGTGGTCGAGTTCGAATCATCGTTCCGCAATATGTGTGTTTCCAGCCCGACAACAGCCGATCAGTCCGGGTTTGCTCGAGCTGTCGATTTGGTGCTTGAAATTGGCCCTCACGGCTCTCTCAGCGGACCCATTCAAGACCTACTGACCTTACCGGAGCTTAAGAGTCTCAGCATATCATACCTGAACTGCCTCGTCAGGAAGAAGGACGCTGTCGAGACCATGCACTCACTGGCTTGCGACCTTCTTATAAGGGGAGCACCGGTCAATCTCCGGGCTCTCAACTTTCCCAGAGCCGATCACGAGCTTAAGGTCTTGCACGACTTGCCTCCCTACGCCTGGGCTCACAACATCTCCTTTTGGCACGAACCTCGGATCAACAAGGCGTGGCGACAACGCATTGGCCCTTCTCCGGGCCTATTGGGTATTTATCAACTTGCTGCAAACCAGCATATTCCGACATGGCGAAAGATCTTGCGTTTAAGTGAGCTACCATGGCTTCGAGATCATGTTATAGGCTCAAATGTGGTTTACCCTGGCGCGGGCTACCTCTGTATGGCGGTGGAGGCTGCGAGAGTGCTGTGCCATGACGCGGCCCCGGCCCATTTTCAGGTATCTGGATATGACCTCCGCAATGTCCGGTTCGAAAAGGCACTACTCATTCCAGAGATGGAAGGGAGGGAACTTCAGCTGAGTATGCTTTCAAGTGCCGACGATGGAGCATCAGAGATGAGTCAGTGGCGGGAATTCCTGATATCCTCAGTCTCCGCCGACAATTCCTGGGTAAAACACTGCCATGGTTCCATTAGGGCGCACTTTTCTGCGGCAAGCGGAGAGGACAAGTCCTCCACTGTCACAAGGAAGAGAAATGAGGGATCGACGACGTACATCCGCCGTGTTGACCCTGTCGACTTATGGGCGGCTTTGCACAGCGTTGGAATATCTCACGGTTCTGCTTTCCAAAATATCAACAAATTGGAAGCCAGCAGAGACAAGAGTGTCGCAACTTTTACGGTGTCCCAGATCTCGGTACATGACGAAAACGAACAGACGCAGAGTCTGATTCATCCTACCACACTCGACTCTGTCTTCCAGGCCGCATACAGCGCATTGCCGGGGTTGGGGACTGCCCTCGACATGGCGTTTATCCCACGAGTAATTGACCGAATGTTTCTCAGGCATGACATCAACAGGGATGCCGGGCATCCTTTTGAAGCACACATTTACCGGGGCCCGCGCAGCCCTCGTTCGTTTCAAACTGATTTGGCTGTATTTGATGCCGACGAGAGCTCCACAATCGCAGTGCTGGAAGTACAGGGCTTAAGCTACCAGAGCCTGGAAGGGGCTGCTGGCATTGTCAAGCGTCAACGGTCCGAAGTCTCCAGTACCATTCAATGGGAGCCGGATTTATCTTTCGCAACATCGCTCAGCGCCCTTGAACATCTCAAATCACCCGCAGATAGCACAGAGATGGACATGGTGATGAAACTCCGGAAGGCAGTAGTGCTTTACATTCGGGATGGCCTAGCAGCCATGACCGCTGATGAGATATCATCTCTGGACAGCCACTATGCTAAGCACTACTCGTGGATGAAGACGCAACTGACGTTGGCCTCCGATAACAGGCTGGGGCCGGAAAGCTCGAAGTGGCTTGACGTCAATGAAGCCGAAAAGGATGCAGTGTTTGACGATGTCACCAAAGCGAGCGTCAACGGTGAAATGATCGGACGAGTTGGGCCCCGAATACGATCTTTGATGGGGCAAGAGGTCTTCCCTCTTGAGCTCATGTTGGAGGGTGGCCTCTTGTACCGCTACTATGTAGGTGCTCTGAAGTGGGATCGTTCCACGCGACAAATTGCCGAGTTAGTTAGGTTGCTGGCACACAAAAGCCCCCGCGCGAAGATCCTCGAAGTTGGCGGCGGCACAGGTGGCGGCACGAGCGCCATACTCAACACCCTGGGAACAGAAGGTCATGGCCATGGAGGCGCCCTCTTTGGAAAATACGACTTTACGGATGTGTCAACTGGATTCTTTGAGGCTGCTCGGAAGCGATTCGAGCCATGGAAGGATCTTATGACATTCAGCAAGCTTGACATCGAGCAGTGTCCAGCAGAACAGGGTTTTGAAAGTGGCTCTTACGATATCGTTGTGGCCTGCCAGGTCCTGCACGCAACCAAATCTATAGACAACACGTTGATGAACGTTCGTCGATTGCTGAAGCCCGGTGGTAGGCTTGTATTGCTTGAGACCACTCAAGATTCCTTAGACGTCTTCTTGGCTTTCGGGTTCCTTCCTGGCTGGTGGCTGAGTGCGTCTGATTTCCCTTATAGCCCATTTGCTTCTGTGTGCTAACTGTGTCGTAGGCGAGGAGGCGGAGCGCCAGACTTCACCATCACTCACTGTGCCTTTTTGGGATAAAGTACTCCGCCGAAGCGGATTCACTGGATTGGACTACCATGTTCGAGACTGCGAGGACGAGGAGTTCTACAGTTTCAGTGTCATGATGTCCACTGCGGTTCCCGATCCAGCATTATACCCTTCAGAAGTCGTTCTCGTCTCTGGGTCTGCATCACCACCTGCGGAGTGGCTCCACGACGCACAGGCTAGGTTGTCTGACTTGATTGGAAGTCCGCCAATTGTTGAGAACCTAGAGCACATTCGCGCCCAAGGCAAAACGTGCATATTCCTTGGCGATCTTGCTCAGGACACACTCCTCGATATGACCGCTTCTCAGTTTGCGGACGTCAAGAATATGATCAGTAGCTGCAATGGATTATTATGGATTACACGAGGCGGCGCCCTTGGATCAGAGATTCCAGAGCAAAGCCTTAGCCACGGGTTGCTTAGGTCCCTAAGGCATGAAGCTCACGGGAAGCGATTTGTCACGCTCGATGTAAGCCCGAAGAGACGGGTCTGGGAACCCGAGACAGTCACAGCCATCTGTGATGTATTCTCCGCAGCTTTTGACATAGGTCAAGGCAAAACAACTCGAGACTGGGAGTACTGTGAAAGAGACGGTGTTGTCTTTGTCCCACGACTATTCCGCGAAAATCACGAAGCTCGGTCTGCACCAAACCCGACAGGTAACTCGGGGTCGAATGGGGCTCTGGACAACTTGGAAGTTCCTCTTCACTCGACGCCCATACCTCTGGGTACTGATACTGCCATCCTTCAGAAAGCAACGACACGTGACCCTCTTGGGCTGCCCCCATACTGCATCGAACTTGACCCGAAGGCATTCAGGATAGCTCTCGATCCGGCCGCACACAGGAGCGACATCAGCCGATCTAACCTCTCAGAGGGAATCAAGGCTAGCACAATCACTTGTGCAGGACTTGTGTCACGCCTTGGAAGCGATGCAGCCAGCGAGGGCTTCCAAGTTGGAGAACGCGTGGGCTGTTTGGTTTTCGATCCTCTCAGCCGCAACCCCCAGACACGGTGGTCGAATGCGACGCACATCCCAGAAACGATGGATTTTGAAGGGATAGCCGGCATACTCGAGGCCGCTACGACCGTCTACATCTCCATGACGGAAATCTCTAGACTCCAGAAGGGCGAAGCAGTGATGATACAGTCCGCTGCAAGTGAACTAGGTCAGGCTGCTATAGGGCTTTGCCAGTCACTTGGGGCAGAGGTATATGCCACTGTCGAAAGTGTGGCCCACCGTCAGCTACTTGTGGCACATTTTGGGATACCAGAGTGCCGCATCCTTCTGACACAACAGGGCCTTGCAGCCCCTGCTGTCCGAAGTGCGACTGGAGGGAAGACACTAGATGTCCTATTGAGATGCCCGACTGAGTTTCTGCTTCGGCAGGATGAATGGGATTTCATGGGAGAGTTCGGACGCATCATTGATTTGACTATCCCTTCACCCATGAACAGCAGGCAAGCTTGCATATCCAACATGAAGCAAAATCTGTCGTACAACTCGGTATACCTGCCAGCATGGGCGGCATCTAGGCCACACGTTATATCCAAGGCCTTACAACAGGTTGTCCATCTATATGAACAAGGTGTGTTTGCAACTGCGACGGGAATTGCAACACATCCTCTCTCAAGCCTCGAGCAGATTGCCATGTCTGCTAAGGAATCTGGCCTGCCAAGATCAGTTGTTCTCACCACAAAGACCTCCGAAGAAGTTCCAGTAAGTGTTCAATAGGGGATGAAAAAGATTGAAATGGACCGAAAATCTGACTTCGGTTGATAGATACCCAGAAGCGTGACTCGAGCCAGTCTTCGAGACGATGTGTCCTACCTGATTGTGGGTGGGACAGGTGGCATTGGAAGATCTCTATGCGAGTGGATGGTGGAGCGCGGTGCCAAGCATCTCATCCTGATGTCACGCAATGCCCGCCTCGACGAGTTCCTCCTTGGGCTAGATTGCAAAGCGCGTGCAGTATCGTGCGATGTCTCGAATGAAGCGCACTTGATCCAGGCACTTGAGAATTGTCTTGACATGCCTCCCATCCGAGGTGTCTTTCAAGCTGCCATGGTCTTGCATGTGAGTAGTTTCTCCAATCATGGGTTCCTGAACGTCTAGTTAACTCATCCAACACCAGGACTCCGTGTTCGAGCAAATGACACTCGATGCATTCAAGACAACCCTTGCACCCAAGGTCTTCGGAACACGAAATCTACATCGTCACATAAGCGGACTCGACTTCTTTGTCATGTTCTCGTCAATCCTTGGTATTACCGGAGCGCCCGGTCAATCTAACTACACTGCCAGCGGGGCTTACCAGGATGCTCTTGCTCGGTTCCGGAGGACCAGGGGCCTTCCAGCTGTCTCGATAGACCTGAGTATGGTTCAGTCTGTCGGCTACGTTGCGGGTGACCGTCGCATCTCGAGCCGTTTGGCACAGAACGGGATCTCGATGCTGCAAGAGGAGGAGCTTCACGACATCCTTGACCATACTATTCTAGCTCCATCAAGAACACAGATAGTCACTGGGATCGAGTCGGGTCCCGGAACAGACTGGCCCGAGGTGGGCTGGCTTCAAGACAGCCGCTTCGACGGCCTGAGACCGCGAATGTTGTTTTCTACGTCAGCCGTCGACGTGAAGAGCGAACAAGCCATCAACCTCCGTATCGCGCTCCCAGCAGACATGTGCTTGGAGAAAGCGACGGCTTGCATACTGGGCGAACTCACAAAAGAGCTCATCCGAATGTTTGGAGCGATCGAGATCGATCCATCCAAAGACCTAGCCTTCCATGGTGTCGACTCTCTCGTAGCAGTCGAAATACGCAATTGGCTTGTCGCGCAGACTGCAGTCGAGCTGTCAGTACTGGATCTGATCCAGAGCTCTTCGGTGACAGGTGTGGCAGACCTGGTAGCGAAGCGGCTCGGGCATATTTGAGCAGAGTCGGCAAGAATTTTCCGTTTAGAAACAACCGTCTCCGTATTGTCTTCACCCTGAAATTGGAATTGAAGGATATTTCTGAGGCTACCATGGACTTTACCACGTTTCCCAACTTGATTCGCAATCTTACATAAACATTCTCTCTTTCTGCAATTTGATGCACGCGTGTCTCAGGTAGCCTGAGTACCTGGTAGTAATTACTGCACTGACTTCGTGATACCGTATCCCAAAAAAAAGCATTGGACTAAAAGAACATCCCGGGGTCCTCACCAAATCTGTTACATAGCACGCCGATGCGCTCACGGTTTCCCATTACTCATTGGATCCAGTCCAATGCCAATTCTGTTTTCTGTATTGAACGAAACTAAAGGATGACAGGAACATGACAAAGCGCACGTTATGCGAAGCCACCACAAGCTTTGGTGGCAGTCTGTAGACTGTCAAGATTTTGTCGCGATAGCCCAGTATAACTGCCCCTTGGCCTTCTGTACCACTGGCACGGGACTCAATCTGTCCGCCAGCACCCACTTGACGTCGCAACAGCCAGCGGATCGAAACAACTCTTCCATCTCTTGCCGTGTGAAACCTTCTGGCTTGCCCACGGTGTGACGAGCGGCGTGTGTCCTCAAAGCTTCTTCGATCCGCTCCTTGTCACCACTCCGCTTCACTTCGGCCTGGTATTCCCTTTGCGCCGCTGTGCTACCATCGACAGGGGCCCAGTCAATCACCAATAGCTTACCACCCGACTTGAGACGGCAAGCAAGCTTTTGCATCGCAGACGTCGGGTCCTGGACATGGTGTAGCGCCATGCTGATGGCGACCAGATCAAAGTTATGCAGTTCCTCCTCATTCAGTGGAGGTTCCGTCGGACCGGCATCGTCAGTGATCAAATCACCACGCACACACATCATTTCATGTAGTTTCAGCCCAAGACTGGATGCTGTGGATCGATACTTCTCAAGCATACTGGACGAGACATCGACACCGATGGCGGAAGAGAACAGCGGCTTTAGTGCCTTGGATATGAGCCCGTCCCCGCAGGCGTAGTCGAGCATGCGTCGTTCGATATCCGAGGGTGGCAGGCCTGCCCAGGTCGAGAAATCGGGAGATACTAGAAAATCCGTGATTTGTTTGTGCAGATCCAGCACCCATTGCGGCCATGGGCCGGGCGCAATATTGCTGCAATGTGCATCATGTCAGCACATGGGGCGAACTATCTGGGGGCGAAATCACGGACTCGAAATGTTTGGCGTTCTTTTGTGCCAATGTGTCCCCGTCAGACGCGCTGACGGCCTCAGTCCCTGGTGCCATGATCACAGGATGATGGATCTGGGTGGGGTCTTCAAGATGGTGCCGGCTTAGGTACAGTCCAAGGCGCAGTCCGTTTCAATACTTCGTATGCTTTGCTTGGAAGGAAGTTGGTGAGTTGTCCGTGCCTTTAGGACACGTCCGGTCAAGATTGTGGGAAGGTTGGGCTTTCGGCAACTTTCCAGCTTGCACCGTACGATAACGAAAAAGTTTTTGGTGACCGTCCTTCAACAACGGGCCGAGTTGAGCGGGGTTCTAGAGCCGAAACAGTATTCTTCACGCTTGGCGAGGTAGTTGTGTCGGACTCTTGGGAAGCTGATCGGCCCGCAAGTCGACGGGGGCTGAAGGGTAAGACCGATCAGTAGTTTTGGGGGGCGTCGAAAGGGGGGAGGGTTGCGGTGACGACATCACTTACGAGTTTACCCAGCAAGAACTCCGTTCGGAATGCCAATCCCGGCTATACTACATCCGGCTATCCTGCTTGACACGGATGTCCATTTGCACCACACACGTATTGAAAGGTCATGTCTTAGACACAAGCTTGTGTCTGGATAATCACGTCGGGTGCAAATAGTGGCACATCCCGCCATCCTTGTTGGGATTTGGGGAAGGTATTTGACCGTGCAAGACATGTGACGGACCTGTGAATAGTGCACAGAGGTTGCTATTCAAGGATTTAGCCCCTCTGCCAGGTCTCGAAACGCCCACACAAAAGGCACATTGGTATAACAGCATGGCTTTATGCAAACAAAGCGCCTCCTGCCTGAAACAACAAGTATTCAGATCCTTCTTTGCTTCAAATAAATACACGATCTGAGGTAAGATAGCGTTGTAATTCCGTTTCAGAATGTGACGCGTACGTGCCTCTAAGTTTGTGGTCAAGCTGTCGATTGTTGTTGTGTGAAGTGCTTGAAGAAACTCCAGGGAATCAAGTATGTAGGGTTTCTGTCAATCCGCTGCAGTGGATAATTAAAAACAGGAGTCACCGCAGCCAGGTACAAGAAAGTCCAGATATAGCCCACGGTTCTCTCGAGCCATTGTCGACCGTGGATACCTGACTTCGCCTTGAAGTCGCTCCACAGCCATTGGATGCAGTCCTCGATCATGATGCCGGGCACCATGAGTGCGAAGCACTGCACCCCTCCTGAAAGACGCCACGACGTCATTCCCGAGCAGTAGTCAAGAAGAATGTGGAAGTGACCCGAGAGAATGAATATAATCAGCATCGTGAAGTAAGACTCGAGCAACGATGGAGGCAAACGCAGGATGCCACGCGTGATGAACTTGGCAACACCCTGGAGCGGAGCTCGCAGACACTGGTGCCAAAAATTGCTGGAGTGGTAAGCATTGACTGCAAAAGAAGGAGAAACGATGGCCGACTTACTTGAAGTATCTTCGCAGGGTAAAACACTGGCTATATTTCCCATACATTGGTGGCCACTGACTTACTGGGGATATACCCAGTCCGACAAAGATTAGAGCGAAAAGGCGATACCAAGTATCTAGCATCATCTTTCCAATCAAATACCAAGACATGAGCGTCCCCAGTAGCCGGCTTGTCAGATCTTGCTTGGTGACCGGATGAGGGTTAAGCGGTAGCCAGAGCCATTCCTTCCCGACAGCCCAGGCCTCAGCTGCCTCGGGTGGTTGCGGTTGACTCGTGATCAGGTCCATGAATAGGTATTGAAAAACAATCCATCCGACTTGCTGAAGCAAGAAGGATCTCTTCGTAGGTACCACGTTGCCAGGAAACTTTGGCATGCTCCTGATCTCGTATGAAGTCCCGACGCCGCGAAAGCTCCATATGGTAGCAGTTGCAAAATAAATTCTGCCAAAAAGAGTTGGGTTCGGGGGCGACGACTTCCACCGGGCCATCTCACGACGGATGTCCGCATCATCAAAGGGATTCAAGCATAAGAAGTTGAAGCAGTGAAAGACGTTGACATATCCGCACACAGCGAATCCCAGGTACATCATGACTTGAAGCGAGAACGCCGACGCTGTCTGAACACAGACCCAGGCCAGAAGTAGAAGGACTGGCAGTGCACCGAATCTCAGTACTGACCCTTTTGGGGTCGTGCAAACCAAGAAAGCGGTGATGATAGACTGCATGGCCATTGCTGCGGGAGCGCGAACGTCCCAAGTGATGAGGGTTGTAGGACTGTAGAAGGTTTGCATTTTGGCAAGATGGTGTATCGAATAGGAGACGAACCCATGAAAGGTGTGAAACAAGAGATCGAAAGAATGGTGAGTAGAAACATGTAAAATCCGCAGATGCTATCGTCAAGTTTATCACCTCGGGTTGTCCTACGCCAAGGCTTCAATATTGTTGTCTAATGCGGAATACTCTATGATCAGGAAGGGTGGCGCTCTGTTTCAAGGGTCCGATAGTTGACCACCAGGGTCCGGACCGGCGAACACGGGAGGAGACAACAAATTATCATAATCCTCTGTCGGTATGAAGGCCCTTGTTTTCTAGCTTCAAGAGGATCCAACACAGGACCAAAGTATATCGAAGACTTGGTCTTTTTTGTGGGGCTTAACGTAGATCCTAACACTGGAGACTGACAGGGCTCAATGCTGCGTTAAGATGTCATTCTTCAGTGGTTACTCGGATCTATTGTCACGTCTCACTACAATTCCCGCCAAACCTTAGAGGAGTCTCGCCTACGGGATCTCGGCCGACAATATGCGGGGACATCGGAGGCGGTAGGTATGCTGTCCACTCCGTTCGGCTGCCGAAGTCTCCATCACAGCGACACTTGCCGATCGGCCGCTGGGACTTTTGTGTCTTACAAGAATTCACCGTGATGGCAAACCGTTGGTCACACATCGCTTTCACATTGGAAGTGAGGTTGCCTTAAAGTGCCTCACCAGGACATCTGTATAATATCGAGTGCATGTCTCGTCAAAATAAGACATTCATGCATCGAAAGTTGTTCGGGTCGAATCGACTGTGACCTTGTTCAAACGTTCAAGATGAGGCTGCTTGTGGACGGATCAACATTCACTGAGCACCTCATCCGGCTCTCGCTGACATTCATAGGGGGCTCTGCTTGTCTCCTCTCTATTGTAGCGATAGTGGAGCTCTTCTTTCCAAGCTTGCTCCCTAGGTTTCTCTGTGATGCACTATCCAAGGTGATAAATGTACAGTCACCACTACTCTCTTTTCTTTGCATACATGATTGACAAGTTCCAGATCTATCTCAATCGAGCGTTCCCCATTAAGCACCGAGATGGTGTTCGTGATCTACCATCTTGTCCATACCAATGGCCTGACGGGCAGGGCGATGCGGGCAAATTCCTCTCGGGGATCGAAAATTCCGCTCTGTGGGAGAGCAAATATGGGAGCGTGTACCGTATCTGGGCAGGAATGAAGCCGGAAATGTAAGCACAAACAGAGTCTCTCCCTGGCAGGAGCCGCTCAACAAAGGATACTGATCCAGCAGTGTGTTGACGAGGCCCCATCAGCTGTCGGGCATCTTTGGTGATTCCGATAAGCACATCAAGGCTGCTGCGAATGATTCGGGAGCATACATGGATCAATTGCTCGGAAAGTGCATTGGGCTCATCAGCGGAGCAGCTTGGAGAAGGGTCAGAGCCATTACCGAGACTCCATTCGGATACCGGACCGTCTCGGCCAGGCTGACTCATATTGAGAGTCATGTTATCCAGCATTTTGACGGCCTCCATAGGACTGGCAGGCTGGGGCAAGGAGCTTTGCATCCGGCCGAGGACATGAAGATGTTGCCGTTCTGGATAGTTTGCGAGCTATTCTACGGCCAACTGCCACCAGAGCTGGTCGGGGAGCTCGTCCAACTTGCCCCTCTCCGAGAGCACATATTTCACCACGTCGTCCAAGGTGGGTTGACCCGATTCGCCTGGTCTAAATGGCTACCCATAAGGGCAAACACCGAGCTGCGGGCCTTTCAACGCCGCTGGAGGGCCTTCAATGCAGCGGCCCGAGGCTACGCTCAGACCCACGATGCCACCGCACCGATACTTCGCATGTATGAGGCTCTGGACCGCGGAGACATCAGCGAGGATGAGCTAGTGCAGACCCTCGACGAATCGCTTTATGCCAACCTTGACGTTACAACGGGGGCACTTTCTTGGAACTTAGTCTTCTTGGCAGCCCACCAAGATGTCCAGGAGCGACTGCGAACAGAAGTGCAGCTTGCGTTGCGAGAAGACCGGATGGCCGAGTATGTGTGTAGTGACTCGACCTACCTTGCAGCGTGTGTGCTCGAGTCTAGCCGCCTGAAACCACTCGCTGCTTTTAGCGTTCCGCAAGCAGCACCCACTACGCGCGAAGTCGACGGATACATGATCCCGGCCCGGACCAACATCATTGTCGACTCCTACGCTTTGAATATCCAGAGCGACACATGGGCTCCGGACAATGCCACCTATCGGCCGGACCGGTTCCTCGAAAAGCGAGGCGCAGAGCTCAGGTACCGTTTCTGGAGATTTGGCTTCGGCCCACGGCAGTGTATGGGCAAGTACGTCGCAGACTTGACAATTAGGCGGACTCTGGTACATATTGTGCAAGGATATGACTTGGGTTGGCTAGACAAGGAAGACTGGGCCCGTAAGGATGACACCTGGATCACACATCCCGATTTCCTACTGAAGTGTACTACGAGGAAGAGGTGATAGCCTTAAAGGATGCCAAAAATGGCCTGTTTCGGCGAAAAGTCACTGCCATAGTGGAAAGGGGGACATTAGTTGGTTGACAAAAGACACGATAACAATCACGTCAAACATTGCAATGCCAAGTCTTCGCTGAGGACCGTGAGCTTTCACACGGTCTTCGGCCAGGCCTTATGAGAGAAAACTCAGTAATCAAGTTGTGAGGAGGATGGAGACGGGTCTATTCAAGCAAAAGCGCATCATCACCCGGCGTGTGTGCTTGGTATCGTAAATGATCGAGCCCGCCAGCCAGGTCATCCAGCGTCCAGGGCTACTGGTATCTGACCTAGCCGGTTGGTCAATGACAAACACCACTGTCTCATCAGCTTCCGGAAGAAGTCAGCTGAAGGCTCCTGAAACTCGACTATTAGAGCCCGAACGACGTCCTGATAGTTTCGCAGCTCCCTCGCTAGAATCCGTTTCATTATAACTAGCTGCTCCTGGGGCTCGAGCTCGAAGACGCCGAACTGAAGATTCGGCATCCTCGCGTCAGAGACAGGTCCACCCCCGCGTGGGTCGAGACCAGAAGACCTGACAACGTCCTCGAAGAGCACAAGCATAATATCCAGACATGTAGTGATCATGATGAAAGAGCACCGGCATACCTGGCCCTTGTGCTGGCCACTGGTCAGCTTGATTACTTCAGCGAGGCATGATTTGTTGAGTTTCATGATCTCGTCAAGCGTTCCTGTTTTGGAGCGCAGATATGTCTCGAGGCGGTTTGTCATCCGACACAGCGACATGAGGTGCGCTACACGCTCTTTGCTGCATTCGTCGGCATCGCTTTGCGGCGAATTGTTCAGCAGAGACGTAGCTGCTGTACTGGCAGTATCTATCAAAGAAGAAGCGCGCTGCTTATCTGACCTTGCATTCGGAAGCGCCGCCGACGATTGCGAGTCTGCCGATGGTTGCTGAGGGTCGTCACTGTTCGACAAATCCCAGTTCCACCCGAATGACTCGTTGGGAAAGTCCATGTGGACGATTGGATTGTATCCCATCAGGTCCGCTGTGACGTTGAAGTTACCGGGGCTCATGAACTGCGTGGCCGTTGGTTCGGTCATATCGGGAAGCGCATGAATCGTGTCAAGAGGCACGGTTTTGGGAGGGGAACCCGGGGCCGGGCAGTTCGCTCCCAAAGACGCTGTTCGTTGCCGTGCTGCAGCGCCGTCGTCGTTGTCATGCCTCCGCTTTGACGTGCGTCCAACCATGGACACCTTGTATACGCAGCTCAGGGTATTTTGTCGACAGCGGTTACACCCAGTCCTTTCACCACTGCACCGGACCTGCACTCAACCGCAGTGTCAGCCAACAACATGATTGTCCAAAGCGCTGTGTTGCTGCCGTGCTTCTGGGTCGTTCAATAAGGAGCGGAAGGGCGGTTCGTACCTTGGAAGCGTGACACTCTGTACAGGCGGCTCGCATGCGCGGAGGCTTGCTTGCAATAGGCCTGGCCTCACGTGCCGAGTTGAGAGAGGCACCCGGCTTGTCGGACCTACTCACGGTTGACATTAAGGTTAGCTTAATTGCCAGGGAGCAAACCCCGATTGCGCGATTCCCTGGAAAATTGAGACATGAACCGCCAGTCTGCACAACGGGTGCTTTTCAATTGCCCTGGCTCAACAACCGGTGCCGAGACTCATGGTTGCGCTCCGGCCCAATGTCAGAGTAGAAGCGGAGGTGGCGTGCTGAGAAGAAACAAGCTCATTCTCTCTCAAACCCTCGCGATGCCCACATGCAGGCTGACCGTGCATATGCACATCAAAAACAGACACCAATTAAGACGGACAAGTGTCATCGAGTAAGCTATCCTCCTGACTTAAACCTGAGCCACATAGCATACTGGATGGCATCTGTGCCGTAGGGGACGCAATCCTTTTCTTTGGCCCCCCACTCACAAGGACACGCCAGGGTGATGGTGGCGTTTTGGTTGCCAAGACGCTCAGCTCATACATCGGCCCCATAAAGACGCAAGATGCCGAGTGCAACCATTGAGGGCCATGGCCAAGAAGCCCAGTGAGGGTGGGCCACTATTGTGAAGAGTAACCCTGCTGTGGAAGCATGCCATACGATAGCGAAAAGAAAGAAAATACAGCAGCATGGTCCAATCGGATACTTATCCTTGTATCTCTGTAATCAGCACTAGACTTACACGGCATACAATTGTCGATCGCCGCCACAGGGAAACAAGCACTCCGAGACTAATAGGCCGTACCGGGCAGACGAGTAATCTGCTCGGGCATTCAACTGCACCAACCACAACGATTATCTTCCTTGACCAGTACGTCGAAGGATGTCACTTTTTTTTGCTGTAAACTTGCCGGACGGATGGCCATAATTCTATCACAAGATATACAGCATGAAGGCAAAGTTCTTGTATCTTACTGAGAAGATCAATCAGCTTGCCTCTAGGTAAGACAACCAATTCCGACACACAGTACACCAACACATTTATACAACACAATGAACACAATAGCCGTATTCCAAAGACACAATGACAATTCCCAGTACTTGAAAACACAGATATGGTGTCTGACTTGGCCACCCCTGGCTCGAAGGCTTGACCTCTGTTGACCGCGTGTGTGGGAGGCCCGGACTTGGATCCGGAATTTGAACCCGACTACGGTTGCCGATTTTGTGGTTTTGACGTGGCTGCACACTGCGTGCGCTGTCCGGACGGCCCTGGAGAAGATGGCTTTTTGCGAACCTTGGGACAGCAAACTCTTGTGCTGGCGCGAGAAAGAACTATGGCTACTGTTGGAACTCCGGCACTAGGTGTGATCGCACTCCGGCTGTCGTCCGCTGTAGATCGGAGCAGGCAACATGCGGCTGTGAAGCAGCCATATGGTGACTGGCCGTGCGCAGTACGGATCATTGACAGCCTGAGGCTGAAGGCCCCTGATGCTGGTGTTAGAGGGCAATCTTAAATAGGAGGAGTTGTATATTATAGAGATAGAGAGAATAAGAATAAGAATAAGATTATAATAATTAGTTTAATAATATTTAGATATATATATATCTATTAAATATAGTTAAATTAATATTAATTGGTTATTAAAAGATATTTAATTACTTTTTTAATAGTAGATTAACTAATAATAAAGAGATAGAATTAATATATAAGATTTTAAGACTATATCTTATATTTTATTCTATAATTTCTATAGAATTAATATTTAAAAGATTAGTTTAAATATTATATAAAAAGATTAAAAGATTATATTATAAATTTATTATCTATTTAAAGAAGTTAAATAAATTTATAATATAATTATATATTATTATATAATTAAGATTATATAATAAACTTATTATCTATTTAAAGAAGTTAAATAAGTTTATAATATAATTATATATTATTATATAACTAAGAGTATATAATAAATTTATTATCTATTTAAAGAAGTTAAATAAGTTTAAAATATAATTATATATTATTATATAACTAAAAAAATATAGTATTCTTATCTAAGAATCTAATATCTAAAAGTTAAGATAATTTTTTAATCTTAAAATCTTTTAAGATTATATATAAAAAAATATTAAGAGATATCTTAAATAAAGATAGAGAGATATATAAAGAGATAAGTATAAAGATAAATATCTTAATAAAACTTTAATAAAGATTTATTAGCTTAGAATTTTAGGATATTAATTTAGTTCTTATATAAAATTTAATAAAGTAATACTTAATAATATACTTTATATAATTTATTTTAAAAATATCTTAAATAAATTATAATAATAATATTATTATCTTATTATATAATAATATATTTTAAAAATAGATAGAGAATATCTTTAAATAGATCTATTATATATTTAAATATAAGATATTATTCTTAATATAAAGATATAAGATAGATATTTAAAATAACTATAAGAAGAATATAATTAACTAAATACTTATATCTTTAATATAAATAATTAAAGAAATATATAATCTATCTTTTTAAAGAGATCTTAAGATATAAATAAAAGAAAGACTAAAGAGAATAATAGAGATTAAGAATTTAAGAGACTATATAGATACTTAATAAAATATTAAAAGTCTAGATATTAAAGATTATATAATAAGCTTTTTAAATATCTATAGATTTATTTTATATCCTATATAATAATCTTATACTCTTATATAAGAGATATTAGAATTATTATTAGTAAGAACTTTAGCTATTATATAAACTCTTTTATTAGATAAAAGATATATATAATTAATAGAGATCTTTCTATAGATTTATTATATAGAAGAATATAAATAGTTAGTCTTCTCTAGCTAAGAAATTATATATAATCTTCTATTAATATATAAAATCTAGAATAGATCTATTAAGAAGAATAAAATTATAATCTTTTAAAAGAGATAGAAGTCTATATAAAACTATATTAAAAGACTATATAATATTCTTTATAATAAGATATAATACTTTATTAAATTTTATAAGTAATTAGAAATTATTAAGAACTAATACTATATAATATTTCTAGATATTCTTATTAATTATATAGAAGAATTCTATCTTAATTATATTAATCTAGAAAGATACTAATATAATATCTATTAAATTATAAATAGCTACTTTAATTTAATTATTAGCTATAATAACTATTAAACTGACTAGATTATACTTATCTTTATATAGATAAAGTATAAGAACTCTAATAAATTACTATTAAAAATCTTAGAGATATTATTAAATAAGCTCTAACTTATATAATAAGCTTTAAAGAAAGGCTATTAAGAAGAAATAGCTCTTTATATAGCTATAATAAGAGCCTATAAGAAGGTTTTAGAGCTAGAGATAATACTACTTTAATAAAAGCTAATATATAAAGCCTTCTTTATAGATTTATATATATTATTTTAAGTTATAATAAATAGAAGTATATTAATATAATATCTAATTATTAGTCTATATAATATTAGCTTTATTAATTAAAGATATAATTATATAAACTAGAAAAAGATATACTCTCTAACTAAGATCTATTAATAGTAATTATTATAGAGATTATTATATTATATAAAGAGATTATACCATAATAAGAAGTACTTTATTTATAAGAAGAAAGAATACTAGTTAATAAACTATAATTATATAGAGTAAGATAGAGCTAAGATATAATATCTTAATATAGATAATATTAAGAAATATAACTATATATAATAAGATTATAAAGTCTTTCTATAGAAGTATAAAAGCTATAATCTAAGTATAATTATATATAAGAAAGATAATAATAATATAGAGAAAGATCTTAATCTAGATAAAGCTTAAGAAGTAATATAGTTTCTAATAGATATAATATAGTTTTATTATATAATAAAGAAAGATATATATATTACTATATAAATTATAAAGATAGATTAGTTTATATTAAATAACCTCTATATATAATAATATTAAGAAGAACTATAGGATATAAAAGCTATATAAGTCTTAATAATAGAAAAGATATAGGCTATAATATATATATAAGAGTATCTAGATATAAAGATAGACTAGATATCTAGAAGTATCTAAATTAAATTTAGAGAAGATATTCTCTTATATATTATAGATATAATAAAGATTTAAAACTCTATTAACTAAATTACTTATTATATTCTTAATATATTAATCTTATTTCTTCTTAGCCTATATAATATTAATAGATTAAAGATATATTTTAATAATATTAATAATACTATTATATAAGAAGATAGAAAGATAATATTAGTTATCTAGAAATAAGAATATCTATTCTTTAATATTAGCTATATAAAAGCTAGATTATACTTTATAGAAGTATAGCTATAATAGCTATATTAAAGATTTAGATATCTATATATAGAATATCTATATATTCTTCTTAAGAAGATAGATTATAATAATATATATATAAAGACTTTAGAGAAAATCTAGAAGTTTTACTATTATTATTAATTATATAATCTAGCCTTAAGATAATTTAAATTTTTAATTAAGAATAAGTATAAGTTTAATTATAAAATTATAATTAATATTATATATATTAATAGAAGATATATATTATATATTATTAATATAGTAATATTATTCTAGATAATAATCTTTTTAAAGTTATTATCTATATAAGATATATAGAATATACTCTATAAATACTAGATCTATATATATTAAGAGCTATCTAATAATATTATCTATAATCTAAATATAAACTTTTTATTTAATAAGTTTAAAGACTAAGCTAGAATTCTAGAGATTATATATAAAAAGATATTAATAAAAGCCTACTAAATAGTTAGTAAGATTAAGAGATTATATAGATCTTTATACTAAATCTTTAATATTCTTTTTAAGAAACTAGATTATTATATAGATAAAGAGATAATCTTATAAATAGTAGTTAAGACTCTAAATAATATTATTAATCTAAATAAACTTATATTAATCTTATTAATATTTAATATATATCTAAGAATTAATAGTAACTTATCTCTATTTATTAAAGTATAATAGAAAGAACTTATAAGAGGGCATAATAAAAAGGGCTAAAGAATAGCCTAAGAGAGTAGTTATCAGTAAAGAAGCCCTCTAATAGTATAGAAGTAGAGGAGGCATGCTAAGAGTAAAGAGTCTATATTATAAGATCTCTAGCTTATTATATAATAACTAGGGTTAGGTCTAGAAGAAAGGTATCACAGAATCAACTGCTGTTACTGTAGGGCACTGCCCTAAGGACGGTTAGTATAATAAGATAGGCAGAAACATATAGGCTGTTAGATTACCCTAGATTATAATAATCTATTATAAGGACTTACTATAGATTATAGTAATCTATTATAATCTATTGTCTATATATATAGATATATATCTACCCTTAGATATCTACTCTAGATAGCTCTTTAGTATTTAAAGTATCTTATTTAATAAAGCACCTTTAAGTAAAGCTATCTTAGCTATAATTAAGTTAACTATTACTACTTAATAGTATTTATTACTTACTACTTATATAAACCTATATACCTCTAGTCCTATAAAGTAGTCTTACCTCTTAGAATTAAGAATTATTATATATTAAATATTCTTATTCAGTCAGTAGATTATACTCTAAGTAATACTTATAGAAACTATATTAGAATCTTAATCTATTAATAATACACCCTTATTTATAATAGAATAAGCTAATACTAAAATCTAATAACTCTCTACTTTAATATAGGTCTTATAGGTAGGAGGTACCTAGAGTATAAAGTATAAAGTTCTACTAATATATAGAGGAAGTAAGAAAGATCTCTAAGGATTTCTTACTTAATATAGAGGATATCTTATAAAGTATAAACCTAACTTTCTATATCTAGATAATTAGATACTCTTTATAGTAACTTAGCTTAAAGAAGAAGCCCTTATCTAGTTTAAACCTATATAGAGGAACTACTTAGAATATCTAAAGAATAATAAAGACCCTAAGGCTTAAGCTATCTTTATAAGAGGCTTTATTATATTTAAGAAAGCTATTAAGATAGCTTTTAGAGATCTAGATAAGGAATAAACAGTAGAATAATAGCTAATAATATTCTAATAGATAGGATCTATATCTAGCTATATTATTAGATTTAGATAGGTTTTAAGTCCTCTTAAATAGAAAGATAAACCTCTAATAATTATATTTTATATCAGGCTAAAGGTAGAAGTGTGACGATCCTTGATCCCAAGAGGCAAGACTACTTCGTAGGATCGGAAGCGTGTGGGTTTATGTAAGCAGTAAGTGATGGGCGCTGCTGAGCAATGGTGGTTGACTTGATCGTAGCTAAGATAGCTTCACTCAAAGGTACTTTATTGAATGAGATACTTTGAATACTGGAGAGCTATCTAGGTAGGTTTTCTAAGCGTAGACATCGTCTGTATATATAGACTGCTGGATCACTCTGGATCACTGAGCCAGAGTGATAGATCACTTGCGATCAGTGAGGATCACTGATCGAGCGTGATCGCTTATCTTATCTATTCTGCTGGTCCTGACCGCCCGGGTCACCTGCCCCGCGGTACCATGCCTTGATTTCGTGACACGATGTCTCCCCTCCAGGTCGACGTCCCGACGACCCTGGCCGCTTCTTAAGACCCCTGGTGTTGGGTCCTAACTTCTACCGTAGGTGCCAAACTCTCCCCTCGATTCTTCCTGCATCCTTCTGACAGTCATGTCTTCAGGCCGCATTGAGAAACGGAAATCTCAGCCATCGCGCAACCGCGACGCTTTATTGAACGAAATCCTCCGAGACGGTTTTGAAGTGATGCCGTGCTCGTACTGCTTCGACCACAACTTGGTCTGCAAAATGATTGAAAGGACAAAAAGATGCCAAACATGCGTGGGTTTGGGTCGATCGTGTGATGGGACAGGTGTCCCCGTGGGTGTCTGTATGTACTGTTGCCCTGTCGACCAAGAAAATGGTGTGCTGACCGCAAAGTGTCCCGCGTGACTGCCGAAGCCAAGCGATTAGAGCGAGAGGAGATAGACGAGGAAGAAAAATTCCTGGAACTCCAGAAACAGATCAACGAGGTGTCTGCTCGCTTAATTCGCTTGCGCAAACAACGTCGTTCTCTCCGCGAGAAGGGGATACAGATGGTACAGCGTGGTTTGCAAAATTTGGATGAGCTGGAGGAAATGGAGCGAAAGGAGTCTGAGGCCGCCGCGCAGGAATCTTCTGCGGTCCTAGAGGTGCAGGCTAACGGTGGTTTCGATGTGATCGACTGGAGTACCGTTGGTTTGGGCGGTGGTCAGTTGTTGACTGGTCTCGACTTTGCTGGTGGAACTGCCGAAGCTTCCGCTGGCAATGCGTCAGGTTCCCGATAGGTTCCCAGGTGTTTTCTGTAGTGTCGTAGCCCTTCCACTTGACCAGGTACTTGCCGTCTGATACCCGCTGTTCCAGTACTTGTTCGACTTCGTACTCTTCTTCTTCTGTCTCCACTTCTACTGGTTCCTTCAGCCGCACTCCCGGAGGGGCTGGTTCCAGTAGGGAAACGTGAAAAACTGGATGAATCCGCATCGTTTTTGGTAGTGACAGTCTGTAGTTGGATGTCGAGATTTTCTGTACAATCTTGAATGGTCCTAGTTTTTTGTGATCCAATTTGTCGCTAGGTCGTTTTGTGGTGATGTTTTTCCGTAGTAGGTAGACCATGTCTCCCTCCGAGAAGGATGGTCCCTTCATCCTTTTTCTGTTGTAGTAATGGCGGACTCGTTCTTGGA